TTCTTTGCCGGAAAAGTTGGTATTCTTGGTACGTCGCCGTATTTTCCAGTACACACTACCACGAACTCAAATGCATGCCACTGCACACACATACACACACATTTAACAACAAATATCGTACAATAATTCAAAAATAGACGTAAACACGATTAATAATGCATGCAATTAGTTTTATAAAAGTATGGGAAATTAGAGATTCTATGCAACTTTTTGGTGGTTTTTTTTTTCAAGTTTTAGTTTTGAATTAAATAAAGGTTATATGTAATTAAAAATATATATAATTCACGTACATATTGAAAAGTAACAAAACCGTTCAAAATTTGTTTTTTTTCATCTATGTATGTCCAATGTACCACATGCACGTGTAAATATGAAGGATTTGCATGCAGCCAAAGCCAAACATGGGACGATTTTTTTTTTTTTTTTTTTGTAAAAGGATGTAACATGGGATGAGATTGAAACATGTAAAGAACAGAAACCAAACCTGAATATCTCCAGAATCTCCGGTCTGAACGGCAACCTCCCAGACAGGTTTTCCGGGCAACAAGTTTCCGTAAGTACCAAGGTCAACCATCTGAGGAGTTTCGCCGTCACCGATGAACCTAACTTCGATGGCCTTAGAGCCGAACTTTATGAATTTGAGGAGATCAAAATGCTTAGCGTATGACTCCAAGTAATCTAATATCTCAGGGTAAGATGGGAAGGTGGTTTCATCTCTATTGGGCCATGGAAAGTCAGAGAACTCATAATCGACTCGAGCCGATTGTAACTTAGTCGTCTCGTAAGTGCAGCTCCTCCAAACACCTCCGACTGAATCCGAGGCTTCGAATACGGTCGGGTTGTGATGAGCTAAGTGTTTAGCGGCTGCCAAGCCGCTAACACCAGCACCGATGATTGCTACTCTCGAAGACGTAAGCTTATCATAGTTAAAAGCCATTGGGAGAGGTTATGAGAGAGAGATAGATATAAATGGTTTTTATGGTTTTTGGTGAAGAGTGTTTTGAGTCGTAATTTGTGAGTTTGCATGGGCATATTTATAAGGTTTTGTCTGGTTGGGTCATGTCTTGTGGACTCGGGTCGGGTATGGATTTTATTAGGGAGCACGTGGTTTTGAATACTGTTTAGTTCGAGGAGGTTTGAAAGATCTAAAGTGATGTTTTTCTTTGAGAAATTTGGTAGTTATTGTGAGGAAATTTCTGAAAGCGTGAGTTGTGAGATCAGTGATTCCCCTTTTTGTATTTGTTCGTGTTAAGTTTCTAAGTACTTTCAAGAAGTCTAATGGAATTTTTATTTTCTTTTGGTTTCTTCAACTTGTTTTGTCATCTTGAATTTGATTAAAAGCTTCTTAGATTAAGAATTGACTAAATTTATTATATAAAACTAGGAATAGACAAAAAACTCTGTTTCCAGTATAATATTTGAATTCTCGTCTCATGTAGATAGTAGGTCTCAATGGAAATTTTTCATTGTCCTCCATGACAAAAAATGATGGATCCGAATGGTAGCCACTAGTAAACGTGATGGAAGCCATTTTTGAGTGGAATATAAAAAAGTTAAAGGAATATATAAATTCATTTCTTCAGTTCTCTTATAAAATAGTTAATAAATATTTTTCTCTCAAATTTGTTTCTAATGAAATGAGTTGAATACTCTTCCTTATTTTTTTAAGTTAAACAGTAAAAAATATAAATTAGTATTAATTAAAATGATAAACTGTTAATTGTTCTTACAATCATAATTGAAAAGGTAACTTCCGACAATAAAAAAAAATGGCAAATCGGCCATTAAATTTATAGTTTACTATTCTCATAAAATACACGATCGTCATTTTTATTATTGACGAGAAAATTATCGAATAAATTTAATTTCTGCATGGTCCTTGGTGAATAGACTTTATATATTTATATTTTTGGTCTATTCTTTGATTAATCTGTTATTTTGTCTTGTTCTGGAACTCTCACTCCTATTTTTTGTTCTTGTCTCTAGTCTACTAATCTGATATTTAATCTTTATTCCTAAAAATTTATTGTATAATAATCAAGTTCTTAACTCTTAAGTACGTGTCCACGCAAGTTTTGAACTTTAAAAACATTATTATACAACCACTTTTCGGTTAAGGTTTATTTTATATTTTGTTTGATCGTTAGCCTATAAAGATAGTTAAGAGTCAGGGCAACAATAGTAAAATAACACATTTAAATTGTAATCTCGCAATACTGTGGATTGTCTAGAAAAAATATAGATTGAAGAATCGAAGAAGTGAAATAGAGCTTACTCAAAGCATAAATCAATGTTTTCTCAAATTAAGAATTTCTTGAATTGTAAAGTTTCTTTTCATACATATATATAAACACAAGTCTCTGCTAAAACAAGAATAGTCTTTTTTTTCTTCTTCTATTAATATTGTATTGTCATTTGGATGGCTTTTATAATCAGACATTAATTTATTTCGCATGTACGAAGATTATAAATTTCATTTACCCGTATTTTCTGTTATTCATACCAAGTCAGGTGTGTACACAGTACATATCTATATCAATATTTTATATCCAATCATGTCATATAGAATCATCCCTAATCATTTAGTTAACAATGTTTAAGCATACCGTATACACATAATGGTGGCATATTTTCACGTGTACCGAGTAAACCAATTTTTTAGTTGTGAATGTGGAAAATCTTCAAGTCAAATGGAACAGGCAAAGTACACAAATATATTAAGACAAGTCACAAGGATACTTAATTTAACTTGGAAGATGGTCAATTGTGCAGTGAATAATCAGATTTTTAACAATAAAGTAAAGTAACATAAAAAAACTAGAATCATTGTCCATGTAAATATATCTTAATACAATCATTTGGTTAACTATATAAACGATCAAGTCAAGTTGATCATATAATCGATCCAAATTTAGCACTTACAAAAGAGAGTACTATCCAATAACGATGAGCATGACAATATCTATGCTATATATAGACTTCTTATGTATATAGTCATACAAATATGATATAATATTATGGGAAAGAAGAAGAGGAGGTAACAAAGAAAATGAGAAGTTTAAAGGATAGTCAAGTTCAAGTATAAGAGAGAAAGATAGAAGTATCGTTCGAGAAAATTATTAAAAAAAGGAAAGAGTAAATACAATGTACCATTTTAATTGTTTGGTACGAATCAATGTTCTTGCGATTGATGTTTTATAATCTTCTTGTCGTTGCCAGATGCATAGTTGCACACAACTTGTGGTCCTAATATTTGCCATCAATAAAAAAAAAAGGCAATCTAGTTAACAAATGGAAAATTGTTATGATATTTTAATATATTTTTTTCTGCCATTATTTAACCTTTTTAGGGTTAGCATTTTAATTATAAATATTTTTAGAATGCAACTAGAACATTTCATAATAAATAACGGATCAACCAGTCAAGATTTAACCAAACTAACAACGTTGAATATTTCTCTTGAAATTTTCGTAGCACTTGAAATTTTCATAACACAAAATCTTCAAAACATTGACTTCTACTAAAAAAGGTTAAACAAATTGAATGCGTTCATATAGACATAGTTAGTTGATAAATAAAAGGTTGAAAGTTTTATAAACAGATTAAAATAAGAAAATAGTTCAAACTTGATCATCGAAGTCTATATTCGAGGTTCTAGGTTCTTTCTTTAGTTAGGTGTGTTGGATAGGGACTTTGGACAAAAAGCTAAGAGTATAAGGTATCATACAAGGCAGAGCAGATAGCATCGTGCAATCAAATGCCATCAAATATCCCAAAGTGAATGTAAAATTGACCAGATTGAAGAATCTGCATCTCAAATAGGAAAACGATAGAGTTCTATACTTCTATCACCCTTAAAAACTGCCATGATATGATAAAAGGATAAAAAGTTCCAAAAATGTGAAGAAGAAGAAGAATTAAGCTAAACCAAGTCTAAGGGAAAGAAGATAAACAAAGGTTAAGGGCTGGCTCTACCAGACTTACCAACCAAGATGGACGGTGAAATAAAAGGATCACCGAAAGTAAAATTATTCGACGTATCAATCAATTCATCATCTACTATTTTTTTCACTACTAATTTCAAGAGAGTCAATAACTGCATTAGTTATGCTGCCTGAAAAGTCCAAATATAACGGGCCTAGAGAATTTTACCTGAGGCCCATATGAGTTTCCTCTAATACCCATAACAAATAAATATTTTGTCAAAAACTGATAAAACTTGGAACTTTTTTAAAGAAGTGGAAGGAAAATACCGTAAATGAGTGATTGGCTTAATTTGTCGAATGTTTGATTAGAGGCTAGAGCTTTGGTAGAAGAACACAAAAAGACACAAGAAACGTGGCTCAAAGTTTTTAATACTATAAACCAAAATGACACATGAAGTATTATTGTTATGTATATAAAGGAAAACAGATTGTTCATTACAAACCAAAAATCAGCTACCTCTGCACTTTCTCCTCCCCTATCTCGTCTATTCCCAATGACATTTTTGTTTTAATGTCTGAAGAAACTTTGCTCAACTCTCTGTTAACGTTAATCGAATCCTGAATCGTACCACTACCAAAAACATGGGAAGTTCTTTTACACACACTGCATCAAAACATAGCGGTAAACACTCAAGTCAACTGCAATGACATGGTGCAAATAGCGTAGAAGCATACACACACTGCATCAAAACATAGCGGTAAACACTCAAGTTAACTGCAATGACATGGTGCAAATAGCGTAGAAGCACATGAACCAAACCGTTCCCAAACTTAGTTACTGGTCCCTATAATGGTTCAAGGATAATATATACTACTGAGCGAATGGTCAAAATTAATATGTTAGGTAAGGAGCAAACTGTTCAAAAAATCTGAGGTTGCATCAATGATGGGCCAAGATCGCATTAAAGAATGAAGAAAAAACTAATGGAAGAGAAGAAACTTAAGATGTACCTTTACAGCAAGTTTACACAGATAAGAAGTTGGAGTAGACAGCAATTTGGACTTTTCGCCTTTCACTTGTAAGGAGCAAAAATGATGCTAGAGTTATGGCCACCGAACCCGAATGAATTTGACAAGGCTGCTTTAATATCCAGTCTCTCCTTCTTTAGACCCACCAGCAGCTTTGTGTCCTGATCCATATTTGTAATGAGTTTGTGGTATAAGTTAACTGTTTTAAACCGGAACCATTGTATTAAATGATATCCAACTAAAAAAATTAGTCAACGTACCACTCCTTTGTCTGGATTCTCGAGGTTGATATTTGGATGAACCCATCCTGTCTTTATTGCCTGTAGGGTGAGAAGGTCACAATAACATTATTGTGTTTGTCCACTCAACTTGTTTAGTCATCAAACGAGATTAGATTTCATAAACATCACTTTCTTGCTTGTCGATATAGGTGATGTCTCTAGACTTTAAGTCATTACCTGAACGGTTGCAACAGCCTCCACGGCCCCAGAAGCTCCCAGCAAGTGTCCAATCATAGATTTTGTTGAGTTTATCCGTAGCTGAAAAAATTGCCAGAGAGCATGTAAGAAAATAGGAATACAGACGTTTCATTGGATATATAAACAAACACGTTGACGAGAGAAACAAAGCTACCTCAGGATTTTGGCCAAAACAGTGGGCAAGGGCTTGGTACTCCTTAAGGTCTCCAGCTGGTGTAGAGGTAGCATGAGCATTTACGTAATTTATGTCTTCCTTTGAAATCCCGGCATGAGCTAATGCTCTCTCGATACAGAGTATGGCACCAGCACCTGCGGATAATAGATATCTTATTCAGTACAAAATTAAAGGGTTAAATAAATAAGAGACCATTGGAATCTTAAAGCCTAGAATCATGCTCTCGAGCAACCAAACAATGATAACTTCCCACGCTGATCCATAGATGTAGTGGATCAGTAAATTAAGATAGTTAGGGGGAAAAGAGATCTACCATCAGGGCGTGGTTCGGTTATATGATATGCATCACATGTGAAACTACCACCGAGGAACTCTGCGTAGATAGTTGCTCCTCTTTTCTGCAAAAGCAGAATTTATCAATTAATATAGACTTACAACAACTTAATTAAAAAGATTTTGGAAACATTTTCAGTTGTTCAGTTGTGAATAAAATAGTTGGACCATCTCCAACTAGACAAAAGCTTTGAAGAACAGAGGTAACTAAACTTTACAGAAAAAGAGGTGGGCAAAAAGTATGGAGAAAAGACATAAAAACACTTCCTAAGCAAGACTCAGATCGGTAATCAGAAATGATAACAAGAGCCTCCATCTTTCAATGCAGATTTAAAGAGTGCCAAACCTTTGCATGCTCAAGTTCTTCTAAAAGCAGAACTCCAGCTCCCTCTCCCATAACGAAACCATCTCGATTCTGTTCAGGAAACCAAGATCAAGTTTAATAGAAAATAAAAAAGAAAATCCTGAAACAATATATATTTCAACATTATGCTACACGAGAGTGAGATGCAATGGACATTCATATCCGTGAAACTATTTTACAGTGCCAGGACACAAGAGAGTTAACACCCATGGTTTCTCGCTTTTTTTTTTACAATGGATATCATCAGGGGACCCGTTAAAGATATGCTTAAATCAGAATCGCCTTAGAGATCTCAGGTAGGTGGCAAATCGCCATGTGGTCCATGCCTTTTTAGTAATCAAAATTCAAAAGGAAGAATAAGAGAAATTTTGTAGAAGACAGTACGAAAATGGTGGAAGATTACACTATCCCAAGGACGTGAAGCTTTGGCGGGATCGTCATTCTTCTGTGAAAGAGCTCTGCAGGCAACAAAACCTCCCAACCCTGCATTGGTACACCTGAGATTAGATTTATCTGGCACAAAAGGAGGCATGTAATATAAAGGTAAGAGTATGCACCTAGTGGAATAATAACTGAATCAGAACCACCACAGAGCATTACATCCTATAAAGACAGACAAATGTCAAACAAAAGTAGAGTCACATAAAGTCTACAAAATTAAAAAATTTCCTCGGGTACTTACAGCTTCACCACTAATAATGTGGTTTGCCGCATTCAGGATACAGAAGTTGCCAGTGGCACATGCAGTTGAAATAGAGTAGTTTGGACCCATCCATCCCTAGTGTATCATAAATCATAACAAAGAAAGGTCAATACTTGCATACATGGCACCATGCATATTACGACATAAATATCCAAGAATGATCAGACCAGATCCAAGGCAAGCATAGCAGAACCCATGTTTGTTGTCGCAAAAGGTACACAAAAAGGATTCATCTTCTTGTAAGATATTTTCAAAGCTTCAAGCGCATCATAAAAGACCTGTATCAAACAAATGCAACAGTAAATAAAAGATTTCCAAATCTCTGTTTCAGTACTTTTTGACCCTATGTTGTGAAAACCATGATAATAGAAGAACAATCATCAATCAGAAGAAATTCTGAACAAAAAAAAAGCCTTTGTCTAAGAAATATTTTCAATATGTTCAAAACAAGAAAATAAGAAGGTACCTTCATGCCTCCCATTGCTGAGCCAATCAGAACTCCACACCTAGATTTGTCTAACGCTGCCATCACATCCTCAGTGACCCCACCATCAACCAACGCTTTCTTGCCGGCGGTTATAAGATAGAGCATGAATTTGTCCATCCTCTTCGAAAGTTTTGGAGCAATCCATCCTTCCGGCGAAAAGGTTTTAATCTCTCCTGCTATTCTCTTGGCAAAGGCAATCAAAAGCAGCCTAAGAAAAACAAAAAAAAACTCCATAGACTAATACTTCTAAAAGCTTCTGATATAACGCTTACCGTAGGAAATTCAGAACAATCAAAGTTCTCAATGTGGCTTATACCACTGTTGCCTTGCAGCAAATTCTCATAAAAGGTATGTGGGTCATGACCTAATGGTGTTTCAACTCCCATGCCTGTCACTACAACGCGGCGTGACTCCAAAGGAGGTTTCTTCTTCACCATTGCTTCCTTCTCCATTTCTAGAGTGACTTGCTCTGATTAGCAAAAAAAACAAAATTCACTATAATTAGTTTAGCTTCAAACTATCTCTCAACACTAAGAACTCTGTAAAAAGTAAGATTGAATTGATATACCAGAGCTAGATGCTCGATTAAGTCTCCTCTGCTTTCGATTCAAGTGATTGTTATTCGAATCGAACAGGGAAGACAGGGCATTGTTGTTATAGGAACTCACGAGAGCCTGAATGCCGTCGGATCCATAAGCGGAGCATTTTGTAAGCAGTCTCCGTCGGCGAGCCCAGAAGCTACTACTTTTAGTGTCCGATTGAGCCAGTCGGTCTCCGGCGTTATGCGTGACGGACATGCAAGCCGCCGCCACTAGCCAGTCGCAAAACGGAGATGCGTAAAATGAAGACGCACCCACCATGGCCAGCGAGCGATTAGAGAGAGAATATTGAAAAATCGAAGACAACGAATGAAGGGAAAGGGGAAAAAAACGAGAAATGTGTGATTGTAGGTCTGATTGAGAATCTAGCAGAAGAAGATGGATTCTGGAGTGATGACACACTCTCTCTCTCTCTCACACTCAGTCACTTCCCGGAGAGTGTTCGGATGCGTGAATTCGTGCGTGGAGACGCCAAGTCGTTTCTGTGAAAAAATGCGTCGCCAAAAGCAATGCCAAAGAGAGAGACGGAGAAATATATTAATACGAAGCGAAATGATATAAAAATCCCCAAAAATATTAACGACCACAATAAATATTTGTTTTGAAAAAAAAAATACTGCTTTTAATGTTTTATTCACATCACGTAATTGAAACTTTTTTCGCAGAATATCAATAACAATGAATTTTAAGCTGTTCGCTTTAATATATACGTAAGATTTTGTTTAACTGTCGTGAATATTTTTAGTTATTTTGTAGTTTTTACATTTTTATAGTAATACAAAATGACATGTATATACACGTGGAATTAAATCCGATTTTAGTCTGGGAAAAAAACGAAATAATAAATGATATAATCACCTCGGTTTAATCGAAGGAAGGAAGAGACACTAAAGTCAATGTGTCCAATGTCCTGTGAAACTGTGATAGACTGATAGGACAAACGAAACGATCGCTTTAAACAATATTTTATGTTAATCTGACAGAAACGGATTCGAGAGATTTTATTTTTGTTCATGCTGTTCTAAAATATTTTATCATGCTTATCCAATTTTCTACGATATTGGTTAAGTAGCATTCCTTCTTAATTATTGGCTCATAACATTTGATTAAAAAAAAAGGAGAAGTACGTACAAGTTAAATCGTATGATTGCTTGTTGATAAATTGTTAATAGTTGATGCGGTCTGGTCCCTGGGAGTGAACAGGTGGTCGTTAGAAACCTAAATCGATGGACATGCGTCATGTTATGATTATGAACGTTTTTCTCTAACTATTTTAGCAAAATGAATACTCAATACAACCAGGGACGAGCTTGCTAAAACAGTTATATATTTGCGGTAATAGAATCTGTCGTAAGAAATGGTGATAGAATTAATAGGGTAAAAATACTGCTGCAGTAGATGATTATCCAGAACATATTTCGGAAAATTTTCCAACTCTTAAACAATCAAGTAGACGTAAAAAAAAAAAAAAAAAAAAAAAAAAAAAAAAAAAAACATAGTAAGAAGGAGACAATATATGTATCTGCGTTTATGTATTAACTTGGTCCATGGGACGAATTGCAGCACCTTTGACGATGAGCCCATTCTTCCGGTCATCAGTCACGTACTGATGCAAAGAGAAAAACATCTTTGCGGCATCATTCTTTGGCGGGACCTCAAATTCTCCGACTTGAATATCCACCCAATTTTCGCCTATATAGTCGTCCAACCGCAAAATCCGCTCCTGGAGACTCTCAGTTCCATCTCGCGCGGTCAACTTTAGTTTCAAGGTCACTGGCTCCTCCCATCCAAATGCTGATTCCTCCAAGCTCATCAAGAAAACTACCTCGTACTTTGTCCCCGGTGTTAGATTTCGCGTGTGGAAATTTCCGGTTATTTGTAGCCAGTAAACTTTAATCAATGTCGCAACTTCAATGTTTGTTTCTCTGCGAACGCACACTTACATCATCATATTGCGCAGTTTGGTAAATACAGTATGTTAATTGTAACTTAAAAAAAAAAAATCTCTTACGTACGTAAATGAGTCGTAAATAGAACTCCACGTCCATTTTACAGGATCCTCGGCATGAGTGATGTCGAGTTTCCTTGCAGGGACAATGAAAACTCCTTGACGCTTTTCTTCTCCTCTAATGGGGATATTCGCCAACACTCTCTGAACCTCCTCTATAATTGACCGAATGAATTGGTTCTCCGACCTATCGCTGTTATACGTTACACATGATAAAATAGCTTGCACAGAATTAAACAGAGAACAAATATGATAAAACTTTTATAAATGTTTTTTCCTTTTTGTGCCAAAAAGGGTTTAGAATTAGTCTTTTTTTTTTCTTGGACTAAAATTTTCCATTTGTGTCATTGCATCAACCGGGCATTAGGGCCATTTCTATATGGTTTTGACTCGATCTGCTAAATTATGATCCTAAACTATTTTTGACCAAAATTTAGTAGACCTAGCCAAAACCAAACCAGATAAATTTGGGGGTCTCTGCCCAGTGGAATTTACTTTGAGGATGCAGATTTCAGATATTAGTTTTTTTCTGCTCAGAACATCTAGTTAAAATATATATATACAGAGAAGGGAGAGACAGAAAAAAAAAACCTGCTTTCTGACAAGTATAAGCCAAATTTTTGGGGAACAGATGCTAAAGCTTCCTCCCATTTCCGGATTCTTTCTGGCTGGTTTTTATATCTGTTTCTCATATTTATGAAAGTTTCTCCAAAATAACCTTGAAGATGTTTCACAACAGAAGGTTCCACCTTGTAGAATATGGGAATCACATCAAGATTGCCTTGATCCGCACATTCTTTGATCTTCGCCAACTCGTCCAAACACCATTCTGAACTGGTGTAATCCCTGGAGAAGATCACCAGAGCGATTTTGGATTCTTCGATCCTCACGAACAGGTTCTGTAGATCCCTGCCTCTCAGCTCCAGCTCGTCTATGAAAACGTTTATATTTTCGTTTTTCAAGGCAGGCTCAAGGAAGCCGATGAAGCCTCTGCGCAGCTCTTCTCCCCGAAAATTGATGAACACTTGAGGCCGTGTTGACCTCGATCCCATACCAGAAGAAGAAGAAGCCGCCATGGGGAAAAGAAAGTTTTTGTCAATGGTTGTTTGTATAATTCATGTTAGTATATAACTTTAATCCTGTGACAAGGCCCTGTTTTTAAAATGATCTTTTATGTATACACACTACACTGATTCTTCCCTCTAGTATTTCCATAAATTATATAATCCAAATGTCAAATTCAAAATTGCAACTGGGAAGAATATGTCCATGGTTGTCTTCAATGTTGTTGTATTAAGTATAAGTTATAAATCTTGTCGTTTTTTTTTGGAAATTGGACTTGTCTCATCTATTTCAACCACAATTGATTCCATATTTATCAATTCGAACCAAAACAAAACTGCTGAACAAGACAGATTACACAAATATGTATATAACCATCATAACACAAATATGTATATAACCATCATAATTAATACATATATATTAACAATATTAAATTGATAATTTTTAATCATCCGCATTGTATTTTTCTTTTATTATAATTTATTCCCAAAACTGGATATAATATTATACGTACATGTAAGTAATTGAGACCCATCATTCACATCATTTAGATTAGAAGCATTAATACATTGGGTGCAGGCATGAAGTAATCGAAAAACACAAAGTTCTTATTTATTTTTAAATTATTCAAAATGTCACGGGTTGATATAGTTTGCTTTGAGTTTGAGAGGTTACTTCTTTTTGTTAGACATTTTGAATAATTTAAAAATAAATAAGAACTTTGTGTTTTTCTATTTTTTATAATAATAAGAAATATGTGTTTCTTTTGTTACATCGTCGCAAGAGATTTCTTATCACCTTTTTAGGGGTGCAAAAGATAAAGAGATTTGTAATCTTGTAATATTACATATGATGATTATATATGTATCGTTTACCAAAGGCAAATCTAAATGCATGCAATACATAATGATATATAAATTTATTTGTGCTTTAGTTACTGGCTTACTGCATGGGACGAATCGCAACACCTTTGACAACGAGGCCGCTCTTCCGGTCATCAGTCACGTACTGATACATAGTGAAAGTCATCTTTGCAGCCGCCTTCCTAGGCGGTGCCACCAAAATTCCAGCCTGGATATCCACCCAGTTTTCGCCTATGTGGTCTTCCAAACTCGTTGTCCTCTCCTGCAAACTCTCTTTTCCATTCGGATCAACTATCTTTAGGCTCAGGTTCACCGGCTTCTCCCATCCTGAAGATGTATCATCTAAGCTCACCAGAAACACAACCTCGTAATTTGTCCCCGGTGTCAGATTTCTTGTGTGAAAATTTCCAGATATGTGTAGCCAGTAAACTTCATTCAACATCGCAATTTCTATGGCAGCTTCACTGAACATACAGCATATTAAAAAAAATTAAACCCTTGGTTCATGTATATCAAAAGCGGCAGGCAGTCAAATATGGTTAATTAATTCAAGAAAAGCATTTTCAAAAAAAGAATTAATCGTAATTTAACAATATTTATGAATATTATTATTTTTAAATTTTCATAAAATATAAAGATGGGAAAATAAACATATTCCTCAATGGTTTAACATTTATTGTTACCATTTAATTTTGGTTAAACATACAGTATATTGACTGCACTTACTTTGGTGCCTCGTAGATAGAACTCCATGTCCAGTTTCTTAGTTTCTCGGAATGACTAATCTCGAGTTTCCTAGCAGGAACCATGATACATTTGCTATCTGCTTCTCCTTTTTTGTTTACTCCGGCGGAAATATTCACCAGCAATCTACTCAATTCCTCCACGGCAGATTTTATGTGATCTTTCTTGGACTTTTCGCTGTCATATCATATGATACGAGTTAAAGGAAAAACAATGGATAAATGTGTCGGTTACGACTTACGAATAAAGCATGTTGCTCGATCTTGTTCTGTCCACGATATAGGATCGAGTTCTATTTACCTGTATAATGTTTATTGTGTTTAAAAGACATAACATGTATAATGTTTATTGTGTTTAAAAGACATAACATGTTATACTTATAGGTACAAACGTGTTACTCTATGTTTTATAAATAGAATCCTGAGATCTCACAGAAAATAACATATTTCCATTATTTTATATTCATTTTTACAAATTCAAACCATGGCATATGAATAAAAAAATGGCGAAATTAATTCAAATTTTATGAAAAGATGCAAGTAAACAAATATAAGAGGGGTAAGTTTTTAGGGAATGCATATGAAAGAGAAGGATGGAATGAGAAGTTGAAGAAGATTAATGGGTGTGGATGGAGGGGGGGGGGGGGGGGGGGAGGGGGGGGGGAGGTACAATGTGATCAAATGGTTATTATTATAAGTCATTGGCTTAATCAAAAGACCAGTTGCACTTAATAAAAAGGGACTATTGGTGATGGTCATATACCAACGAATTTCTCTTCTTTTTTTTTGTCAACATGCAATATGTTGATTTGAATATGGGTGGTGGTGACAAAACAATCATATTAGCACAAACATGTACTGGTATTTTGTCTATAATTATTTGTGTTGTTCTATCTTAGTTATTGATTAAATCGTTCATTGTTTTAAACTTACTGGGTTGCAATTGAGAAAGTGTAAAACTCGTTTGCAAACCGACCATCTGGAAATCTGGTCAGACCGGGCAGAACCGATTTCCACATATATTTTCCAAAGACAAAACCAACATCCGACATCTTACAACTAACTACTAAGAACTAAGAAGTGTCTTTGACCAAGAACAGAGGAAACAAAAAAAGAACCTGTTTAGGAGATCAGCCAAGTCTCCATTAAGCTTCTTAAAGGAAATCACGTCCATCTTGCATAATATAGGCATCTCTTCAACGACGGGTTCTTTGATCTTTGGTAGCTCATCAAAACCATATTTTGACTCCGTGAAGATCGCTAGTGATATTCTCGAGTCCTGGATTCTTTGTAACAAACTCCCTAGATCTCTGTCTCTTACCTCTTCTTCGTCTATTAAGACATTTACATTCTCGTTTTTGAGGACAGGCTCGAGAAAGCTTATAAGGCTTTTGCCCACGTCTTCCTGCTTGAAATCGATGAATACTAGCGGCCGTGTCGGGATCAATCCTACAACAGACGAAGAAGAAGAGGTAGAAGCCGCCATGGGATAGCTTTTTTTTTCTTAAGGGAAAGAGTTTTTGATAGCTTTTTCTTTTTAATATCTGCTTGAATCCTTGAACTAATTAATAAAGTCAACTTTTTTACATTATGAATTAGTCCAAAAGTCAAGGCTGGAATAGATATTGAGTGTGGTGGTATATCTTGGTTGATGACACGATTGCTTGTCATAAACAAAAAAATCAAATCAAACCCATAAAAACTAGGCCTGGGCAAAAAATCCGTTAGATCCGATTCGATCCGATATCCGCTTTGATTCGATTCGAAAAATCCGGATATCCGTAAAGCTTCAAAGCAAAGCAAATAGCAAAATGGTATATCCGTAAAAGACAAAGCAAATCGCAAATATCATTTTAGAAAAGCCCGGATATCCGCTCCGATCCGTACTTACTAAGTGTGTATATATATATATATATATATCAAAGTATACATTTTACAAATTGCCTAAATAAAAAATATGCAGCTTAGCCAGCAAAGACCAAAGTTTAGTCACAGCCCACATAGAGCCCAACAAAATAGAAAAATTAAGAAATAAATCACAATCACTAAATAAAAATAAAAATTATGTTTTCTCTTAAAACTATAAAATAACTTAAAGATCTATTGTCGATCAACTTTACCAAAACCTTATCTTCTTCGTCAACTTTACCAATCTCGCTTTTTAGGGTTTTCACTTTTACCGTATATTTCTTCTTCATGATCCTTAATTACTGGTAAGTTTCAAAAAAGTTTCACTCTTTCTATCATGCTCCTTCTAATTTCACTGATTGTGTTTGCTTTGACCAAAATATTCCACTGATTATGTTTGCTTTTGTAATCGATGTTTTAGGATTTGTGTAATTGATGGTTTATCTTTGGAGGCAATTAGAGAATCTTAAGAACTATAGCGTTATGAGATATGTGTTTTTTTACTTTACTGTTTACTCGTCCATGGATATTTGATTTTGTTTGGAATTTTCTGCTTTTCTTATGTTACCGTTTTTTCTTTTTGTTTTGGTAGATGGCTCACAAAGAAAAATCAAGTGGTTTTAAGAAGACTACTGAGAATCCAAAACCTGCTCTACCGAAAGATACTTCTAAAGCTGCCAATCAACCAAAACCGAAGGTGCAAAAGAGGAAATCTGTGGCTTGGGTTCATTTTAGCGAGACAAACGGAAAACTCAAAGCTGAGTGTAACTATTGTTCTGCGCTGATCTCATGCCGAACCGATGCTGGTTCGACAACTAGTGCCATGCTCAATCATATGAAAAGGTGCAAGCAATACCTAAATCTTGGGCTTAATGAAGAGGATGTTGATGAAAGCCAAGGTAGACGTGTGAAACAGTCAACTTTGTTTCATCGTAGCGGGACTGGAAAAGATAAAGAGGGTGTTCCTTCGTTCCTTACATTTAACAAAGAGGATTCTCTTCGTGCTCTGTTTCGGATGATTATAAAAGATGAATTGCCTTTTCGATTTGTGGAACGAGAAGGTTTTATAGAGTTTTGTATGGTGCTGCAGCCACGTTTTCAAATGCCGTCACGTAGGACTGTGACGAGGGGTTGCTTAGCTATGTTTGAGGGAGAAAGAGAACAGCTAAGGACATGGTTTAAAAAGTTTTCTGGAAGCGTTAGTCTCACCACAGACACATGGACTTCTTGTCAAAATCTGACTTATATGTGCTTGACGGCTCATTTCATAGATTCTGAATGGAATCTACACAAGAAGATAATAAACTTTTGCCAAGTCTCAAGTCATTCAGGTGAGATGATGGGAAGAACGATGGAGAAGTGTTTGCTGTTTTGGGGAATTGACAAAGTTTTTACAATCACGGTAGACAACGCAAGTTCAAATGATTTAGGAGTGCGTTACATGCGAAAAAGTCTACAATCAAGAGGAGGCTGTATGTTAAATGGCGAGTTTCTTCATATGCGGTGTGGTGCTCATATCTTAGGTTTGATTGTTAAAGACGGCTTAAAGGATGTAGAGGCTGCGATAACTCGGATTCGTTTGGCTGTTCGTTATATAAGATCTTCTCCAAATAGGTTGGTGAAATTTAAAGAGTGTCTTGAACAATTGAAACTTCCTACGAACTGTGGTGTTTGCTTGGATGTGGAAACCAGATGGAACTCAACCTATTTAATGTTAGATTCTGCTCTTAAGGTAAGGAAAGCTTTTGATTTGCTGGAAGTAAAAGACAGAGCCTATAGAGTTGAGATGGCTGATGATTTGCCGAGTGATACTGACTGGTCTTATGCTGAAGGTCTTGTTCCATTCTTGGAGTCATTTTATGAGACAACCGTGAAGATATCTGGGTCTCTTTACATCACATCAAATGTTTATATGAAAGAGATCTTTGGCTTATCTTTACTTATAATGAAGATGGGTATGGATGAGTCTAGATCCATAAGAGAGATGTCAGTCCGGATGAGAGAAAAGTACGACAAGTATTGGGGAAATTTTGATAACATGAACATGCTTATCTTTGTTGCTACTGTACTTGATCCAAGGTACAAGATGCAGTGGGTTAAATGGTTGATTGATGAAATATACTCGGCACAAGATGCTTCTGATTTACTGTCAAAGGTTCGTGCTGCTTTAGATAAGATGTTTGACTACTACAAGACTATGGTTCCGGAAAGTACGGTGTCTTCTAGTGAAAGAAACGACAATGTTGGAGAAGATGATGTTCAAAAAATTGGAAAGATTGGTTCTTGGATGAGTTCTATGTACAAGAAACACAAGGAGAGTAAAGGATATGCACAACCTGAAACAGAGCTGGAAAGGTATTTGTTGGATGATTGTGAAAACGATGAGGATCAGAGTTTTGATATCTTGTATTGGTGGAAGACTACAGGATCAAAGTATAAGATAATCTCTCTGATGGCGAAAGATATACTTGTTGTTCCCGTATCGACAGTTGCATCGGAATCTGCTTTTAGTGCGGGAGGTCGTGTGCTTGATTCTTTCCGAAGCTCACTCACTCCAACAATGGTCGAAGCTCTCATTTGCACTCAAGATTGGATACGGCGTGACAATCAACCTCTTGTGGTAGAAGAAACAATGGCGGATATACTAGAATTCGAATCTGGTATGATTTACTTTTTGATATTTAGTTTTCAATCAGTTTTTGCAATTTTCTGTGATCTGATTCTAATATTTACTTCTAATTTTCTTTTTTTTAGAGATGGAGGCAGAAAATACTTTTGGTCCTATGGTTGTTGATGATTGATAACTTATTTAGGTTTGGTTAAAAACTTACGCTACGTTTGAAGCTTGTGCTTATGTTGACTTTTGTTTTGTTCTTGATTTGAATATGTTATGTTTGCTGCAGGTTTTTAATGCCAACGATGAGAATGTATATAGTGATTAGTGATGGCCTGATGGGAATGTATATGTGGATTTTGGTGAAACCTTTTGGGAAAACGTAGAATCTAACTTGGAAAAGTTCTACTCGGAGAAGATGTCTTTTGCTTTATGTTGTACTTAGTGGCACCCTAATCAGGTAATTTGTCTTAGGAACTTATTTTTGAAGGCATATCATGAAACCGCAACAATATTTTGGATGTATGCCTATTTACTTTTGTATTATATGCATTATTGTATGTTTTTAGTTTTTAGTATTATATATTCAACGGATCGGAGCGGATATATCAAAAAAGTTACGGATATCCGGATAAATGGATCGGAGCGGATAATCCGCGGATATTTAAAAAAGTTTTGGATATCCGGATCAACGGATATCCGAAAATTTTCGGATCGGATCGAATCGAAAAATCAAATATTTGGTCGGGGCGGAGCGGATCACGGATACCAGGTTTTTTCCGGATATCCGCTCCGTGCCCAGGGCTAATAAAAACCAAAGCACATAATAAAAATAAATTGGTGAGAAGAAGAACCAAAGTCCATAATATATATATATATATATATATATATATATATAATTATTCTCATGTTTTATTCCATTCCTATGATATTGGTTAAGTATGCATTCCTTCTTATTTGCTGGCTCATAACAAATGATTAAAAAAAAAGGGGAATTACAAAAAAAAAAAAAAAAAAAAAAGAGGGAATTACAAGATAAATCGTATGATGAATTGTTAATAGTTGATGTGGTCTGGAGAGTGGACAGGTGGTCGTTAGAAACATAAATTGATGGACATGCGTCGTGTTATGATTATGATCGTTTTTGTATTAGTGGTTTGAGATTTTTTACACAGTAATCGGTAATCGCACAGTTACATGCATGAGCATGACCATCCAGACTTTCTGATTGCATGCAAATGTACACTTGGCTTTTGTAGTGACCACTCACGCCGGCCTGTAAAGCCCATAATCACTACTAATCTGAATTCAAATAACATTGGCCCTATTAAAAGCCCACTGTAAGTATTACTTTTCATTCATGAGCTCACCGTAACTCCCGTGAGTGTATAATGAAGACTGGAATGGTGTCACCATTTTTAAAACGGTGAATGTTATTAATATTCTAAGATTAGCCTATACATACACGTCAGAATAAATTATAAATTAATCAAAAATACAATATGGTAACATGATTGACATTTACGTTTGAAGAAATTAGAATTTTCCTTACGCAATTAGATTTCTTACCCAATAATTTCCTTTCCAGTTAAAGTTTACTTTTTATAATATAAAGTTCTTAAGTTAAAATATAAAAATAAACGCTTTTGAAAAAACCAAACCACGCCTCACCAACTTTTTTCCGAATGTTTGTTTTCCTCAACTTTTGTTCTTCTTCTACTTTGTTATCACCTTTTGTCTTTTTGATATCTGTAATAGGGTAATAACATCATTAATTTCATCATATGTTATCCTTTTCTTCTTCCTTTATTCCTAGCTTTCTGCTAAATTATTTGGCACTCGGTAAAAATAAACAGTCAAGCTGCAAAAAATAAAAGTTTGAGAAACAAAAGTGACATAGAACTGTTTAAGATTTGTAACTCGAAGTATCCAAACGTGTCTTAACGTTTTATAGAAGATTGATTTAAGCCATTATTAAAATGTCAAGTATCTAAGATATTTTTGCATAAAAATGTGATTTGGAAACAAGATTTGACTTTTAAATAGCGTTTTGTCTCTGTGTCTATCTCTAAACTCTCAGCGTCGGGAACGTTTGTTCTCTGGAAGGAGAAAGAAGGAGCTCAACGACCAAACTTCCGACGCGTAGACTTTTTTCTTTTTCTTTAATAATTATTTTTCTCCTCTGTAATCTCGTATTCAAAATTCTCGATAGACGATCTCTTCTCCTTCTTCTTCTTCTTCGTCGTCGTGATCCTCATGAAGAAAAAATACGTTTTTTATTTGGGGTTTTTGTTTTTGCGTGCACCAAATTTTGACTTTGAATTCGCGTAGTATTCAAGCACATTTCTGGGTTTATTCGTTTTAGTAGAGACATTGATTTTGTCAAAGTTACGTTCTTATATAAAAGGGAGAAAAAAAATTCCTTTTTCTTTTCTCTTTACTCTTTTTTTTTTCTTTCTCTTTCTCTGCCCCATGTTGTAGATTCTTAGATTCTCCCCCAAATTTTGAAGAAAGGAGAGTCTTTTTGAGATTCTTTTGTTGCTGCGGGGTTTCGTGATTAGATCGTTTCGTGTCACCTCAAAAAGCGGAGAGAAAATCGTGGCTTGGAGTTTTGGGTTTATCTGTAAGCTTATTGGGATCTTATCTGATCCAGGATTTCGCCTTAATTCTCTCAAGGTAAGACGTGATTGTATTTGGACGAATCTACAGCTGGAAATCACTTGATAATTCCGTGTTGGATTGGTTTCTGATTTCGTGGGTTTTTCAATTTTCAAATTCGTCTGAAAGATAGCCACTGAGAATTGCAGGTTTAGGGTTTAATCATAGTTTGTAGTTTCAAAATGCTGTTGTTTTGTGGGTTTTGAAGTTTAATAGTGAACTAGCGAAACAACTTCGTTTTGGGCTTTTACTCTGAAGTAAGGATTTTGCTTGAATCAAGAGACTTGACGATTGTGCAGGTGAAAGAATTTAGCTGCATTCTCTATGAACAGATAGTTATTTAAGCAAATATGGGTTGGTTCAACAAGATCTTCAAAGGCTCTAGGCTGCAGCACAATCACAATGGCTACTACCAGAATTATCCGAATTCTTCACATGATGAGCCTAGTGCAGATACAGATGCTGAACCTGATGAGCATCATACACAGGAATCATCTACCTCTGAGGTTAGTAACGTCATGTATGACTCTGTGTTTAAACTTTTTGAACTGTTACTTCAAGATTTTTGTTGTTTTTCATTACTAGGATACTACTTCGAATGACCAGGACGAAGACATAGACCGTGCAATTGCATTGTCTCTATTAGAAGAGAGTCAAGGGCAGACAAATAGAGGCGGTGAGTGTACATTCCGGATTGTTTTTAGCCACACAGACATATAAAGAACATAGTTTTGTTACTGAACTCGGTTTTGTTACGTTTAGAAAATAAAGAAAAATACGCAATGGTGGATGAAGATGAGCAACTTGCCAGAGCCATACAAGAGAGTATGCTAGTTGGGAACTCGCCGCGTCAGAAAAACGGAAGCACTTATGATCATGGGAATGCGTATGGGAGTGGAGATTTTGGGAATGGACATATGCATGGAGGAGGAGGGAATGTATATGCAAATGGAGATATTTATTATCCAAGACCTGTTGCTTTTTCAATGGATTTCAGGTACCTTTAGATAGCAAACCATGTTTGTTTTGTTCGATTTGTTAGTTTTCTTCAACAGCTAGATAACTTGTCTGCATAGGATTTGTGCTGGCTGCAATATGGAGATTGGCCATGGAAGATTTCTGAATTGCCTTAACTCACTATGGCATCCACAATGTTTTCGATGTTATGGCTGCAGTCTCCCGATTTCTGAGTACGAGGTGAAACCAAAATCTCTTTTCCTTTCTCTGGATCCTCCTAACCTTTATATTTACTCATGACAAGATTCTCTTTTTTTTTCTCATATAGTTTTCAACATCTGGAAACTACCCTTTTCACAAGGCTTGTTACAGGGAGAGATATCATCCAAAATGTGATGTCTGCAGCTACTTTGTATGTAAATCTCTAGCCTTCTTGTATATATAGATGTGTTGTTTTCTTCGGATCTTGCACTTATATTCTGTTGCTTTCTTTTTTTCCGAATGTTAATTTCTTGGACAGATTCCAACAAATCCTGCTGGTCTTATTGAATATAGGGCACATCCTTTTTGGGTACAGAAGTATTGCCCTGCTCACGAACACGATGCGACCCCAAGATGTTGCAGTTGTGAAAGAATGGAGGTGAGTTATCTACTCCCCTAACAATACTTTGTGTTCAAAGTTGAAACATTTTGGGAGGAAGTTGACAACTTTTCTATATTTTGCAGCCACGGAGTACAACATATGTTGCGCTAAGCGATGGACGTAAACTTTGCCTCGAGTGTTTGGACTCAGCTGTCATGGACAATAGTCAATGCGAACCTCTGTACTTGCAGATACAAGAGTTCTATGAAGGGCTTAACATGAAGGTAGAGCAGGAAGTTCCATTGCTCTTGGTTGAGAGACAAGCACTTAATGAAGCCAGAGAAGGTGAAAAGAATGTGAGTGAAATATTACAACTTTAATTGAAATCATCACACTTTTTGGCTTTTTGCAAAGTGTTTGAGCTTTTTCACTTTATGCTTCTTAGGGTCACTACCATATGCCAGAGACGAGAGGACTCTGCCTTTCAGAAGAACAAACTGTTAGTACTGTAAGAAAGCGATCAAAGGGAAACTGGGGTGGGAATATGGTTACAGAGCCTTACAAGTTGACACGCCAATGCGAGGTTACTGCCATTCTCATTTTATTTGGTCTCCCTAGGCTACTCACTGGTTCGATTCTAGCTCACGAGATGATGCACGCGTGGATGCGTCTGAAAGGTGAGTTTCTTGCTCCTCTGACTACTTCTTCTCTTGTTTCACATTGTTGAATCGCCATTGCTTTTGTGGTCTTGAAAAGGATTCCGGACACTTAGCCAAGACGTTGAAGAAGGGATATGTCAAGTGATGGCTCATAAGTGGTTAGATGCCGAGTTAGCTGCTGGTTCAAGAAACAGCAATGCTGCATCTTCATCATCATCTTCATCTTCTTCTTCTAGAGGATTGAAGAAAGGACCGAGATCTCAGTACGAGAGGAAGCTTGGTGAGTTCTTCAAGCACCAGATTGAGTCTGATGCTTCTCCGGTCTATGGAGACGGGTTCAGAGCCGGGAGGTTAGCTGTTCACAAGTACGGTTTGGGAAAAACACTTGAGCATATACAGATGACCGGGACATTCCCGGTTTAAGAACCATCATGGACAAATGTCTTTTCCTTTTTTATTTATAGGATCCTTTGGTAGATTGTTATTATATTCTTTTGGTGAAAAATTAATCTTTCGACCATATTCATGTGACTGAATCACAGTGTAGTCTCCTTTTTTTTGGGCAAAGAATCACAGTGTAGTCATTTGATGATTCTTTTGTACTCTCAAATTAAAACCGGAATTGGTCATGTAAACCAAATCTGAATCGAAAACCAAAACTAAACCGAACCGGAGACCAATCTTAAAGGTTTCTCCTTTACACTCTCACACTCTTCGTCGCCGACGTTAATCGTCGTCAATCGTCGACGCACTCAACTGTACCCTTAAAGGGCTTAAACCTTCACTTACAAAGAACTCACTTTTGACCGGTCCGTTGTCTAATTTGAGCTCCTATGATTAATCATCCGACAACGATAACCTCCTGATGCTCCGGCAGTCTCCGGCACGCGTTGTTGCCTTTCGATTGCTTCCGCTTCTCCACTCTCGTCGATTCTCCGAAGCCTCTAGAACCTTGCGCCGCGAGCTTCGAGTAGGACACAAGCGGATTCCACCCGAATTGATCGAGCGGGTCTCCCGTTTGCTCGTGCTCGGAAGGTACGATGCTTTACATTATCTCTCAATCGATTTCTCCGACGAACTTCTCAACTCCCTTCTCCGCAAACTGAGGCTAAACCCAGAGGCGTGTATCGAGATTTTCAATTTGGCTTCGAAACAGCAGAAGTTCCGGCCTGATTTCAAGGCGTATTGTAAAATGGCTCACATTTTGTCCAGAGCTCGAATGTACGATGAGACGAGATCGTATCTGCGTGAGCTCGTTGCTCTCAATCACTCGTGCTTCGTCGTCTGGGACGAGCTCGTTCGGGTCTTCAAGAAATTCTCATTCTCTCCTACAGTCTTCGACATGATACTGAAAGTTTATGCAGAGAAGGGGTTGATCAAGAACGCTTTAAATGTTTTTGACAACATGGGGAGCTGTGGAAGAGTGCCTAGTTTGCTGTCTTGTAACAGCCTGTTGAGCAATTTGGTTAAGAAAGGTGAAAACTTTGTGGCTTTACATGTTTATGATCAGATGATTAGCTTTGGGGTTTCTCCGGATGTGTTTACTTGCAGTATTGTTGTGAATGCTTACTGCAGAAACGGGGAAGTTGATAAAGCCATGGAATTTGCAAAAGAAATGGAGATGTCATCTGGTTTGGAGCTGAATGTGGTAACTTACAATAGCTTGATCAACGGGTATGCTATGATCGGAGATATTGAGGGAGTGAGAAGAGTGTTCCTGTTGATGTGTGAGAGAGGTGTTTTGAGGAATGTTGTTACGTATACTTTGTTGATTAAGGGGTATTGTAAAAAGGGGTTGATGGAAGAAGCGGAACAGGTGTTTGAACAGCTTAAGGAAGAGAGACTTGTTGCGGATCAGCATGTGTATGGTGTGTTGATTGATGGATACTGTCGCAATGGTAAGATCAGTGATGCTATTAGGGTTCATGATGATATGATGGGGAAGGGAGTGAGAACAAATACAACCATTTGCAACTCTTTGATCAATGGTTATTGCAAATCCGGTCAGTTGGTAAAGGCAGAGCAAATATTTACACGGATGAATGATTGGAGCTTGAAACCGGATCATCATACTTACAATACACTTGTGGACGGATATTGCAGGGCCGGTCGCATTAAGGATGCTTTGAATCTTTGTGATCGAATGTGTGCAAAGGAGGAAGTTGTACCAACAACTATGACTTACAATATTCTTCTCAAAGGTTTTAGTCGTGTTGGTGCTTTTCATGATGTGATAAGCCTTTGGAAGATGATGGTAAAGAGAGGCGTGACGGCCAATGAGATCAGCTGTAGCACTCTGCTCGAAGCATTGTTCAAGCTTGGCGATTTTAATGAAGCTATGAAGCTATGGCACAATGTCTTAGCAAGAGGTCTATTGACAGATACAACAACGTTAAACGTAATGATCAGTGGGCTATGTAGAATGGAGAAGGTTAATGAAGCCAGAGAGGTTCTTGATAATGTGAAAGATTTCAGATGTAAGCCAGACGTGCAAACATATCAAGCGTTGAGCCATGGTTATTACAAAGTTGGGAACTTGAAAGAAGCTTTTGGGGTTAAAGACTTGATGGAGAGGAAAGGAATCTTCCCCACCATAGAGATGTATAACACTCTAATATCTGGTGCTTACAATGTTAGAGACTTCAGTAAAGTGGCGGATCTTGTAATCGAGCTACGGTCAAGAGGATTAACTCCTACTGTTGCTACATATGGAGCTCTTATCACAGGCTGGTGCAATGTTGGAATGATGGATAGAGCTTACGCTACTTGTTTTGAGATGATAGAGAAAGGGATTGCAGTGAATGTGAATATTTGCAGCAAGATTGCAAACAGTTTGTTCCGGCTTGGTAAGATCGATGAGGCTTGTTTGCTGTTGCAGAAGATTGTGGATTTTGACCTTCTTCTTCCCGGTTACCGAAGCTTTAAAGACTTTCTTAGTCCTGATGCTACTAAGTGCCTTCAAACGCAAAGAATCGCTGATTCTCTCGAGAGTAGTACTACTCCAAAGAAGCTTTTAGTTCCGAATAACATTGTGTACAATGTTGCTCTCGCAGGTCTCTGTAAAGCTGAGAAACTCAAGGATGCTCAAAAGCTCTTTTCGGATTTACAGTCACGTGATGAGTTTACTCCAGACGTATACACATACACAATCCTAATCCATGGATGTGCCATCGCTGGTGATATAAATGAAGCCTTTAACCTGAGAGATGAGATGTCTCTTAAAGGTATTATCCCAAACATTGTTACGTACAATGGTTTGATAAAAGGCTTGTGCAAGTTTGGGAATCTTGATCGTGCTCAGAGGCTTTTACGTAAGCTTCCACAGAAGGGTATAGCTCCTAATGCTATTACCTATAAGACAATGATCGATGGGCTGATTAAAAATGGTGATGTTGCTGAAGCTGTGCGTTTGAAAGACAAAATGGTTGAGGCAGGTTTGGTTAGAGGAAGCTATAAACAAGGTGATGTTGGAAACTCGAACGAGGTTTTGGATCAGGTGATCAAATCAGATGAGATTTGTGATGTTGGTATAGTTTATGAAGCAGTAGTATGATGATGACTAAAGAAATACGTAGCCATTTTTGTGTTAGGATAGTTTCTGAAGCATTAATATACTGTTGTAATGTAAACTTTGATTGATGTAATAAATGTGATTGATTGATAATTAAGTTGCTTCAGATCAACTCAAGCTAGTTTGGTTTAAATTGACGAGCCATCTCTCTTTCCTTTTCAGAATGTGAACAACCACAAACCTACCTTTGATTTGTGTTTGTCATCTGCTGGACCGGAGAGCTTATTCCGGTTTGGTTCGTTTTGGTTTGATTTTAATGGTACTCTTTGTGACATGGTGGTCCATAGTCAATGATAGTAATCTCAAGGTCACGTTTTGGCTCAGAAAGCTCAGAAGTCACTCACCCAACTTGATATTCATATTATAGTGGATGAAATTTTAATAGAAATATTTAAAAACTGGAATTATTTATACTAACAAAAATTACGTTGTTGATTCATTCTAGGAAGCAAAATGAAAGGAACAAGTGAATACAAAGCTGTCTTTAATTTTTTTCTTGTCTTTTACATTTCATCTACGAATATAAACATCAAATACTTAGTTATCCGTTTTTTGGTTTTAAGGTGAAGCCTTAGTTATCCGTTTGTAGTGAAATTGACATAATCTGCCATTTAATTGGTGGAAACGTCGACGATGTTACATCATTTGGAAAGAACTGAAGGAATTGATTGGAATTTTGCTATGTTGGCCGGTTTGTTTTTATAAATGGTAACTCAAGTCCAAGAAAAAAAAATTCAGCCGATTCTTTTAATTATAAAGGTGAATTTTTAAAATTAAACTTCGTGCCAGAAAAAAAGCTTAGTATAATTTCTGCACTATGAAATAAGTAAATATACCTACGTGCCAAATATATTTCCACTTAAATATTTGATGTAAATCTCTTTAAAATACATCCTATACGATTTGGAGGGTATATAATTTTAAAAACTTTACGAGAAAGTGAGATGTACAGTGATCAGTGAATATATTTTCTTAATTAGTAAAAGGTAACAGAAAAAGATGATAAGAGGCTCAAAGGTCAAACTGTACATTAATGTATGATGGGACTTTGCTCGTGCTTTTTTTCCCTTCTCTTGCTTGTACCACCGACACTCTGACTCGAATTATTTACTAAAACTCAACTTAACAATTTAAGTTCATGGACCATTTAATTAATAAATTAACATTATGATCTCGTTACTTCATATAAACAAGCACGTTCGGGGTGACCGTGACTCTTGTTTGTTACTTGGTTTGTTGCTTTGATTTGCTTCCTTTTGTTTGGTTTATTGCTGTTTATGCAAGTATAAAAAAAATTCTCAAAAACGTTACGAATTATTGGCAATCTATTCCTACAAAAATATTGCTTTCTCAAAATATGTACGTAACTATTTTCTAGGATCTAGCCAGCTTAAACCTCAAAAAATGTAAATATACGTGGACATGGTTTTCTATGATTTGGTATTTTCATTAAAATATGGAATTGATTAACTTAAGGCATGTGGTTTTGTCTTAAAGACGGGATATAACAGAAACTCGAAAATGAAATAAACACATGTGCTCTTTTAACCTACGAACCATCGACACATATAGAATCGGACATCATGTGTACCTTCATTTACATTATTAGATTCCTATCGTTAGAAAGAATAATTCTTTTTACTCTCATATTCTCATATATGTACAATTGCAAACGCATCGTTCCGCGGCTTATAAACGCGTAATAACCCAAGTGGCTTACTAATATTGTTCACTTCTATAATTCAAACAAAACCATGACAAATAACAAACGGACAAAACGTAAACTGTCTTTTTCTTGTCATGAACATACTACATACGTAAACGCGATAATTCAGTCGCTTCCATTTATTATTCACACTGATCTATATACTCCGAACAAAACCAAAATGTTTTTTTTTTGTTTGTCACAATTTTATGAATCGATTTACATGAAAAAACAAACAAAAAATCACCTGTATATATTTTTATATATATATATATATGTGTATGTATGTACCGGTATAAAAAGTAAACCGAAATGGTCAAGAATCCAAAGCGAATGGCGTTTGAAGAAGATCGTACGGAGACCAAAGCGCGTCTAACGGACAAGGCCGACCAGCGTCGAGCCTAGCCCATGGCTTACCTTTCCCGCTCCAATGCAACAGACTCACCGGACCGGGATGCAGATCTCGGCACAGCCCCCGGAAATTATCCCCACCTAAACCGTGCTGGTTCCACCGATGATTAACCGGTTTAATCAAACCGGCGAAAACCAGCAGAAACGGCGGTAACGAACCGAGCTCGTAGATCCTCATTCGCTTCTGCATCGCCATCCACTCCTCGATGCGTGCCGTGTACGCGCCTTCGCGCCACCGCGAGAGGTCGATCACCATGACTCCGGTGTTGAAGTAGCAGGCCTTTCGATCGGCGAAGGTTAAGGAGAGAGTCGGATTCGACCAGAAGGCCGAGGTGAAGTAGGAAGTGAAATTGGCGTTGCAGTACTCCGGCGCGGCGAGGACGGAGTCGCGTCCGAGATCCGTGGCGGCGAGTTTGGCGATGTCGTCGACGAGGATTAGATCGGAGTCTAGGTACACGACGCGGCGGACGCACGGCGGGAGGAGGTCGGCGAGGTAGCTCCGGGCGTAGTTTAACGGGCAGTCCAAGGCGGAGCGGATCGAGGAGGAGATTAGGCGGGAAACAGAGGATACGTTGAAAACGTAGACGTTGAATTCGAGGTACGGGAACGAGGCGGAGATGGTGGAGCGTAGGGACGAAGCGTCGGCGGAAGCGGATGCGACGAAGTGGAAAACGATGTTTTCCGGGCAAGAGGAGTGCTGGAGGACGGAGAGAACGGCGGCGACTGAGCCGCGAATGTAGGCGGCGTCGAGTGTCATCGCCACGTGAACAGCTCGGCGGGAGCAGAAGATTGGCTTGGCGGACACGTCATCGTCATGATCATCATCGATTATGGGGCAATCAGCGGAATTGTAAAACTGAGGTGCTTCTTTGAATTTCTGGATAGTTGGAGAGGCGGAAATGGGATTAACTAGAAGAATGGTGAAGAGAAGCAGCGAGAGGAGAATGAGAAGACGATGTTGGGACATGTTTTCTCAGACTCTGATTGTGTTGGAAGGTTTCTTCTCTCAACTGAGAAGAGCTGTCTTCTTGAGACTTTTTATCATGTGAGTGTGTGTTTGTGAGAGATAGATAAAGGGTTTTGCTTAGATTTTGGGTTTCTCTCATAGAATTTATTTATTGATTAGATTCCAAGCCCTTTTCATCATTTTTTATTTTTTTCTTTCTTGAACATAATTAGTCCTGAAACCTTATTACTCTGTCAGTGAAACAACGAAAAAAGTTTGGTCAAATACCAGTTTACTGATTTTTAGAAGTTAGGACTTATAATAATTGTTGAAGAAATGTGGGAATTTATTACTTCCACATGTTTACCGAAATCTATTGTAGATCCACATTATAGGCTATAATGTACTTAAATTGGTGAATAAGTTATTTATTAATGACATATTAGTCTTTATTTTTCGTTTATTTGTTTTTCTTACAAAATGCAAAGAAAAGACATGGAAGTTGATATATGACAATGATAAGTACTTATCAAAATCAAATTCACACACGTAATAAATTGATAATAGTTATATTTGTCTGAGCATACAATGCAAACAAATAGGTTTTTGGAATTCGAATTTTCCAGATATATTTATGTCGATGATTTTGTATGTGTGGCTAGTATTTGCTACAATCCAAAGTGAAGAAGAACAGAGTGAAGATAAAAACGTGAAATGTGTTATGGATAATATGTGGATGCCCATTAGCCCACTAGATCCACTTCTCTATTTGTCTTTTCTCCTTTGAAACGCTATGTTGTACTCTATATAAAGAGCTCCTTTACTCATGAATAAGACAATTTCATTCTCTCATTTCACAACAAAATAAATGTTTTGAGACAATATTTTAACGATCTGCACACAAAAATAATATATACATGACTTGGTCAATAATTCTTATGGTTGAGATGTTATGTTTTAGTTGCAAGCTTTATAGTAAATCTATTCGTTTCTCTTGTATAAGTTTCTTTTGTTTTTCTTTGAAGTTTCTGTTATGGTCCTTTGTCACTTTCCATGACTACGAAATTTGTAGGTGAAATGAAATATATATAATTAAAATTTTGATTCATTTTTGAATTTAGTACGACGATTTGCATTTTAGTATTTTACCATATTGCTGCCGCGCTTTTTTTTTTTTGGGTTGGCTTGTTACTTACATTTATTTTTCAATGATTGAATATTTTGTTTATTTTCTTAATATAACTTTTTGGGGGCTCATGGGCACATGGTCAGGCAGTTCCCTTTTCCTTTTCTTTCTGAATTTCAAATTATCAAATAATTGTAGAAAAAATATCTGAAATTAAAATTTAGAACAATCGATAAGTTTAGCTACCATGTAATTTCCAAGCACGGTTTATTAAAAAAAAAGTTAGTTTAGTTTTGGCCAATCCAACTTTTACTACTAACTAAGCTTGTAACAGAAAAATTGTGATAAAAATTTAATTGTAAGTATGTACTCCTATCATCTTATTAACTAACTCGTAGTCTTTTTTTTTTTTTTTTTTTTTTAACATCAACTCATAGTCTTCATTACAGACAAAATAATGTTAAGAAGGAATCTGAGTCCACCATTTTTAAGCACGTAGGCTCCTCATCTTATTTAGTAGATTTTATTGGTAACTTAACTTAAGACGGTAAGTAAAGTGGTTTAATTGTTCTTTTGATTGTCAGCTGGGTTGATGGTTGAAGTAGATGATTCAAATATATAGTTTGAAAAGCGGTTAAAATTTTAATTAGCGGTTGTAAACTGTTTGAGAACCAAATGAGTTTACCTTCGATTTGTTGAGATTTTCAAATTTAAAAAAAAAAACTTTAAAAATGTCATTTCTATTTTTAGTTATCTGGTATTATTTTTAATACCAATTCACTGTTTGTTATTAATTTGAATCATTTTAATTGCTCATTAGAATCTAGCCTTCTTTTTTCTTCCCGAATATATATTTCAACCAGGTGAACAACTTGTAACTATTTTGTTTACTAAAGATCAGTGGAACCTAATACTGATAATAATTATGTTGAATAAAAAAGATAAATAAAGTATCAAAAAGGTTTTCATTATATAATAAGCACTTATCAAGCATCATAAAGATAAATGTAGAAAAGCAAGACGCGTGGGCCAAACGTGAAACGGAATAATATCTAAAATCCTACTGGTAAGACTTTTCTTTCATTACCAAGTGTGAAATCGCGGGTACTTTGGGTTAAAGTCTTTTGAGTTTAGACTTGTCTTTTTTACTTTTGCACTTGCAAAAGAAAAGTTTTATTTTAAACGAATGCTATTCATATTGTAAACACCCCCGCGACTGAGACAACTCATTACAATGCACTGTAAAGATGGTCCTCGAAAAATAATTATCATAGTTTTAATGTTTTATCCACATAATATACGAAGATGTTCGAATATATAGTATATATAAGAAAGTGTTTCGAAGTCCATATTATCGACATGTTATTATTTTTATGGCCGTAATTAAAAACAGAATATACGTGAAAAGTCGATGACCATATGTTTTTAACATCTTTGATGATCCTCGAAACTCAAACTAATGTTCAAATTCATTACTGCTAAATCACAGTAAAGTACGATAAAAGTGAACTGTTTGTGAAAATCGATCTTGAATCTCAGCCCTACAACTACGACTTAGTTCACATGTTCAACGTCTAAATTAAATGGTAACTAGATAATTAAACAAACGTTTCAAACTTTATAATTTTTATTTATATGGTTGGCAATCAAATCCTACTTGCACAATGTTTTTCATATAGTTTCATCGAGTAAAAGCTAGAAACTAATGTAAATTTTAATTACGAGATAATTCAGAATTAATAAAGAAGCCAAATTGATCTGTTGGGCTATCGTTTTCTATTGATATCACATTCACTTAATTTATACGGGAATTGGATGCTAAAACTCAAAGCATTGCAAGAATGCGAGGGTCACTTCTTCTATATACATATTTTTTAGAGAAATTTGATTATGATGATTCCCATAGTATGAGTAATATTTGAACGACAGACGCAGCTGATTTGATTTCTTCTTCAATGTTTTAAACGTTAGATTTGAATTCTGCTTCATTAAGCACCTTCTGTATGGTATTAGAAAAAAAAAAACCATATGTAACAAACGTAAAGTTGGAACAACAAATATATAACAAAAACGTAAAGTATCTATAACAATATGGAGTCAATAATCTGTTAGTATTTCTTAATGCAACAGGCATAGGGGTTTCTCTATTAAATTAGGGATATGCCTTCATATGGCATGCACATTAAATAAAGCATAGAGAGGAACGTAATAATAAATAAGCATGTGTCATGTCATGTGTGCATCAGTGCATGAAGGGAAGGCTTCTTAATTAATACATGTTCATGTATATATGCGCACTATAAATACGAACCAAGTTTTTTAGAGAGATATGTAGTGGAGATTGTGCATGTGTGTCACTGTGTGTGAACTCTCTGACAAAAAAAGAAAAAAACTATGATGGGTCTCAATTCAAAGGTAGTTATTTGTAAGCATTTATAATATACTGTATACACATTCACTTCCATGAGTCCAAATGCCATAACTTTAGTCATCTTCTGAATGGTTACATCCTACTTCCTAATTATTTCGAAAAATTTGGATGCATTGACTGCATGTGCCATAACTTAAAACCGGAGAGACAGTGATCCACGTACAGTTCGATTGTTCAAAATAAAAACTAAACTGAAGACTTGAGCGAATATACACGCAAATTGTTCAAAGTAATTCAATATATGTTGCCTTCCCATATTCTTTTACGTACATACTAGTATTTTTTGGTTAAAAAACTAAAATCTTAGGCTTTGATTGGTAGAGCTATTAGAAGAGCATTAAGCTCTTTTCATCCAATCAACTTTTTTTAAAAGAGCATTTAGGAGAGCATTTAGAAACTGCTACTGCTCCCAAACTGCTCCTTCCCTCCCTGCTCTGAAAAGGAGCATTTCCAAAGCATTGAGCTCAAAAATATTTAAAAAATCTTAAATAAATTATAATAAATTATATTTAATTTATTTATTTTGGTAAAAAAATGAAACTATATTTATATCAAATTTACAATTTTATAATTTCGTAAATTAACATTAACAATAATGTATTATTCATAAAATAAATATTTAATGACATAAAAATTAAATAAATATAATTTAAATATGAAATAGTTACTAAATATTTTTTAAAAAATAAAAAACAATCTTATGTTATTAATGAAAATATATATGATGTATTAAAATAAATATCAATATACATATTAAATAATTTCACAAAAAAAAATAATAAAAAGGCTCACAGCTCTACCAATCATATAAATTAAGAACATGCAGTTTCAAGAGCTTAATGCTCTTCTAAATACTCACCCTGCTTATGCTCCTTAAGCCTAATGCTCTTCTAACTGCTTTGCCAATCAAGGCCTTAAGGTGTGAATGAAAGGTATAGTTAGCGTAAATAAAGTGGTGGGAAACAAAATTTACTCTCACTTACTCTAAAAGATAACCAATCAGGTGGAAAAATATAAAGTTAGCTATTCAGCCAATAGAGAGTAAACTGGCGGTATTCTTTACTCCACTTTTTACATGAGGGAAAGATTAATGAAGGAAGGAGATAAATGATATATAAATAATATATTTTTCCACTTTTTTCTTATTTACTCTCACTTACTCTCATTTACTACTATTCACTTCTAAAACAGTTTTCTCATTTTTTCCACTCTTTTACTCTACTTTTTAATTTTTCTTCCCTCTCAATTACTATTCTCCCTATTACTCTCAATTACTCTAATGACATACCATTCACACCCTTAATAATAAAATAGGTAAATATGTATACGTAACCCTGATATTCATGTAAAAGTCATATGTTTGCAGTACAAGTGTACAACTGTTAATTTTGATAAATATTTTTTCAAGGTACACAATTATTCCCAAGGTACACAATTCTTCTGGTAGCTAGCTGCTGCTACTACTACTATTACAACTTACAAGTAACAGGGAGCATCTTATGTCTTATCTTCCAAAGCTAACACTAGAGAATATCTTTTTGCTGCAAAAAACTTAGCCGAAAAGGGAAGAAGACAAAGTAAACTTAGAGTTTCAGACAATCCCGTTAACGCACAAACAAACAATGTGCAGACAATAATGTAAGATTGAGCCATCACTAGATTCGTTTCATTGAATCATTGTATAGCCTCTCACTCAATCCGAGGCTACCAAAACGCGTTTGCCAAAAAAAAAAAACCATTAGAAGCCAAACCCCATTCATGACATGGTGGTGTGAATACTGATCAACTTTTAACAACATAAGTTGAAGACTATAAGAAACATCATCAGTAAGAAGAATCTGAGAGGTATTATTATTAACATATAAACAATTTTGCTAAGCAAGAAGATTACAAGCCAAAACACACATAATTTCCCCGAGTTTCATGCCAATCAGATCTCGAATAAGAAGTGAAGGGAAAGCTATTATAAAGCTAATAAACTTCCTCACTAGGTTAAGAAGAGGGAAAACAAAACAATGACTAAAACAAAGGCAAACAACGCTTTCAAGTGATAGTCTTGCTGTCCTTGCCTCCCCGTGTGCCGGTAATAACTATGCATATGCGAGTGTCCTCCATGGAACGGGTTCGAGAACCCATGAGGGAATCCCCCAGAAGCAGCAGCTCCATACATGGCTGCATCAGGGAACCCATGGAAATGGAGGTTAAACAGAGACGGAATCAAACCGCCAAACGCTGCAGACAACGTAACGTTCCCAAACCTCGCACTCCCCACCGGAGCTGCAAACCCGCCCATGAATCCTCCTCCAAACCCGTGGTGAGGAAACCCATGGTTCGGCTCCGGAGGCTGCGCTGTCTCGGGTCTTTGTCCCGACGGACGGCTCGGAACCTCGAGCCCCGGGATGGATTTGGAGCGAGGGTCGGAAGACGATTTGCCTCTGCCGTAGAGAGGAACGAGTCTGTCTTCTTCGACGACAGCTTTGCAAACAGGGCATTCCTTTGACTGTGCATGGAGATGGAGCCATTTGTACAAGCAGGGCCAACAGAACAAGTGGCCACAGAGTGTCACGATCGGGTCTTGAGCCAAGTCCAAGCAGATGTTACATTCAAAGTAGCCAGAGTCGTTGCTGTTCGTGTCATTGCCGCTAGAACAAGAAGGTATATCAGACATGTTTCACCTTAAAACCTCTCTGATTTTTTTAACTCCCTACATACATTAATCACACCAGAATTTTGGATTAAGTAAACTAAAACAGAGGAAGATTAACAAAGATTAACTAACTAATTAACAACTCATATGGACAAAACTGATATTAGTTCGCTTCAAAAGTCCACAAAAGTGATTCCAGATTCAGTAACAATTATAAACCTCTAGATCTGTCCGTTAAACCACTACAATCACTAAGCCGTATATTCCGGAGATTAGATAACGAAAATTATCTCGAACATCGCAACCAAATCAAGCATATTATTAACACAGAAAGTCAGAAACGAAATCCTCTCGAGCATCAGAGATGAAAAAAGAAGAAGAAGAAGCAAAAGTAACCAAAAAAAAGTAGTTGGAATAATCAGAAACAGAGTAATGATCGGAAAATATACCAATTAAAGAGAGTTTGATTGGCGCGATGAAGGGATCGGAATCCGCGAGGAGAAGCGTTTGCTTAAGGGCTAAGATTGGCCGGAGACGGACAATAGGAGGAGGAGGATCATCCAAGGAAAAGTCTTTGGAGATATAATATTTAATTAAACGTCTTTTTATTTTTTTTGTCGGTTTTTTTGTTCTCTCTAAAAAACGGTTTTATTACACTTGAATATGACGTGTCCTCGAGTGGTCCCCATACCCACGTGAGCACATGTGTGCACGTGATGAAGAACTATTGGGTGTTTAAGTCAACTATTTCTTATTGATCGTTGGATGAGTATCTAGTAAATTTAATGGATGTAGATTAATAAATAAACTTATTTTATTGCAGTTAGGTTGGATATTATTACCGCGCAAGTCAATTTGATGGTGCTGGTTTGATTTTGTTTGACTTACCCTCCTCAAGTGCAAATCACATCCCTGAGTTCTCGTCTATGCACTCCACTGAATCTGGTTCGAGCAGATCCGACCGGATCCTTCATTGATCAATTCATCCCTGATATTTGTATATAACAGACGCATAACATTATGCCATGGGCCAATGGTTGTGTATTATTATCTTAACGGTTTAACCACTTGCATGTTTGTGTTATTCCTTGCGTTAAGTCTATCAATCTCTACTTATACCAATTTAAGCATGTTCAACAAGTTATAAAGTGTTGCTGGATTACCCATTGTCGTCTCGGATATCCATTTGAATTGTGAAAAGTGTGTGTTGCTTGAATTAGAAGGAAGTGTTCTGATGTTGTCGGTGAAGGAAGTGTCACATGACATACCTTGGTTGGTAATGGAAGAAGCATATAAGCAAACTTGCAGTCCAAAAAAAGATGTTAACCGTGCGAGAGAGAAAACACCCGTCGAGATATAACTCCTGTTCTTTAGATGCTTTTGCTTGTTCCAGTGTAAAAATATGTTATCCTAATTTATACTTTAAAACCTTGTATATATGATCAATAGGTGCATGCATGTCATGAGATAAGCTAATTGTTAAGATCAAGTTTTGAGCCTTCCTTCTAGTCGTTTTTAGGTAGAAAAGTGGTGACGAACGTTAAAACCTAATACCAAACAAGCCTTATAGGTTGATTTTTGATACCTCCAGTTCCTAAAACCTAAAACCAAACCCTTTATCTCTATGCACCCAAAAGAACTATTATCTCTAGGCACTCTCTGAATTGGCCATCTAAGTCCGAGACGTGGCAAATACATTACGCACCGAGAATCCTGAAATGTTTTATATTCACGATTAAAGGGTTCCGTGGTAAACACGAAAGATGTTGGTCTTTAGGGCTATCAAAGTGGATTTGAACTCTTCAGCTTCTCTCACCCGCGTTGGCGTTGCATAGGGGAGGGTTTAGGCTTCATATTCTTGGTTTTTTTTGTTCATATTCATTTTTGATCCGTAGTAAAAATCATTATCAATCATAGACTATTTGCTTACAATTTTTGCAAATTTTGAAACAAATCAATGATGGTCGTGGACATTCTTATGCGTATCCACGGATTTTTCGGGACGTAGTCTGTGGCAAGCTAATTTTCTTTTAAGTTAGTTCTCTAAACCTTTTGGTTTATTCTTTGTTTTTGTTAGTATGGGTCAGTAGACTGTAGTCCTCTCTCATCGAACTTCTCGTCTTAATTTATGACTTTATCTCATGCTTATTTCTCGCATACTTTGTAACTTGTAAGTTACGGTATGGTTTAAGGATCCTAACTTGGACTTTTATTTTTTATACTTTAATGTCAAAAAAAAAAAACGTTTAAATAGTGTTTGAACGGAAAAGATAATAACGGAAAGGATTCACATCGAGTGTTAGATACGTTCAAGATAATAACGTGTGCTGAAAAATCTACTGATCGTTTCTTTTCTTTTTTTTTTGGTGAGAAAATCTACTAATTTCAAGCAAACCCTTTCTCAAAAAGATTATACAAATCCTTTTAGTTTATAAAACTTTAAGTATGATCATTCTCTATAATTTACTGATTTGTGCTAATAATATTACCGTTTGAATTCAAACGTACCTAATGCATATTGTTAAATTAATAGAATTCAAGATGGAACGAATTCTGATATAAATCTTGTATGTCAAAACTATTTGGAAAAAAGGAAAGCTTTGATTGTTCTGTTGTCATTATACAAGAGCTGGCCATCTATATGGCTATCATAGCTTTGATTGTTCTGTTCTCACTGTTGTCACTAATATACAAGAGCCAGACTATGTAACCGTATGAAACCCTCAGTTTTAAGGATCTCACTTTTAAATTATGGTATATATGTACAATTTTTTTTTTTTTGATAAAGATATATGTACAATTTTATAGGGACAGAGAGAGTAAATATTAGAAGAACCAGAAATAAATACACTAAATTACCTTTCAACTCTTAAATTAATGTTCCATTATAGAAAATCCCGTTGCTACTTTTAAAGGTTAGGTTTTATGTATCTCAAATTTACTACGTCAATGCCAGAATAAGGCCGCACAAGACTTTTCGTGAACAAGTCAATTCATTAACGAATAGGGCCCTTCTCGACGCGTTCTCGTACCACAAAAATTAAAATTTGTCGCGTGTGTTTTGGATCTTTGGAAAATTGTGTCGTGTGCTTTGGGTCTTTGAAAAGTAATCATCAATAGTCATTTTCTCTCAGCTTCCTTCTACATCGTCATATCCCCACATCACTTAGACTAGTAGTTAATAACTTAATATTGATCTCATTAGCAAAGAGAGAAGAAACGGCACCGAAAAAAAAACAATGGAACTGAAATTATGTTGTCACTAATTTTTGGTAAAAAAATATATATTTCGAAAGTTGGTTAACCAAAAGAGAAACGTTCTCTCCGACACCGTAGAAAATTGGCTCTACGAAAATAAACGATTGGAACAAATAAAACAAAAAGACTCTTATCAACCATATTTTACGGAGAAAACATAGAGAAGTATATTGCATATTGAGTGTATTTCTTTTTTGTGCTATTGGTTTTAGCATCATATAGATACCGACGTAGGTTTTGAACCATATTTTACAAGACACTGGTCTCTCAATTATTAGTTACTTTTATTTTTAAATATTTAAATCTAATCATATAACCAAACTAAATTACAATATTGATATTTTATTGTTTGAGAACATTTTATAGGGTTCTAGATGCTCATAGCGTTTTATTACTTAAACATGACGGAGCTCTTAACTAATAATTACTAAAAAGTAGATTATCTAGAGTCATCCTATAATAAAATGTTATAATGATGATAAAATTCAACGGTAGCAGAAATTGAAAGTTGAAACCAGGAAGAAAAAAAAACTATAAATAGAGGACTCCCTGCCATTAACCTTCATTCATCATCACACCTTCGATACTTTGAGTTAAAAATGGCGACTTTCTCCGGGTTAAACCTTCTCTTCTTCTCCTTCCTCATAGCATCAGGTAATACATACTTACATACATTTTGATAATCTCTGCTAAATATTTCTAAGAAATCCTTTTTTTCTACAAGAAGTCCACGCAACTTTCAAAAACATATTTGTTTTCACTTTTACGTAATCTAATTCATTTTTCTCGATTATATATGTTTTGCAAGGCGCAATTTCCGTCGTCTCCGGCACCGTCTTCACCATAGAGAACAGGTGCCCTTTCACCGTCTGGCCGGGAATCCTCACCGGAAACAACGGTGCACCACTTAACGACGGCGGATTTATCCTAAACTCAGGAGCTAAAGTCGACGTGAACCCACCAGCCGGCTGGTCCGGCCGAATCTGGGGCCGAACCGACTGTAATTTCGACGGCTCCGGCGCTGGAACATGCGTCACCGGAGACTGCGGCAACAAGTTAAAATGCGCCGGAGCAGGAGGAGTTCCGCCGGTCACACTCGCCGAATTCACGATCAGTCCTTCCGGCGGGAATGATAACTACGACGTAAGCCTCGTCGACGGTTACAACATCCAGATGGGAATCACAACGCGAGACGGCTCAGGCGATTGCCGAAACGCTAAATGCGCTTCGGACTTGAACGGGAGCTGTCCTAACGAGCTACGCGTTGTGGCGGGGTCGAATGTTGTGGCGTGTAAGAGCGCTTGCGCGCAGTTTGGCAAACCGGAGTACTGTTGCACCGGTGCGTTCAGTACACGGGAGACTTGTCCTCCGTCGGATTACTCGAAGATGTTTAAAGCAGCTTGTCCCGAAGCTTATAGCTACGCATACGACGACCCGTCGAGCCTTCTTACTTGTACCAATGCCAATTACTCCATCATCTTCTGTCCTTAAGGGGCATATACATCCACTCATCATTTATTAATGATGAGTGGCTAGCTGGTGATACTACTGCGGTATTGTCGAACCGCAGAAAATAAAATAAACTTGTGGAATGAGATAAATTCCGTGTACTGAGATTATTATGAATAAATTGCATAATGTTACCAAAAAAATGTGTGACTAATGAGGAGATGACTAATGAGAATGGTCTTAGGTGCATACACCATCGTCATAACAGTCCTTTTCGAAACCATAGTAAGTTTATTATGACCAAGCATGCTCTGCATGACCCATAGATGTGTCTCAACTTCCGTCTAAAGCCGTGATGGTTCATAATATGCAAACTGTTTGCCCCCATAAGCCGCTCACTCGTACTTATGTTATGATAATGATTTTCTTATTATAACTAGATTTAGTAATTTTAATGAGGTTTGAGTTTTTATGTTTTATTACATAGATAAGATTAGTATCTATATATGCTCATATTTATAATTTACATGTACGAAAAATTAAAACCAAAAAAGTGGATAACAAATTCGTACCACTCATAAATGAAACTAATATAAAATAAAATTATTTATTTTGATTCTTCTGTGAAAGACTGTCTCTCTTCTATTTTTTATTCTATATTTCCAGATATTTATTTTTCCTTATTTTTATTATTTAGTTATATTATAGAGAAATTTTGCCAACTCATCTATCTTATTTGAAGTAAATTGACTTTTAATCATATATTTCTAAAAGAAAAAAAAACATTTTACATGCAATGCAAGTGTCAAATTTAATTAATTAAGGTTGTTTTTTATATTAATAAAATATAATTAAAAAGCGTTGAGTGAAGTATTATCAATCCTATATTTGGTAAATTTGTAGAATTCACAACAAGCTTTGAACTTTTTGCTATTGATTGAACTGTTTTTGTTTAGGTAATAAATTATGTTTTAATATTGGAAAAGATATAAAAGGTAATTTAATGATTTTTAAACTTATAAATGTTTTTACCCTAAAAATCACCTATAGTGAAACTGAGAAAGTATATTTTTCCGGTTGGACTGACCCTATGCTGAAAATCACCTAATATCCTAAAAATCACCTTAAGTTGAGTAACTTGAGTTATTTCGTTGACAGAAAAAAAAACTGACTTATTTTAAATTTTAGGGTCTAATCATTAATCAAGCCAGATCTCTTATTAATTACGAAAAAAAAAGAAGATTCATGTGTCACTCACTCTACAACAAAAAAGTTGGTACGTTACAAAGATGATAAAAGTAAACCGTAGCAGTAATTGAAAGTTGAATCCAAAAGCAAAACAAAAAAACTATAAATAGGGGAGTCCTAGCCATTAACTTCCATTCATCATCACACCTTCGATACTTGAGATTGAAAATGGCGACTTTCTACGGTTTAAACCTTTTCTTCTTCTCCTTCCTCATAGCATCAGGTAATACATACATACATACATTTTGCTTCTCTGATAAGTGATAACTATTTATAAGAAAAAATTCACGAGGTTTTTTAGAAACATTTGTTTATTTATATAATCTAATTCATTTATCTGGATTGTATATATTTTGCAAGGCGCAATTTCCGTCGTCTCCGGCACCGTCTTCAGCATAGTGAACAAGTGCAGTTTCACCGTCTGGCCGGGAATCCTCACCGGAAACGGCGGTGCACCACTCAACGACGGCGGATTTGCCTTGAACTCAGGAGCTTCCGTCGACGTAAACGCACCAGCTGGCTGGTCCGGCCGAATCTGGGGCCGAACCGGCTGTAATTTCGACGGCTCCGGCGCTGGAAGCTGCCTCACCGGAGACTGCGGCAACAAGTTACAATGCGCCGGCGCAGGAGGAGCTCCCCCCGTCTCACTCGCGGAGTTCACGATCAGCCCTTCCGGAGACAAAGATTTCTACGACGTGAGCCTCGTCGACGGTTACAACGTCGAGATGGGAATCACGACGCGAGACGGCTCAGGCGATTGCGAAAACGTTGGATGCGTTTCGGACTTGAACGGGAGCTGTCCTAACGATCTGCGCGTTTTGGACGGGTCGAATGTTGTGGCGTGTAAGAGCGCTTGCGAGGCGTTTGGCAAACCGGAGTATTGTTGTACCGGTGCGTTCGATAAACCGGAGACTTGTCCTCCGACGGATTACTCGAGGGTCTTTAAAGCAGCCTGCCCCAAAGCGTATAGCTATGCATACGACGACGCTTCGAGCACTTTTACTTGTGTTAAGGCTAATTACTCCATCGTCTTTTGTCCTTAAGGCATATAGATCCATTATCATCTATTAATGACGATTGGTATAGTATTACTGCGGAATTGTACAACCGCAGAATTATATAAAAAAAAAATTATGAATAAATTGCATAATGAAATTACCAAAAACTTGTGTGACAAATAAAACTTGTGTGAATAAATTGCATAATGAAATTACCAAAAACCTGTGTGAAATTACCAGTGGAGTATATTACAAACAAATATAGGCATGAATTAATTATTCAATAAATGCAAAACATAAATTTAATTAATTAAAGATCGAAGAAAACCGAAATAATGGTAAGGTTTTGGCTCATCTAGGAGAGTACTAATCGTCATTAATAAGCTCTGAATACCACAATCTATTTTTTCTTTTTCTTTAGGAGTACTTGAAAACATATTAAGCTCTGAATAATTACAAATTGTGTTTCAACTTTTTTTTTCTATCTTAAAATCCCATGCTGTTTTTAAAACTACTGTGTTATAACATTGCCACTCATCTTACTCTTTACAGTTGTATCATTTAATTTGATTTCAACTATTTAAGTTAAAAAAATGAAACAGCAAATAAAGAGCGAGAAAAGTCACATCCAAAGATATTTACATTCTAACATACCAATATCTCCAGACCGGATCAGAACAGAGAGTTTCAAATTGGGAACTTTAGAGAGTTCATGTTTCTTGGTTTCTTGATGGGTACTTACTTACATGGCTAAACAAGAGAAGCAAAGAAGAAACAACATCTACTCTTTAGCCAAACATATCCACAAAGAGCTAAGAACTAGAAGCAAGCCACAAATTGGTTAAAACAAGTCGGCGTTACCGTACATACAGATTTGTTAAAAGGTCAGGGCTTTTCCTTTTTAGCTGATGCAGTTAAGATCAGTGTTTCTTGCTTCTTTTGATTGCAGCTTGCAGGCCTTCTTCATTCTCTTTGCAGCTTGCACAAACCCCATAATAACTTGAAGCTCATCCATTTGCTGTAAATCATATCATCATTTTGTTGTATCATCAGAACAGAATTGGAAAAACACAGAAGACAAATCCAGTGAAGGCTCAGAATAAATTTTTGATGTACCTGAGACATGAAGTGCCTCTGAACAATGTCAATTAGTTGCTCCCTTGTTGGATTAGGAATTGCATCCACCTACAAAAATAGTTTATTCAAACGCAAGCACATAAAAAAACAAGAAGAAGAAGTATTTTCTTGAAATCAACTTACAAGGTTGAAATGTCGCCAATATTTAAGTAAAGCAGGCATTTCCAGTTTGCTAAGATCAACCTTCTGTGTGAAGACATATAATATCGCATTAGTCGCATTATGTTTAATGGTAAATGCAATAAATCTCAAAACTTTGAAATGCATACCATGTTTTGAGGGGGAGTAAAACCAGAGCTTTTTGATTGTGAATCAGATGATATAGACCTGCTTATCGTCTTGCGAGATCTCTGCGCTCTTGGCTTCGATCTATGAGGCTTCAGTGTGTCCTCAGATGCTGGAAAAGAAAAAACTTTTCATAGAAACAAGACTCAAGAAATCAATCAAAAAGATTTATGTCCAAAGAACAATATGCCACTTATACATAAAACTCATTTGAGACTAAACAGAAGCTGAGAGATCACTATCACAGTTTTTGAGCAATTGACAGAATCATTACAAAAATAATAATAACTTAATAAGGAACCAAACTCACTCATATCAGAGCCATTTCTCTGTGTGTTTTCGAAATCAAGATCATCGTCGTCTTCGTTTCCAGTAGGAGCTTCAAGGACACTAAGCGCATTCCTCTGCAACTTTACTTCTATGCCATTTGTCAATACCTTAATAAAACAAAAAGAAAAACCAAAGAAAAAAGCAGAACAATGAGTGAGATTAAAATATTTTTACTCTATAAACAAGTACTGACATATCGATTAATATAAGCTCCTGAAGAAGAAGAAGAATATGATATGTTTCAGAATAAATCAAACTTTTTTATTTGCATAGGAAAATATATTCGTAGTAGTGAGAAAAATCTTATATTATTCTGATTATTCTTTAAAGTTAAAAGCCAGAATATGGTGAAGTTTACTCCTTTTGGTCCACATAAACAGAGATACAATATAAAAAAGATCTTGCAGAGCAATTTATAATATAAACTAAACCAACCAAAGGAAAAATATCTGATACTGTAATAAACAAACATCGACAGAAGTGACACTGCTTGGGGACGAAAATGACTCAACTAAAAAAAGAAAGAACATAAAAAAGCCCTAAAACAGATGATTATCAACAATCAAAAGCAATTTCAAAAGCCAGCTTGAAATCCATAAGGTGGAGAGAAAAACAGGATAAAATTGTCAAGAAACATGATGGAGAATTAGATAACAAGTGCATATTTGTTATGATGTGTTCTTTTTTGAACAGGCGCCAAAATAAAGTGACCTTTTTGTTTGCCTAACTTAATGTTACAAACCCAAAATTTCTTTCTCCTATAGATGATTCCTGAAATCGAGCCTGAATCTCAGCAAGTAACATCAAAAAACATATACACAGAGAAAGACACTACAGATGATGTTTCAAGATGCAAACAGACTTTATTTAGAAAGAGAGAAAAATAAGTACTAACGAAGAAAATCAATGAAGGTTCTCAAATGCAAGGTTCAACAATGCAAAATCTAGCAACAAGGAAACAAACAATAATGGTGACTTAAATGCGAACATGCATGCAAGGAGTCCAATCGCCAGATTTCGAAAATTACAGATTTAACATTGGCAAAGACAAATAGATTTGATTAAACTACACTCTTAACTCTTGATTTAATGATCAGATGAGAGACATTATAATTGATTGCTGAATCTATAAACTAGTAAACCGAAGACCATTGATAGTATTAATGATTTTACCATTTAAGGACAACATTACCCAGAACTAAATCATTTTTAGAAACCAAATTTGAAATTCAAAATTCGAGAATCCCAAATTCTATTCATCGATTCAATAGATTGAATACCAAACTAGGTATCCAGAAATTGCAGAGAAGATTAGATCAAAATTGTATACAGTATATTAAAAAAAAACCCGGAAAGGGAAAACACACAAAGATCACATTTTTCCAAAAAGGGCAAAAAATTAAAAACAACTGAGCTAATTTTTTTACTTACCAGCCAATGCCAACCACCGAGACCGACAGCTTTTTTGACAACACCTTGAAGACCAACAAGCACCGATTTAGTACGGTTGTTTCCGGTGACCACCACTTTGGTATGACGTGGCAAAACCGATAACTCCTCTTCGCTACTGCTCTCGCCGCAAAAGCTCTGAATCTGCTGAAATCCGCCATTTTCGACTCCTGAGCTATCTACAGTTTCCAGCATTCTTCTTCTCTGATCTTTCCCAATTTAGGCTTGAAATCAAGAGAAAATCCTCAAGTTTCAGCTCTCAACAGTGTTTAAAAATCGAAGATCATGCATTGCGAGAGAGGGAAAATCAGATGATTGAGCGGGAAAAGGGAGAGAGATCGAAGCAAATAATTTAGGGTTTGTCCCACAAGAAGAAGCAGAGAGAGAGAGAGTAAGAGAAAAAAGAGGGAAAAAGAAACAGAGAGAGGAGAGAGATGATAGAGAGAGCAGAGTAAATAGCAAAGAGAAGGAAGCGAGGGAAAGAGGAGAGAGAATGATATAACAGCGACCGGTTCCCAACACCTTGTCCAATTACAGTCTCCCACGTCAGCATTGTACTGAGACTATATGCGTTATGCAAGAACAGAACCGGTTTTTTTGTTTGGATTTAACCGGGTGGGCAGTTTTCGTAAATTTTGACACGCGATTGACCTGAATGGTTGACTGGTGTTTAATAAAGACATGGGTGCATGGGACCCATTTAGTGATTAGATGACGATTGTACCCTTTTCACGTCACTTTTTTCCATGGTTTGAAATTTGGATATTTTTTTGTTCCTTATCTTATTATTTTCTTTCTTGTATAATTGCACTCTCCATTACATTTTTCTTTTTATAGTCGAGAAATGTTTTACCTTTTGAAAACTGGGTTCTGTAAACAGTAAAACAAATGAAACTAACGAAACAATGCAGTGGGTTAGTAGTATAATATCAGTGAAATCAGTGGAGCAAATACAGCTAAACAAACACTTAACCATAGTTTAAAACTCACATAGTGACTACAACTCTACAAGTATCTTCTTAACTTATATTTTACAAAAAAAAAAAACAGAAATACAATGAAACTGTTAACAAATACGATACTTCAAAGACAATACGGTCATAGAAGGGATTTGATATTGTTACTCTTTAAACACACATCAATATTGTAAACTAAAACCACAAACCAAGGAATACAACAAATCAAACAGTATAAAGGTCTTTTCAACTAATAATCATAAGAGTTTGTACTAACAGTCTAACACTAACCTCTAAATTACATAATAAATATCATAGTTAATTAATTATTAGGATTCATAAGAGTAGATATGAAAAAGATAAGATTTTACTATATGAAATTACAGCTTTGGATCAATTATTTGCCCATAACTCTTAACTTATATGGGGTCATTGTCATAGCCACAGTTTATAAAGCCACCCACAAATAAAACCGTCCCCATATTTGGGGAAACTATCAAAGCGACCCTCACCAAACCCCCTGCTTCAATTATTTATAACTTTTAATGCTTACCATTTCCCTCCCATAAAAATCAAAATTTCATATACTTTTATATTTTAAAACGTATGCTATAAATAAAACTATAGACACCAGAATGGGTTTCGCTTATTTGGATTAAAATGAACAAATTTCGTTGGTTACCGAAAATTTCCGACGGTTGGAAGTAATTTCGAACTAGACTGGAGTTTCTTGTGACATTCAAGACTAAAGGGTTAATTGTGGTCAGTTAAGAGAATTCGAGGGGTTAATGAGAAAGTTCTTATAATTCTGCGTTTTTGGAGGGTTTATTTGAGCAGAGAGGTAGAGAGTGTACATCCGTTAATGGCGGAAACTGATAAGCTAGCTCGGTTCCTTGATTCAGGTATATACGAATCCGACGATTCGAAGTGGTTCTTCGCAGACCCAGTTCGTATAATCAACCGTTCATATACCCAATTCAAGGTTTCACCTTCTGCTTACTACTCTCGTTCCTTCAATTCGAAGCATCTCAATCCACAACCCAGCGACTCTAATCCGAGAAAGAGGAAACGGAAGCAGAGAAACCCTAGCTATCACGTACCTAGTGCAGGAGAGCAAGCTTTTAATCTTCGTCATCAGGTTCATAACTCCCTGAGTTTAATTTTTCTTTCTTTTGAGGAGTAGAGATTGAATGTGGATGGTTTCGAATTCCAGGAAGTGAGGCCGTTCTTATCGGAAGCTCATGTATCGCTTCTACGGGAAATCGAGCTTTTGAGTTTAACGAAAGGCCTAAGTGATGATTCTGGTTTGTTGATTAATTGTTGTGACGACGAACTCTCTTTCGTTGAGCTTGGAGGAGTGTGGCAAGCTCCTTTGTACGAGATAACACTGAATTTGAATCTACATTGTGATAACGAAGGTTTTATCTCCTCTAATTCACTAGCTAAATTCTATTTGAAAACCGTAGATTTGATTGTGTGATTGATCTTATGGGTTTTTGTGGTCTTGATAGGTTGTTCTACTGAGAAATGCAGTGAACAGAGAGTGTGTAAAGTGTTCAATAACTTAGTAGTGAACGAGTCAGAAGAAGAGGTTGAAGCCGAGTTTTCGAATCGGAGATATATAATGCCCAGGAAGAGTTGCTTCTACATGGTTTGTGAATTTTTCTAATCCCATTTTGAGATTGCTGTCCAAAGATTGATTTTTTAGTTGACCAAGTTGATGTGTGATATGGTTCTTCTGGTTTTACTTTCATTTTCCGGTCGCGCGTTTCTTTCTTTTCAATGTTGCCTTGAAGTCTGATTTACTACACATCCGAAACCTTGTTCCTGGTAACCATTGAGCTATAGTCCATCTAGACATTTTGCTGCTTTAGAGTCCTTTGTTAAAAGATCAGTCATGACTTTATCGGTAAGCGATTGAGCCTAGCAATGTAGATTTATCTTATTGGCGTCATATATGCAGCTAAATCTGAAGAAGGCTTCAATCTTATAGTTATTGATCCACCCTGGGAAAATGCAAGCGCTCATCAGAAGTCAAAGTTCGTTCCTGCCTATGTTATATCGAAATTGAACTATGCGTGTGGAATAGGCTGTTTTGTATTTGAAGGAGAGTTTATGAGCCATTTTGTTTTGGTTTCTTGTTTTAGGTATCCGACTTTACCAAATAGATACTTCTTATCCCTCCCAATCAATAAGCTTACTCATGCTGAAGGAGCTCTCGTGGCTTTATGGGTGACTAATAGAGAGAAATTACTTAACTTTGTTGAGAAAGAGCTGTTCCCTGCGTGGGGAATTAAGTACGTAGCTACCATGTATTGGTTAAAGGTGACTGCAACTTGCACCTCTTGCTCTTGATGTTCTGAGTTTGCGTACATGACTTGAAATTTCACACGCTTGCTATGTAAAATGTTTCAGGTGAAACCAGATGGTACACTGATTTGCGATCTGGACCTGGTCCATCATAAACCTTATGAATATCTTCTGCTGGGTTACCGCTTTACTGAAGTAAGTCAATTCTTGTCTTTGTTACTTGAACAATCTGCAAACGAAGGTTCTGTTTCACAGCCGTATGTATGTATGTATGTCATAGCTTGCAGAATCAAAACAGAGGTCAGATTTTGAACTCTTGGATAAGAACAAAATAATCATGAGCATCCCTGGAGATTTTTCGAGGAAACCCCCAATCGGAGGTATTAAACACCTTTTATTCCGTGATTTGCTTCATCAAAACCAAGAACACAATGCCGTTTGTTCAATTTCTTGCTTTATAGTTCTCTGATTTCTTTTTTCACCATTGGAGTTTTGTGTAGAGATACTAAAGAAACATGTTCCCGGGTCTCAACCAGCTCGGTGCCTTGAGCTATTTGCTAGGGAAATGGCTGCTGGTTGGACCTCTTGGGGAAACGAACCGCTTCACTTCCAGGAGTCGAGATACTTTTTGAAAGATTAGTGGGCAACAGGTGGACCAAACTTCATGATTGTTTCTCTATGGCTCAGAGTCATTTTCATGGGTGGATACAGCGAGGAGACCTTTCGGTAGCATCAGAGGGTATGGTTTCGTGAAACGAAAGGCAGACGAGCAGCCTGAAATAAACACTGTTAGATTATTGTCTCAGAACTGTACCATCGTTTGTTTTTTTGACACCACTCTATGTACCATCAATTTAGTAAAGCTTTTTTCTTCTCCTGTCATCATCGCAGATGTTTCAGGCAAAAAATATATGTATCACTGCTTATTAGATTTCATTTCATTTTAACAATATGAATAACTAAAGGCAAAAGCGTGTAAAATGAATACAATAAGTGACGACTCGTTGGAAGATCATATCTGGTTTGATGAGTCAATGTGTGGGGCAAATCCACTATCCCATTTTCCTATTATGTTCAATGAACTATACAGTTTTCCGAAAAAACATGAAAATTAAAGAAAATAATGACCAGTGAAAGGAAGGGCCCAACAATAATTCCAAGTATAGTTGATTGTCACAGCAATCAAATTATATGCTTACAACAAATCACAAAACAAAATTATCGATATTCCAAAACATAAAAGGTTTCTAGTTTGACTGACTAATGTTTTTCGCAATCGGGAGATCTCCACCGGATTGTCTTGGTTGCTGATTCTGTTGCTTCAATCATGTCTGGTAAAGAATTCATCTAAAACTAGAAGAAAGCTTTTGATAGCTTATGATAACATGCGGTTTCATATAATGAAGTGTTTTCACAATGTTAACATCAATTCAATTTTTAAAAATAATTTGTTAGAAAACAAACAAAGTAAAAAAAAAAAAGTAATCATTGGAAAGACACATGATAACTCCATATACACTAATCAGGACAAAAAGAAAGCATTTCTTTTGTTTTTGTTCATACTATAGCGACTAATTAAAAAAATAAAACCATTAAACGTTATGAGGCTTAAAATAATTTGTTTTCTATTAACATGGCCCGGAAAACCAATCAGATGGGGTGTTTTCCGGTCACAGTCACACAAGTAAGGGACCCACAACAATAAAACGGGACCCACATGTCTCTCATCTCTTTTTCCTCTCTTTATAAAAACTGGTCATTTTACACAGATTGAGAGAAACACATAACGTACTGCTTCAACTGATTCGTTACGCAAAACCATACTGTAAGTTACGTACGCCACAGCTTTTCTCACCATTCGTCGAAATTTAGATTGACACGTGGCTGATTTGCGTCAAATCGCCGGTTAAAATTATTTAATGTTAAACCTGCGCGTACTCATTTCACCCCAAGTCACCCATTTTTTTACTATTTTTTATTTTTTAATGATGAAAGAAAGATTCTTCTATAATTCCAGCGAACAGAGAAAAGCGTATTCCTCGTGAGCACTAACTTCTCACTCTTCCTTCTTCTTATTCAGCTGAATCCAAAATCCGTGTGCACAATTTGCAGCGAGTCATTTTTGTTTCACCGGTTTCGGATCGGATTTTCCGAGGTGTGTTTTGAGGGTGGGGGAAGAAGATGACGTCTGACGGTGCGACGTCGACGTCAGCAGCAGCGTTGGCGACGAGGCGGAAACCGTCGTGGAGAGAGAGGGAGAACAATCGGAGGAGGGAGAGGCGGAGGAGAGCTGTAGCGGCGAAGATATATACCGGTCTCAGAGCTCAAGGTAACTACAATCTGCCCAAGCACTGCGACAACAATGAGGTGCTCAAGGCTCTTTGTGCTGAAGCTGGTTGGGTGGTTGAAGAAGACGGAACCACTTATCGCAAGGTGAATTTCATACGCATTTGCTTTAGATCTGAGCTTATCTATAAAAGTTTCTTATGTTTTAGCCGTTGAATCTGAAGTAATTTGGATTCCTGGATTCAAATTGTGTTTTCTCGGTTTCAATCTGATCAATTGGCTCCTCTTAGCTAAGAATTCGAGTTATTTCAGTTAGCGGCTACAATATTTAGATGAATCTCATTTGTTCAATGGGAATTTCTAAAAATGGATCTAGATTCCTTCTGATTTGACTTGGAGAAAGTGAATCTTACTAATTTCAGAGCGAGTGTGTGAAGATTTTGGAACTCAACAATTAGGACTTTTTGTAACATTTGCTTTCTCTGTGTTGCTATATTTAGATCTCTCCCTTTGCTTTTTAGTGCATCTGAAAATCTCAGTCAGTACTTTTGTAGCTATTTTTGTCACATAAATCTTAGTCGAAAGAGTCTTTTGATCCAAAGTCTTTTACATAATTGTATTAATTTTATGGCAATTGATTTGATTGTGTGACATTGTGGTGGTGTTTTGCTGTTTTTAATGACTATCAGGGACACAAGCCTCTTCCTTGTGACATGGCTGGATCAACCTCAAGAGCCACTCCTTACTCTTCCTACAACCAAAGCCCTCTCTCTTCCGCATTCGAAAGTCCCATCCTTTCATACCAAGTCAGTCCATCGTCTTCCTCATTCCCGAGTCCTTCTCGTGGCGGCGGCACGCACAACATCTCCACAATCTTCCCTTTCCTCAGGAACGGCGGGATTCCATCATCCCTGCCACCGCTTAGAATCTCAAACAGTGCTCCAGTCACACCACCAGTCTCATCCCCAAATTCCAAAAACCCCAAACCATTGCCCACTTGGGAATCATACACCAAACAGTCCATGGCCATTGCTGCTAAACAGTCAATGTCGACTTTCAACTACCCGTTTTACGCGGTCTCTGCACCAGCGAGTCCCACTCATCATCGCCAGTTCAATGCTCCAGCTACTATACCTGAATGTGATGAGTCTGACTCTTCCACTGTTGATTCTGGTCATTGGATTAGCTTTCAGAAGTTCTCACAACAGCCGTTCCATGGCGGCTCTGCAGTGCCTGCCTCTCCTACGTTCAATCTAGTGAAGCCCCCTGTACCTCAGCAGTTATCTCCAAACACTGCAGCAACTCGAGAGATTGGTCAAAGCTCGGAATTTAAGTTTGAGAACAGCCAAGTTAAGCCATGGGAAGGGGAGAGGATCCATGATGTGGCAATGGAGGATCTGGAGCTCACACTTGGGAACGCTAAAGGTTAGTTGAGATGAAGAACAAAAGAACCCATTGTGGCATGTCGACAGGAAGAAGGGGATTGGAGTCTTAGTGTTGTGTTCTGTTCATGGTTTTGGTTCTTGTACTAGAATGAACCCATATTCATTGTACCAGTGAGTTTGTTTCAAAACGCATTATTTGTAGATAGAATGTGTAAGATGTATGTTGTTTCTATTATTCTTCCTTTTAGGTCCTCAAGAACATTACATATATATTACATTATTAAGTTACCTGGCACCAGAACATATATGATTCAAACTTAAGATACACCAAACTATGAAACAGGCTCCATTAGCATATATGAAACTGGAGAAAAATGTAACAAGAACAGAGAAGTGAAAAAAAAAGACTTGAGATTTTAGCCATAAGATACACAAAATTCATAGTACAAAAAAGAAACCAGAAGGCATGAAGCATTAAACATGGAAACAATCAAGGCAAAGTAAAATTAGAATCACAACATGTCAAGAAACTGAGAAACTTTTGAGCCTACCCTGCTTTTTTTCAAGGTGAATCATTCAGAACCATCAGGGAAGCTATCAAGAGCGTCTTGCTTGCCATTTACGTAGAACTCAACCACTGCTAGCATTCTATTAAGCTTATCAGGATGGTAATTCACATGAACAATCACCGGTTTCACCTTCTTCAGTTCCTGATTCTTTCTTACAGTCTTGAAAAGGACCTTACTGTTCATAAACTCATACATATCCATCACTCTCTTTGACGCATGTAGTCCAGTGTAGTCAGGATGCGAAGGATAAAACAACTCCTCGTTGAAAACCGCTTGGTCCCAAAGCTTTGCCTTGGAGAGCCTATCCGCTACGCGATCAAGCAGCTCGATCGATGGAACCGTAGGCCTTAGATAGAAGAACCCGGAGTTGAAAACCCATATCCTCATCGTGTGAGCATAGCGAGCCCATCCCATGCCTGGATCATCAGAGACGTCGTTGAATCCATAAGCCGTCATGTTGTTATGGCCATCACTCATCGACTCCACATCAGAGTCTCTGTATAAGTGACTAAACGGGTTTTGCAAGAAGACAATGTCCACATCCGAGAGAAGAACACCGTAACCGAGCTGCAAGAACTCTCTCAGCACACGGAATTTCAACCCAGAGACGGCGTGGTTACCTCCGGTTTTCCCAACCGCGTCCACGTCCTCGTCTGGATCTCTCTTGTAATACGCAACATCGTTTGATTTACAGAAATTCACTATGTAATCATCCAATGCAACAACCAGGTAGTTCGTTATACTCAACCTCTTTACGCTAGCGATCTGTACCTCTAACATTGCTTTCACATTAGCGTTTGCAAGAGCCACAATCACCTCTTTATCAACAGCAATCTCCTCTAGAATCTTTGCCAGTCTTGGGTTTACAGATTCATCGGGAAGGATAGTTGGGTTGGTTCTCAGGCTCTTGACGGTTCCAAAAGGACCCGCCTTGATCTGTGTTCCCAAAGCAAGAACTTGTTTCCGTGCATTGTCTGTTCCTTGTTCAGCTAGCCGTAGCTTTTCCGTTAGCTCTCTCACCTGTTTCTTTAGCTCTGCGTTCTTCTCTGAGATTGATGCAAAGTCTGACTTCAGCATTTGGATTCGTGCAGGCGATTCACAAGGTGATGATCCAACCTGAACGGGGAAAAAAAGTAACGAACTTTCATCAAGTAAAACTCAAATCTTCAAACCTCAAGAATCCATAAACAACTCAAACTTAATTCCAAATTGAGATACAATATCCAGTAATCAACACAGCTAATTTGAAGAATATCTTCAACTAATCTCCAACAAACACATCACTAAGAAGAATTTTCCAAGTTTAGACACATTCCACTTAAAAACTATAATGGCTGCATTTCTCAATTCAGGTCAATCAAACAATCTAAATCGATTACAGAAGCTATTTAAAGAGCTCTACGTATTTATGGCGTAGGATCCAGTACCTGGACGCGTTCGTTTACTGTGAGAGACGAGCTCGACTTGAAGAAGCCGTTTGGGAAGAGAACGGCGCATACGCAACCGATAATGATACCGACGAGGATGGCGATCGCAATTCGAGATCCACGGAGCTGTTGGCTTCTATCTCTACGACCCGCCATGGCCGTTGACTTTCTCTCCTCCCTTCTTCACCAGCGAAATCAAAAAGAGAAGACCCAGAAGCTTAAAATGAAAAAAAAAAAAAAAGACTCTTTTCTAATTCACCTAAACGGAACGAAAAGTTGAAACAATGTGGTGGATCAGGGAAAACCCTAGAAATGTGGTGTCTTATTCGGTGGTCTCGGGTCAAACCTCCCGGCTCCCTTTTGAAGTTGTTGAGAGAAGAAGAGGGAGCTTGTTTGGCCACTTCTCCGAAGACAACGACGAAGACGATGAAGAATAATCAAAGGCTTCTAAGTAATATTCCTCTACTTCACGGTGTAGATTAGTTTCTCGCATTTCATCAGATTAAGATTAAGTTTCAGCCGTCCGATGAGATGACTATTCTGCTTACGGTCAACATAACCAATTACAAATCGAGATTTGACAGAAATATGAGAATATCAAATTTTTAATCAACGTTCGCATCTATAATCCACTTGCTAGCACGATCACACATGCATGATAGACCAAAACATCATGATTGAGATGAGGTAAGCTGGTCCAACCTTGAATCGCATCTCAACTAAACGCCTATAGTGCGATCAAAAAACGCGATTACAGCGGTTAGACAGACGAAAACAGGGAAAATAAGAAGAAGGAGATCCACTTTGCAAAGAACAAGTATTCTTTGATTAACATTATTCGAACATTCAAAAGAGAATGCATGTAAAAAGGTATAGAATTACAAAGATTACAACTTTCTTCAAGTAACCGTTGCTTACATGTCAAAATTCAAATGCAAAAGTCTTTATATGTCTCCTCAACTCTCGTCGTCCAAAACTTTGTTATTACCAAACAAATTATCTCTTCTATTACCAAACCCGCCCGAGTCAAGTCCCGACCCACCGCGATAGTTTTGATGATCCTGCGCCGTTGTCCTATAGCTACCATCCAACGGAGCTCTCGAACTCTGCTCGTTCGCTTCAACTGACCTGTACGATGACCCACCACCAACGTACCTTCTCCTTAAATCCATGAGGTCATCGTTTCTTCTAGACGGCTCAGTGAACGACGGCTCTTTCCCCGAACCGTTCGGAGTAAAAGGATCGTCCGGTCCCCACGCGGTGAGAGACTCTTTCTTCTTGGCGAAAAAATGCCAAGCTCCGAACAGAAACAGTATGAAGAAGAACACAGGACTGCTCCATAGCATTGTGTTGAAATCTCCTTTCACACTCGCAAGCTTCGACTTATAAACCGCGAAATAACCGTCTCCTAAACCGATCACAAGAAGGTTATCTCGGTCGCTAGCGATCAAAGGCCTCGCCTTTACCACTCCCACGGTCCTTGACGTCGACTGGCGATGGCTCAAGAACGCAGATCGGATCTCTTCCAAACCCGCAGAGAACAAAAGCCGAGGACCAGCGGTTCGAACGTAATGCTGAGTCGACACGTTGAAAGCGAACGCCTTTTCCTCGTCGATGACGAGAAGATAGCCTTTGATCGACTGTAGAGCAACCGGCTCCTCCATCTGAAACTTCTTCTTGGACCTAACTCTGCATTTGAAGTTCATTATATCTCCGTGAAGCAACACGTGGATGATCTCTCCTTCCGACGTGAATCCGTAGGCTTTGGACCGCTCCGTCGCGTCGAAAACGTAACTCCTCGCGAGCGAATGGTTAAGTCCTTCGCACTCTGTTTCTCTTATCTTCATGCTCCGTAAGTCCAACGAACCAGCACCGGACTCGGTGAGGAACAACAGCCTCTGCTTCAAGAACACGAGCGGTCTACTCGACGGCGTAACCGATCCGTAAACCGTCCGGTTCTCGGTTAAAACCGTGAGCTTCCCGCTCAGATCCGTCGCCAAAATGTACCTGACCCGACCGACGTGGTGCACTTCAAGCAGCGTCACGGGATCGGCCGAATCATCCCCGTCGAACTTCCCGACGTTCTCCATGGAAACCGAATTCGAGTTCCAGTCTTCTCCGCTGGATGATCCTTCGTGGATCCGGTGGAACAAAACGGCGCCGTTCTGGTGACCCGTGACGACGAAGCTCGAGTTCCTAAACACGGACAGATACGAAACCATCGCTGTGATCGGCGAATCAACGGTGGTGAAAAACTCGATCAAAACGTCGCCGTTTCTCAGGAACACGTAAACCTTGCCTCTCGAATCCCCGATCGCGAAGTATTTGCTCGATCCTTCGAAATCCCGAAACGGCAACACGTTGATACAGGTCGCGTCGGAGTCGAGTTTCACGGCGGATGTGAACAGAAACCTCTCCGTCCAAAACGGACTGTATTTGGTAACCGAAAACGCCTTGGCTCTTGCTCCGATTTCATCGGGTGATTTAGCGTTATCGTGCTTCTCCTTGAACGGCGGTTCCTGAGATTCGGATAACCTAGCGTCTAGATTGGCTACTAATTCCGTCAGGTTCTTAACGAGATCCTCCAGTTTGTGCAGTAGAAGAGCTTCTCGATTGGATTCACTAACCGACGCAGCTACATCGGTAGAAACGTTATCGATTTCGTACGGAATCGGATCGACGATAACCGGAGAGTCGTTGGCATACGACGGCGAAATGAAAAGCAAAGTGAGGGAGATTATAAAGTAAAAGGAGATAAAGAAGGACTTGCCGATTCGAGGATCCGCCATTAAAGTATTGCAAAAGTAAAGCAGAAAGCTTTTTTCGTGTCTGAATCTGAATCAGTGAGTAACCGCCATTTATGCAGATCAGGAGATTGGATTTAGGATCTGGAAAGAAAATAAGTTCTGTCCGGTTGGAGTCTTAGCTAAGTTTTTGTTTTTTGGTGAACTTGGGAAGTCAGGAGTTTTTTTTTTTTCAATGTCAAAATTGAGACCTTTGTATCCGGAATTATCTCCGGTCGTCTTCAGTCAGTCACGGTGAACATTAGCGCTAAATATCTTTAAGACTTTTTTTTTTTTCGTTTTAAAAATATCTTAAGATTTTCTCTGTTTATGATGTAAAATTTTGTCCTTTCTAATTTTATCCATTAATAAAATTGATCATGGATGGATGTCAACACTTGTTATTATAAGCTGATATTTGATTTGGTAAGATAAGAAACATTTTCTTTTGGTCATCATATATAGAAGAAAACTTTATTTCTTTATTTTTTCCACCGGAATGATTTTATATAAGATATTATGTAGGTCCATATGCATATTGCATAGTACATTTCAGTTAGGATCTAAGTATTGATTTTTTTTCTTCAAAATATGACTATCAATACGCAATTTTTAGGATTTAAACTAATCTTCTTCACATGTCAAGCTAACTACTAGTCAACGAATGCCCTGACTTATATGATAGATAATCAACTTGTAAAGAGTAAAGACCATCACATATATGCTCCTACAGAAATAAATTTATAACTTGCTTTAAAAATATTAAAACTCATATTCTTAGGAAAAAACGCATAAAGCGGTTAGACTAAATACCTTTACTTAACGATGAAACAATGTCGCGGAATCAGAGCAAATGAGTTTACCACAGTCGACAAGTTTAATGGCCACGCATAAAACTAGAAAAGCACACATGCTCAGTGATCAGCAGGGCAGTGAAGAAATCCATAGATTCTCCACGTGAAATTTCTTGGTGACAGTGAAGAAAAGCCCTCGATTTTTCAAAACACATTGTCCCAATGCTTTTATACATGGACAAAGTCCACCCCAATCTCATATACCTATCCCGAAATCTTTGTTTCTTTTCTTTTTGTGAGTAAATTAAACATAGATGTAGAGACAAACCAAAAATTATAGTAATTGTTTCGTGGCCAAACAAAATCGAATATATAAACTTTTGTCGTGTTCAGTCTTCGGAAAAGAGAAATGTGAAATGAGTAGAAAGAGAATTGTCTGAATAGCCGAGGAGACTGCCTGACGACTAACCATCTCAGAGACTATCGATAAAGTCTTTGATGGATATGGGTTAAGATGCAGGCAAGTCATCCTTGGCTACCACACCACTTTTCATTCTTCATGTCACCATTTTCTCTTTATATGTGTTTCTCTTTGTTATGATGTTGTTGATGAATGCCTTCTCAATACCATCTGTATTTATAGGCATGACCTAATGAACATGGAGTGGACACAATATGTTTGACCCAACATGTATGCATTGCCATGTTTGGAATATGTTCTTTGCCACATCAAAGATTTGGGAATGGTCTTTGTATTAACAAGTTGGTGATGAACCATATCAATAGTCCTATTTAGTCTTAGCCATGAATGTTAGAAGAATGTTTTAAAGTGTTATATAGACCTATATATAGTGTTTAGAAGAAAAAAGAAACGATTTAAAGTGGTATTGTGACCATGATAAGTGATAACGAGCTTAAACACAAATATGACGGCAATACAATACATAACTAAGTGTTTTCATATTTATCAGTTAGATGGACAACATGTGAACGATTAGGTATCTTTAAACGTTATCTTTCTTTTGTTCTTTCGCGGACGATCATTGATTTATTCTCCCAAATCGGCATCATTGTTTTGGTTCAGCTCAAACAAATAACAAAAATCCATTTAACTTTAATTTTCGGTAATCATGTTTTTATAAGCAACGTTTTCGGTTTTCAAAAGATCAATCTACTAGGCTACTAGCATATCACAATATACGAACAGTCTCTTTATATTTTGTTCAACTCTTCTTCCACAAGTTTTCTAAATGCGCAAATGGCAAAAATGTGCTTTGAAACCTAATCATCTGTGTCTGGTCAATACCCTTTCTTACTAGTTGACTACTAGTGTTGGGACCATAAAGGAAAGAACATTTATAAAAGTCATGATGCCATATGAATTTGTATAGTTAACAGGGAATATATGGAGCTTTCTGTGAGTATTTATATAAATATATAACTTCTAGAATTATTCCTATTATCTATTCAGAGTTAGCTAGAAAGAATGTACCATCACGAGAGATGTTTGGGAACGAAAGCTGTCGCCCATATATAGGATATTGCTTTCTTTTCATTTTCGAATTTTGTAATATATGAATTAATAATATATATTAATTCACCACACAATTAATAATATAGCTACATATTTATTTTCTACAGTCAGTCTTGCATATGAATCTTATGTAATCAACTGATGTAGCTGATACAACTTGGCTTTAGAAATATTTTATATAATACTATATCTATAACTGATTGTCTTCAGCATGTGGAAAAATGGATTTAGTTTACGTGGTCTACTCAGTGGTCCATGCTTTATGGATCCAAATCGAAAATTCTTTAGACAGCTAAATTTTGTTGTATTTGTGGTTTAGCGGCGGCATACAGATACAGTTACCATGAAATTCACAGTTGTTTGATTGTTCTACCACACTTGTCGAGTCGAGATCATCAAACGATGATTCGTGTACACATACGCAGACGTTTGATAAAAGAGAAACTAGACGTAAAGGTTTTATGGGGGTGACAAAGTCTAGATTTGTCCAATGAGATCCAATGTTACCAAAATATGTTAATCTAAAGTAAATCGGAAAAATGAAACCAACATGGTCGATTACGTACACTTGATACAAATCGAATAATCGTGGTCTCGTCCCCGACTTAATCTTGCACCTATGGTTGGTTTCCACCCACATGCATATAAAAAGATAACAACATTCACACATATGGACCATTTTCGGTCAAACATGTTTCATCATCTATACCAAAAAAGAAAAAGGAATGAAGTAAAGTGGAATGGATTAGAGGCTCAAAAGACTCCGACTTTAAGAACTTTCTTTTAACTAGATTTCAACTTTAAGTTTGTTCTTACTCTAAACTTGCATATCAAGATCTTCACTTCACAGAAAAAATGAAGACTAGAAAATTATTTGGTAGTCAAGGATGACTTGCCTGGATTGCATCTACATAAAAATGTATACCAATTTATCTCGCTAGAAGGAGTTTTGCTTACATATTGCGATTGCAGATTATCCAAAGTCATTTAAAAACTCATAAAACTAAAATTCTTCTTTCAGATGTTAAACTGAATACACATCTTGTACGACATTACTGGAAACATGTACAGATAAGTTAATAGGCTCAATTTCATATATGGGCCTTCTTGACTTTTTAGGCCGATAGACCATTATTATTGAAACGAGCCCATTTTAAACTAAACCCTAGCTAGCTTGCCCACTTCTTCCTTATATAAGAAACTCTGTTCTCTTTCCGCTCAATCAAAAGTTTACTCGTTAGATCATAGTTCTTACTTCAATTTCTGCTAAAGTGTTTTTTGTTTGTTAACTGATTTCTCTTCATGGATTGAAAAGTTTTGGGATAAAAAAAGGTGTTTTCGTTGGCAAATGATGAGTAGAATCTTATCCTACACACAGATTTATCAGTGTTGACTACCAATCTCTGCTTATTATCTGATGCCATTTTCGAAAACTATTTTCTTATTTCAAATCCGCTGGTTTTCACTTTCGTTACAAATTTTCATAAGCTTTATATATTGAATTTTATGAATTTCGTTGAAGCTTGGATTTGGATATATCAAAGTCAATTGAGTCAGACGATCAGTTTAGTTAATAATTAAGAAGATTTCAGCAGTCTTTTTAATTATTATTTTTTTAAGTACAATTTTGAAGATGATACAATGATGAGACAAGCAGACGGGCGGTCTGAAATTGATGTCGTGTTGAATGTCTGTCTTTTGCTTCTTAGCATCTCTGAGTTTCTGATTCATTACCGAACACATATTGCTGGATGATTGACAACTTAATTAATCCCTGAAATTAACACATTGATAATTGAGAATTTCATTAATCACTGAACTAACTGTGTAAAGGTTTTGGGCATGTGTTGGTGATGTATTCGTGGAAGTAAACGACAATTGAAAAGGAAAGCATATTATTCAATAATCAGCTCTGAATTAACATTATAATCATGCAATAAAAATTCAAGATAAGGAGTGTTTGGACACGGAGACTTGTTTTATCCACCGTCTGGATTAAACAAACGCAGCCAAAACAAGAGAACGCGTTACAAAAGTCAACACCAAGTCAACTTCCTCGTGGCTTTTAGCCCATCGCACTTCGTATCTTAAACTAAAAACTCAGTACGGACTTTATGTCAATTTATCCATCTCCAAAAGTCTCTCTTTCACACTGATCTTAGTTCCTTTATAAAGAGCCTATTCACAGAATTTGATTCAGAGATCAGTTGCAAAAAAATGAAGTTTGCAGAATCTCAAACGCTCTTACCGGTGAGAAAAACTGCAAATGGCGGTTTGCTCAACCAAAACCGCAAACGCGCTGGTTACAAGCTTTGGGTTCTAATCGCGGTTCTCCTATTGGCCTTAGGTTCTATGTTAACCGGTTCCGTCTCACTCAAAGGAATCGGTCTGTTCCATTCTGCTGACGGAAAGTTCGGATTCCCCGTCGGCGACGATCTCGACGTCCTGGTACGACTCAATTGTTGTTTCTATTTGAAAATTGTTAAATCGGAGTTGGATTTTTGACTTTGTGGATTTTATGGAATTGACAGGAAATTGAGGAGAGAGAGAAAGTGGTGAGGCAGATGTGGGATGTGTACGGACGATCCGGCGGCGTTAAGGTTCCTCGGTTCTGGCGAGAGGCTTTCGAGGCGGCGTATGAGTTTCTGGTCAGTGATTCCGCCGGCGTGAGAAACGCTGCCGTTTCAGATATTGCCAAGTTGTCTCTTGTTCGCTCTCTTAAGGTCGACTCTAGTCCGTGATCCAAATCGTCGTCGTTGAGTTTTCGAAGAAAGCCCACGAGAGAATAACATTAAAATTTACAAATTGTATATATGATTTTATAAATCCGTGAAACTATAAGATAAATGAAATATGAATAATTCGCGTTTTCGTTGAAAAACATTGTTTGACCAATACTCCAATAGCAACAAAATGATGCTGGAAACAAAAATTATCAACCAAATTGTTGTCTATTTTCATTCTTTCAGTAATTTAATTTTGAGAATTTGAACACATACATATTGATATGGATATGAATTTATTCTCAAAGTAAGGGATAGTCTTCTTGCGACCGACTAACCGTAATGATATGGACCGTCTCAATTGAGGGAAATTGAGGAGATTAGATTAACCGTTAATCACGCGCGAACCGACTTTTCTTATTGTGTTTCATCGGCACCGTTGATCTTTAATACTCTAACAGTTGGCAACCGTAGGATCTCTCCATAATTGATTCGAAATCTTAAACCGACTCGGATTCTGGGTTTTGCTCGCGAATATAAAAACGGTCGACTTTTCCCTCTATTATCTTCATCCCATTCTTCTCCGATCGATTCTCCATTTTTTTTTTGTTTATGCGAGTTTGGTTTTAAATTCTGATTGTTTTCCCTGAGATTCTTCGTTTCCAACTCTGATTCTTTTCCGAATCTCCTTTGGATGATGATTTTCTTATTAGGGTTTGGCTCGATTCGGCCGTAGGCGCCGATTTGCAATCCATCGAGTTTTGTCATCGAGCCATCGAGTTAATTAGGTTTTTGTCTTTGCTTAGGGTTTCTCAATTTCTTTGATTCTGCTTCCGAATCTCTCGTGTATGCTACTTATTAAGTCTTGCGAAATTTGGATTACTGGAATTGATGTCGAGACTTGTGAAATTGGATTACTGGAATTGATGTCGAGACTTACTTTTGTTTTTCGGATTCATATTACAGGGACAAAGCAGAGCGAGCGGGGAGAAACGCATCGGATCAATTCTCGTTGATCTGATGTCTAAAGGACGATATTGTTCTGGGTATTGTCTTATTGCGTTATCTGTCTCTTTTTGTTTGGTCTTTCAAACTGAGATAGAGAAGAAAACAGAGAAGGGGATTTGTATAAGACCTTTGCCATGACAGGTGCGCTTGCTTGGCAGGTCTTAACAAATTCGTTTCTCTCTTTTTTAGCATACCTTATCATATGTTTCTTGCATATCTTATCATATGCTTCTTGCATATCTTATCATATGCTGCTTGCATACCACACACACAAAGAGTATCTTACTCTTTTCTATGCTTCTTGCATAACATATGTATTATATGCATTATATGCTTCTTGCATACTATATAGAGTCTCTCGCTCTTTCATATGCTTTATGCTGCTTGCATAACATACTTATTATATGCTTCTTGCATACTGTATAGAATCTCTTGCTCTTTTTCATATGCTGCTTGCATACATTTATATGCCTCTTGCATACTCTTTCATATGCTGCTTATATTGTCTTATATGCTTCTTGCATACCACCAAGAGTATCTCGCTCTTTAATATGCTGCTTGCATACAGTTTTTGCATACCGTGTTATATGCTTCTTGCATACATTTATATGCTGCTTGCATTTATGTCTTATGTACTGAGAGAGAGAGAGAACAAGAGATGTATGAAAAGAAAACAGAGAAGGGATTTGTATAAGGCCTTTGCCATGACAGCTGCGCTTGCTTGGCAGGTCTAAACAAATTCGTTTCTCTTTTTTTTTTATCTGCTCTTTCATATGCTTCTTGCATGTCACACACAAAGAGTATCTTTCTCTTTTCTATGCTTCTTGCATACATACCACAAAGAGTATCTTGCTCTTTCATATGCTGCTTGCATACATTTATATGCTTCTTGCATACTCTTTTATATGCTGCTTGCATTATGTCTTATATGCTTCTTGCATACGACAAAGAGTATCTTGCTCTTTCATATGCTGCTTGCATTATGTATTTTATGCTTCTTGCATACCACACACAAATCTTTCATATGCTGCTTGCATAAGGTCTATGTGCTTCTTGCATACCAGCAAGAGTATCTTACTCTCTGCTTATATACATTATGTTTTGGCTCAAGTATGTGTGGTGATATAGCTATGCTTGGTATTGGGGTTGTTATCCGTGGGATATCTGAAAGTGATGTTCTCCAAGAGTTGTTCGCTTGTTCTGTTTCGGAAACATTGGAAGAGTCTAATCTAGTTTCTCAATGTGTCAGAGGAAATAGTCTCCTGCCAAGTAGGACAGTCGAATCTGAATGTAAATTGGAAGGATTATAGTAAGGTTTGTGGTTAACTTATGTTAGCCTTTTTATACATTGTTTCTCTAGTTTTCCTTAATCGTTATCCTCTGCAGGGGTTTGATAACTTGATATGATATGGTGACTTTGTCTGTATTATAGGTGTCCTGTTATTTTGGATATACACACATTAAAGTAGGATCCATCAGCAGAAATGTGGAAGAAGAATCTGCAAGAAAGTAGGAGTGCTCAAGGTGGTGGAACCTGAGATAGATCTCTTTATATTGGAGGTAACTTTGATCTGCTTGGTTTGATTTTGTTTACAGCAAAAGATCGAGAGAAGCTGGTACAACTTGTGGCTCAGATCTTTGGAAAATAAGGTTTCGTGTACTGTTTTTTTTCCTTTTGCAGGTTTCCGTTTTCCTCAGGATGGAAGTTGTGTAGCTAGAGTTTGCTTCTCAAAGTGGGAAAAAAGCCTTGTAAAGCCTAGAGTCTGATGGAAAATCCTTAAAGAGGCGAGCTTGTAGGCTTGTAGATTTTGTTTAACATGTGTATAGAGATTGTTTCAACTATCTATAAAAGAATTTGGTTTGGTATTCTGTTTCATAACGACCGAAACTCCAATAAATGAGTTATGAGTTCATTTATCTGCAGGAAAGTAAATATAAAACACACACAGATCACCTAGTATTACATAAGTACAACGAATACCAAACCGTGTAAAGTAGAATCTATTTCATTCAGAACTACCTTCTCTGTTATATAGTTTACCATGTGGGATGAGGAATCAAAGGTTCAATTTCCAATGAGGAATGTGAAGTGACAATATTAGATGCTGGAGCAGTAGCACCAATTGTCCATAAATCAGCTATGCCTATTGTACTCATTCCTTCTTCATCTTCATCATCATCACCATTGTCATTTTCAATATGCGCCATTGAATCCCCTGGAGATGAACATATCTTCTCTAACTCGATAGACACTTGTCTCATATTTGGCCGCTTCTTTCCTTTTGAATTCAAGCATCTCTTTGCCAGATTCGCCACTGCCATTACTTGTTCCGGTTTGCAGGCATCTCTTATTCGAGCATCCATAATCTCAAAGAATGTGTTCTCTTTCATGGCAACTCTGAAATGCTCTGCCAAGCCCCTGATTTCTTGAGATTTTGAAAGGGTTATTACAGGCTTCTCTCCTGTAATAAGCTCAACGAGGACAACCCCAAAGCTGTAAACATCACTCTTGTTCGTATACTGGCTGGACCCGTAGTATTCTGGATCCATATATCCGACTGTACCCGAAATAACTGTTGTCCAGTGAGTGTGATCGACAGTCACTGATCTTGAAGTACCGAAATCCGACACCTTGGCTCGATACTTCTCGTCTAGTAATATGTTTGTTGACTTGACATCTCTGTGATAGATTGGAGAAGAAGCAGCAGAGTGCAAGTAAGAAAGAGCTCCTGCAATATCAACCGCAATGCGCAGACGCACACCCCAAATCATTGAGTAATCATCAGATTCTTCATGGATGTGCTCAAAAAGGTTCCCATTGGGGATAAACTCATAGACCAAAATAGGAACTTCTGTCTCAAGACAACACCCTAGGAGCTTGACAACATGCCTATGGTTGATTTGGGAGAGAATGACGACTTCGTTGATGAACTCTTCTAGTTTGTCTTCGTCTACAACTTTGGATTTCTTGACAGCAACCGTTCTACCATCGACAAGCATTCCCTTGTACACAGTGCCTTGACCACCCCGTCCAAGTATCCTGTTTTCGCTGAAGTTTTCGGTGGCTTTTTCAAGCTCCACCGAGCTGAATATTCTTGTTTTCTCGACACTGCCTTCTCTTGTATGTAATTGTTGTTGCAACAACAGCCCCCCGTTACGTTTGAAGAACTTCTTTTTCTTTATAGTCATCCTTCTCTTGTCAAGAAACTTTCTCAACCACCAAATTCCACCAACAAGGACTAAGATGCCCAAACCTGTACCTACACCTGAAACCGCCACACGATATGTTAATAATCACATGTTTAGACTATCTTTTGTGTTGTTAATCTTGAATATGATTCACTGACTTACCTATCATTATTGCTCCAGTCTTGTCGCTAAAGCAATCAAAACTTCCAGGAAGATTTACGCAAGTGTCGCTCTCTCTACAATACCGGCGACTTCCATCAGGTTTGCGTAGGTGGCACTCATTAATATCTGGATACGAAAGATTGTGATTATTGTATTGCACTGAACTTCCCATGCAGAGAGAAAGTTATAATCCTCGCATGATGTTAAACACACACAAAAAGACAGAACTTTTTTTTTACTGACCTTTGCATCCATCAAGGCGGTATGGATTCCCTGTGTAACCTTGGTTGCATCCACAGTTTGCATAATTTGTCCGAGAAATGGTGATATTGCTGCATACACAACTTGTTCTGTCTCGGATATTACCTCTAAAGTCATCGAACTCTTTCGTGTTTATACAGCTCAAGGAGTTTATGTAAGAAAGGTTCGTCGTCTGAAAGACCCAGCCGATCCTAACTGTAACGTATCCCTTAGAAAATAACTTTTCTGGATCGGTTGCATTCGATAACGTGTAGACTTCATCTGTTAAGAAAGCGACTCGGCATTTTCGGCTTGTAAAGTTTCCACGATCAAAGCTTTCTATTTTAACACCAATTACTTGTTGAGCCTCATCAACGGGTAAACTTGCACGGCAACATCCGTTACCATTGCAGCTTCGTCTTTCTACTTCTCCTTTGTTCTCAGTACAAGCCGGTGTGTAAGTATAACGCAACGTGTTACTGGAACACCCGGTTTTGTCGAAAAAGGGGATGCTTTTGCTAGGTAACGTCTCTTTACTTGCTGTACAATTCAACTCACATCCCACTTTGATCGGTTCGATGTTAGTCAACGACGCTTTGCTGTCGCAACCAACGGCTACAAGGCTGTTTCCAATCCCAAAGAAGAAAGGACTATCCGTCAAGTTCAAAACCGAGCCAGACCCGTTTCCATCTCTGGAACATCCAGCGGATGTTACCGGGCTTCTCACACGAATTGACCCGAACGAACCGGAATCGTAATAACCCTCCCTGTCACCCGGAAGAGAGATATTCACAACTTGTAATCCAATCTTGAAAAGGAACGGAAGAGTAGCGTTTTTGCATTCGATCTTGTACCACTCGTCGAGGTAGCAACCTTTTCCGATTCCAAACGGGTAGGGGATTTTTACATTTCCACATGATTCGGTTTGACACGAGCTCGAAACACAGACAACTTTTGAATCAAGGATAAGCATAATAATTTGAAGAGAGATAAGAACCGAGAAGGAGTTATTGTTATAGCACCTCATGACGTTGCTTCTCTTGCTGGACTGGATTTGAACCTTGCTAATCAAGCAAGTATGACAGGAATGGTCTAGTTACTTGCGATACAAGTTAGGAAACAACATCAAATGTCTCGAGTTTCGTAAGAACTTGAATTTATGAATCTGATAAGAACTCAAGTTTGGGTGGTGTGTCGGAAACAGTTTTCGCCAGATAATAAATCAACCAGTGGCCAAATTCTGATTGCTCAAGGTCAATAGTCAACTCCGTCCGTTGTTCAAGCAGCCCTATAATTTTAAATTTCATTTTTGTCTCTTCCAAAGTTACATTATATTTTAATCCCAATACTTAAAAAAATAAAGTCTCGCCTCTTTTATTTGTTTTTGAAATCAAGTCTTTTGCCCTCTTCCTTTGACTATGACCAGAATAGTTTTTATTAAGTATACTAGATTTAGACCCGCGCTATGCTGCGGGATTATTATTTTTGTTTTTATTTTTTACATAGCTGTAGCTATTTTCTGCGCAAGTCTATTTTTACTTATCTTTACTTTCTTAGATTTTTATGTTTTGGAAAACCTTATTTCAACTTTCGAACTTGGATATATCTAAACCCTTCTCGCTAAACTTTGGAACCGGAGTTATCATTCTTATACGGAAGTTGAATACGGTTATTGGTTTATCTTTCTTTTTTGTCCATTTCGTGTGATCTTCATTACCCTACCAATATTGTTCTTTTTTTAGATTGTTTTGATTCATTTTTAATGAGTTATAATAGAAAATTAGTTCTCTTTTATATTATTTAGTCAGAAAACATGTTATTTGCTTTGCTACTATAAAAATTGCCATAAAATACAATTTCTTCATTTTCACCTAAAACATATTATTTGCTTGGCTACTACTATTTTTTCTGGTTTATAATTTAATTTTGGCAAACCTTTGACACTACTTATGTTTACTAGGAATGAAACCCGCGCTTTGCTGCAGGATTTTTTAAAAATAATTATCATATCAAATTATAGTATTTTAGCAAGTGAAAATTTGATAGTATTCTAGATATTCACTTGATAAAATACCATAATTTGATTTTTCTAATTTATTAGAAACTCTAATTTTGTGGTAATTTTTTTACTACAGTACATTCATGTTTGTTTATATCTTGTTTCATAAGAAAAATCACAAAAATTACTAAAAACATAATAATCTAACAATCCAAATATCAATTCTCTAACTTTATCACTCTCCTTCTCTGATTAGTTTCTGTGCTTTTAAAGTGTCCACTTCAACCAGTTCAATTTTGCTATAAATCACAATATACAAAACGTGAAAGGTGTTGTTCTTTTTTTCAGCCTAATCTGTAATTTAGCACATAAATAAAATAAGGAACCTGTAACATATTTTAACAATATAAATCACCAATATTGGCATCACTAATATGAATAAACAAAAATCCAAATTTAGGTTTTGTTTTTCTCTTCTTCATCTGCTTTCTCTTTCTTCCTCTTCGCTTCCCTCTGTGCTTCTTTCTTATTTGCTTCATCAGCCAATTTTCTTAGTTTTTTTTCTTCTTCCACCAAAGACAGATATCTGTATCTTCTTCATCAGCCAGAGACATGCGATCATTTCATCCGCCAGTCCCTAGATTTCTCCATACAAATCATGTGACTCAATCTCCAAGTAGTTCTTGGCCAAAACCTTAAATACTTCAAACCTACAATAAAAACAAAACATTTCAATATAGTTGCCCATTCTTCTGCGTATCAATGCCGGATCAAGCTTCTCCACAAAACTCGTCGTGCACACTATGATCTTCTCAGCACTAAAAGCTGACCACAATCCATCAAAACTAACCTTAATCTCTTTCTCACCTCTTTCTCTCTTTAACATCTTCTCAGCTTCCTTCTTCTCTTTTCCATCCTCTTCATCGTCTTCCTCCTTTTTCTTCTTTCTCTGTCCGTAAGACCAAACGTACAATCAATATCTTCGATCACAAAAATAGACTTCCCTTTTGTTTCCTCAACTCCGAGTTATCTTTTAGGGTCATCATCATAATCCAGGAAATTCACCATCGCATAAATCATTCTAGCTTATGGAAATGAAGGTCAGCATGGAAATGAAAACCAGAAGGATGCAATATAAGCTACAATGGCATTAGAGAACTGGAAAAAAAATCTCTTATCTCTCTGCCATTTTGGTTGTAACCTCTGTTTCGTCTCTATATATTTAGCTGGTGATGGTGTGCAATGTAAACCTTGAATCAAATTGTTTGCATATAAACCAAAAGCTTTTCACCTCAAACTTTAATATCCATAAAGAAAACATCATTGTTGGCTTTACATTGTCTAGACTTAGTGCCCCATAGTTGTGCAATTTTTTCTTTTTAAATACTGAAAATGTTTAAAAGAAAAATTAAGTCGTTAATAGCCTGCAGCGCTGGATTTTCACTCTCCACAGGATTTAAACAAAAGGTCATCAAAAAGTTCATGCTAAGAGTAGATGAGGGAGCTACAGTTCATCGATACAAATGTACTAACTCAACTAAGCTCATCTCTAATCATTTTGTGAGATGGGCTGAGAATTTGTGAAGGAAATTATTTTCATAAGGTTAGGCTTTTTCTGTTCTGCATTCATGGGTAGGACTAGAGACACCAACAGAAGCTGTTACGATTGAAAGGTTGAAGAAATTGATTCGGAAAAAGGGAAAAAACTTCAATAGGTTCTGTCGAATCAAACACTCCAACACCGAGATAGCAAAAACAATCCGATTTGTGGTACAACATAAAAAAAGGACTTACATTTAAAATCGAAGGAGAGAAAGAAGCACACATTCTCGAAATCTCCGGCGCCGATTTGACAGAGAATGAATTGAATCGGCGGAGAGAACAAAGCAAACATGTCTTCAACTCGAATATCCGGCGCCGATCCAATTAGAAAGTGACAGTTCTAAAGTGATTGTGATGAATCAATAGAGTAAAGGAATCGATAGAAGAAGACTTTCGGAAGAAGAAGAACGAAATTTCGTGGAAGGAGAGAATGAAGTTAACCGGATTGAGTAGCTAGCTGATTGGAAGATAACCGGATTTAATGTGGATCAAATCGAGCCAAAACGTGGCAAGTAAACCAATACAACTGCTGATATTATTTAGAATGTTTCTATTGGTTGGCTGGACGTTTTAAATGATGTGTCAACTCCAAGAAGCTTAAAAAAGCTGATGTGTCATCATCTTGAGAGGCACAAGTAGGGGTGTTCAATTTGGTAAAACCGAACCGACCCGAACCAAACTGAACCGAAATAAGTCATATGGTTTGGATTTGGATACACTGTATAAACCGTATGAATGCAATTTTATATAAACCGTGGATATTGATATGGTTTGGATATTAACCGACCGAACCACAAAAACCGCAAAAAACCGAATAGTATATGTACTCATATAATAATATATAGTATAAATATATCTTATATAATAATATAAACTTAGAGTAATATATAATTAATTAATCATTGATTAACTAAATCAGTTTGGATTTATTTGATATTTAAGCTTACAATATAATTGCATTTCATTCGTTTTCAAGTTTTGTTCTTCAATGTGTTTTTTTTGTTTTTTATAATTTTTCTATAGAATTTGAAGAATTTTATATTTTAGAAAATAAGACATGAGTTTGCAATTTTTTTTTTAATTTGATCAATTTGATTATGAGAAAATTCGAAAACCCTAATTAATAAAATAATCATAAAACAAAAAATACAAATAAAACGAAAACCGAGATTATTCGACCGAAAATATCCAGACCACAAAAACCGATAACCGAAACTATCCAAACCGAACCAAACCGAAGTAAGTATGGATTTAATATGGTAGCTATTTTTTATTAACCAATAAACTGAATACCGGAAAAACCGAACCGAAACCGAACCGATATCCGGATTGAACACCCCTAGACACATGGATTTTTGCTGTGTTGATTTGGATGATGATCGATCAATGACTGAAGAAAAATGACTGCTCAGTGATGTTTACTGGGCGAAATTTCTTCTTTAGATGAACTGAACTTTTCTTTTGTTTGTGTGAAAAAAAATCTTAAAGCTGTTGGAAAGTTTGAATAAGTGACTAGAGTTTTGATGAGGAGGCTTTATAGAGTACGAGGATGTAGCCTTGTAGGTTTTGTTTAACATGTAGAAAGATGCTCCAACTATTTAATTTAAATATTCAAAGGAATAGAAGCAAAAAAATCAGCAAATGAGTTTATCAGTAGACCCACACAAGGGGTTTGTTTCTTCAGGTCTACTTCACCAGAATTTGTATAAAGGCAAATTATGTGCAACGATCTCACAAAGCGTATGCCAACAACCTTCATTACAAAAGCAATTGTTTAGCTAGTAGAAGACAACATAACAATTAAAACCCAAAAAAACAACATAACAACAAACATTTATTTTTGTTTATTTCCAACAACAAACAGAACACAACACAAATTTCATCCAAGTCTTTGAAAAGACCATCCATTTTCTCCTCTATTCGGTCATCATTTGGGACGAGGAAACAATGGTTCAACATCTGACGAGGAATATGAAGTGGCAATTGGAGCAGTGATGGTCCACAAATCAGGTGTGTCTGTTGCATCCATTCCTTCTTCCTCCTCCTCATCACCATCGTCAATTTCAATCTGCACCACTAAATCCTCTGGAGATGAACAGATCCTGTCTAACTCAGTAAACACTTGTCTCATATTTGGACGCTTCTTTCCCTTGGAATTCAAACATCTCTTCGCCAGATTTGCTACTGCCATTACTTGTTCCAGTTTGCAGGCATCTCTTATTCGAGCATCCATAATATCAAAGAAGTTGTTCTCTTTCATGGCAGCTCTGAAATGATCCGCCAAGCCTCTTATTTCTTGAGAATCTGGAAGGGTTATCACAGGCTTCTCTCCGGTAATAAGCTCAACGAGGATGACTCCAAAGCTGTAAACATCACTCTTGTCTGTATACTGGCTAGAACCGTAGTACTCTGGATCCACATATCCAACTGTACCTGAGATAACCGTTGTCCAGTGAGTATGGTCCACAGTTACTGATCTTGAAGTACCGAAATCAGACACCTTGGCTCGATACTTCTCGTCTAGCATTATGTTTGTTGACTTGATATCTCTATGATAGATAGGAGAACACGCATAAGAGTGTAAATAGGAAAGAGCTCCTGCGATGTCTACAGCTATGCGTAGACGCACACCCCAAATCATTGTGTAGTCATCAGATTCTTCATGGATATGCTGGAAAAGATTACCATTGGGGATATATTCATACACAAGAACAGGAACTTCTGTCTCAAGACAACACCCCAAGAGAGTGACGACATGTCTATGATTGATCTGGGACAAAATGACGACCTCGTTGATAAACTCCTCCAGTTTGTCTTCATCTACAACTCTTGATTTCTTGACTGCAACAGTTCTACCATCGACCAGCATTCCCTTGTACACAGTGCCTTGACCACCCTGTCCAAGTATCCTGTTCTCGCTGAAGTTCTCAGTGGCCTTTTCAAGCTCTCTCGAGCTCAATATTCTTGTCTTGTCGACGTTACCTTCTCTTGTATTTAGCTGTTGTTGCAGCAATAGCCCACCGTTACGTTTGAAGAACTTTCTTTTCTTCATACTCATTCTTCTATTCTTTAGAAACTTTCTAAACCACCATATTCCACCAACTAGCACTAAGATGCCAAAACCTGCACCTACTCCTGAAAACCGCACATGACATGTTTAGACAATCTTTGTGTATCTTGAATATGAAGATACGTTCACCGACTTACCTATCATTATTGCTCCAGTCTTATCGCCAAAGCAGTCAAAACTTCCAGGAAGATTCACGCAAGTGTCGCTTTCTCTACAGTACCGGCGACTTCCATCAGGATTGCGTTCTAGGCACTCGTTAATATCTGGATATGAAAATGATTTTCTATTTATTTTACTGAAGTTGCTATATGTTTACACAGAAAAGGAGAGAACCAATTTACTGACCTTTGCACCCATCAAAGAGGTATGGGTTGCCAGTGAAACCGTGGTTGCATCCACAACTTGCATAACTGGTCCCGTAACTGGTGATATTGTTGCATATGCAGCTTGTTTGGTCACGAATATCAAACGTAGAACTGTCGTACTCTTTTCTGCTCTTGCAACTCAACAAGTTGAGGAAGGAACTATTCTTTGTCTGAATGACCCATCCTATCCTAACTATAGCCAATGGTTGAGCAAATAGTCTTTCTGGTTTGGTTGCATTCCATGGCATGTAGACTTCATCTGTTAAGAAAGCGACTCTGCATTTTCGGCGTGTTGAGTTTCTGTGATCAAAGCTCTCTATTCTGACACCGATCACCTGTTGAGCCTCATTGGGTAGGCTTGCACGGCAGCATCCGTTACCATCGCAGCTTCTTTGTACGCCTTTGTTCGTTGTACAAACCGGAGTGTAAGTATAGGGCAACGTGTTGTTTGAGCAACCGGTTTTGTCGAAAAAAGGGATGCTATTGCTAGGGAACGTCGTTTCTTTGCTTGTAGTGCAATTCAACTGGCATTCCACCTTTCTCGGCTCGATGTTTGTTAATGACGCCTTGCTGTTGCAACCAACCGCTACGAGTGTGTTTCCACTCCCAATGAAAAAGGGACTACCCGTCAAATTCAAAACCGATCCAGATCCTTTTCCATTTCTGGAACATCCAACGGATGTTATCGGGCTTTTCACACGAATTGATCCGAATGAACTGGAACTATAGTCGCCTGGAAGAGAGATATTTACAACTTCCATGCCCATCTTGACAAGGAACGGATAAGTAGCGTTTTTGCATTCGATTTGGTACCATTCGTTGAGATAGCAACCAGCTTGGGTTCCAAAGGGGTACATGATCTTTATTTGTCCACATAATTCGGTTTGACACGTAGTTGAAAGAGCGACAATTTTGGAATAAAAGATGAGAATAAGTAGACGAGAAAGAAGAATCGGAAAAGAGTATTTGTTGTCGCACCTCATGATGTTACTTTTTTTCTTGCTTAGCATTTGGAACGATTTGCTTTGATATGTACGTTGAAGGAGACTCGGGTTACTTGCTACCCAAGTTACGCAACAAAATCATATGTCTCGCGTTTCATAAGAACTTGGAGATATTATCATAGAGGATAAATTTGGGCGTTGTGCACTGCTAACTCATTTGTTGTCGGAAACATTCGCTCGAGAATAAATCAAATAGTGACGAAGTTCTCATTTTCAAATAGGAAAACAACCGTTTCTTTATTAATTAAAAAAGCAGGCATGCAACCAAGTCTAATGGGCGAAATTTCCAGTTTAGATTAATTCAAACCTTCTTTTGGCTGTCATGTGAAAACTGGAAAGGATGTCTGAGAACATTATTATACATTTCGTTTTGTCGGCAGCAAGAACTTTATAAATACTTAATAGCAACATCCGTTGGTTTTTTTTTTTGCTCAAGCAATTTTTGTTATGATGTGCCTGTGGTCTGTGGCAATACTTGATTGCAAGCTATGCTTGGCGGTTGTGGTTTTTTCCCTTAATGATATATGAAAGTGACGTGTTCCAAGAATGGTACTTCTACAAGTGTTCTTCTTTGATTCAGACAATTTCAAAGAATATTCGATTTTTATAGAGATACGATATATGTTAATGACGGTTAGAAAGATATTGTGGGCCTTAGCTAGATACGATACCTTGTCTATATAAACCAATATATGTGAATCAATAAACTAAAGCTTTACCAATATATCAAAGTATTTCAAATAGCTTTTCGAATCTCCTTGTTTAACGATGAGTTTCAAATAGTAATAATCAAGGTCAAATATAAATGCGAAAGGGAATCTTTTCGATTTTTTTTTTGTAACATCAAACATATATATTAAATTAAGAGAAAATTGGCAAAAACCACAAGAATGAGAAAGACTTTGTCTCAATACACATTTTTGTGAGATTTTTGTCTCACTACACATTTTCTAAACTTATAATCCTAAATTACCCTTCAAATTGTTTAAAGTTTTTAATTGTAAGATTTTTGGTTAAACAAAAGAAAACAATTTTTTTTTCTTTCCTGACATCTCTCCTCTTCTCTTCTTCTTCTCCGACATTTCTCCTCTTCTCTTCTGCGACATTATTCTTCTCCGATTTTCTTCTTCTCCGTCGTTGCCACTTCCGTCACATAATCCTCCGGCGTCTCTTCCGTCACATAATCCTCCGTCTTGCCGTCTGGGATTTCATTCAACCTACTCCTCTCTGTCCTCCTCTGCAACATAGTAACTAAGAGGAATAAGAGAAACTAGTAAGTTGTGTGTATAGGAGAAGAAGAAGATGAAGATGAGACGGCTAAGAAGATGAGAATGGAGAAGAAGTTGCCACAATTGCGTCGTGGGAGAAGGTTGGAGAAGAAAAAGGAAACAAAATATTCAAAAACATATTTGTTAATATTCTCTAAGATTTCCGGCAGAAGACGATTTCTACATTTGGTAGAAGACTGATTTCTAGAAGAACACGACCTCTACCAACATGGTAGAAAAGTGGTTTTTAGTAGAAATGAACTCTACGGATGGTAAGAGATAATGTGTGTAACAGAATACGAAATCTACGCCTGCATAGAAGGCTGTGTTTCTCGTAGACAACAAATTCTAGAACATGTAGAAAACTTTGTTTTTGGTAGAACATATCTTCTACCAAATTTACAAAATCGCAGAACATAGAGTAACAGGTAGAAGTGATATGCTACTAATAGTAGAGGTATATATATATTATAGAACTCGTGTTCTATGGATGGAAGATGTGTGTATAAATGGTAGATATCGAATTCTAGCTCCAGTAGATGTAATAAAAACGTGTAGGAATACATATTCTACTTTGAATTTCAGAGCTGGTAGAAGAAAACTTCAATATATTTTTTAAAAATCATATTTTTGAAAAACAATTGTGAAAATATTTTAACAAGTCTGAAGATCATTTATCTGATTTTTAGAAATATTTTGGGTTTCTAAAATAAACTATTTCATATTTTTAAATATATAAAGGGTATTAAAGGCAAAAATAAGTAAAAACATGAAAATGTGTATATGGACAAACCTTCCCTCTTTTCTGTGTATAATCACAAATCTCCCTTAAATTAATGCCTCGAAACAGAGTAATCCTCATGGAGGACTTGTACAATAATGTTAGGAACATAATGATGGAAAACATAAGAAGAAGTAAAATTTGGGTCCGTAGCTAATAAATCAGCTACATGGTTACTGTGACGAAGTGTCCAAACCACTTCAGCATGTACGAACTTCTTTTGCCAAACTCTAATCTCTCTCACCAGATTATGAAGACCAAAGTGTAAATCTTCACCACCAATCATCTTACAAACATATTGATTATCACCTTAAAAAAAATGGATTGATATCGTTTAATCTTAGCGTATAAATGACTGAAAGCATTTGACACAGAATCTAAGTTGACAACATTACAACAAAGCAACACCATGTGGGTCACAGAAGCAGCAGACAAAAGGATAAGAGCTCAGAGATAACGGAGGCAAATGGGAGGATTTTGTTTATCTTTTTCAATTGTAAACTGTGTCTAGCCAGGGTTGACGATCTATTTCCCCACGATAAGTATGGTGTCGTATTAGATCCACACCAAACTAAGACTTCGTGCTATTTCTCCCTGACAACAAAGTTCTAAATCTATATCTCCCTAGATCGAAAGTTTTAGACTTGTATCTACCCAAATTGAAAGTTTGAAATCTCAATACACACAAATCCGATTTTATTTGGTTTATTATGTATAAATAAACCACTAATTTTCTAAACTTGATATCAAACCAATATTAAACCGGATTACAACCAAACATGACCCAACCAAATAAAATCAGACCCGACCCAATACTTGTTCGTCTTCTTCCCCTAATTTTTTTCTTCTCTCCTCCGCCATCCCAAAATCAAATCGACGAAATTCTACCAAAACCATGTTTTATCTCTTTCACTCTGATCCCATTTCTCGAGTTTCACCCAATGATCCAATTCCACCATTATCGTCGATTTGGAGCCTCCAATAAAATTCTAGCAGAGATTGTACTTGAGAGCTCAGCTTAAATCATAGCAGAACAGAGAGATTGGAAACGGAGGAGGAAAACAATGGATAGAAAATAACCCGATTTAGCGAGTACGAGTTTGATTTGAGACGAGGAGAGTGAAGAGATCGAGAGAAAACGGCACGATTCTGTCAGAGAAATTGGTCTTTTTAGAGAGAAAACGCAGAGAAGAGAGAGAAAGCAACAGTGATATGAAGCGAAAGAGAGAAGAGAGATGAGGAATGAGAAAGGGAATAGAGAGAATGAAGGAGAAGAACGAAAGAAACGTAAGAGAGAGTAGAGAGATCGCAAAGACCAGAGGATGAGAAAGAGAAACGAAATTGAAGATTTGGTGGTTCCATGGATCGATCTGAGACGACTGCTGAGCTGTTCGTGAAGGCAGGGAAAGACGATTGGGTCGATGTTGCTGATTGTGGTGGTGGTGAACTGGTGATGATCCGATGCTCCAATTAGGTAGAACGGAACTTAAGATTGTGCCAGATGTTTCAAGCCATGGTTTCAGCTTTACTGCTCCACGGAGATGCCGCCGGAGCTCTCCTCACGTGAGTCCTCTCACCTCTTAGAGATGTTCTTAATCATCGATCTGAGGCTCTTTTGAAAACAAATAAGAACTCATTTTTTTCTGGGGAAGAAGAAGTCGGATTTTAGATCAGATTTTTCTGGTTGGATTTAATGTAAATGGGTTTAGTTGGGTTTAGGATCAAGTTTGGTTGGTTTATGTTTGGTTTGTAAACAGTAACCGGTAAAATAAATTTTATGTGGTTTAAGGTTTAAAACTTTCAATCTAGGGAGATATAGATTTAAAACTTTGTTGTCGTGGGGAAATAGCACGAGGTCTTAGTTTGGTGTGGATCTAATGCGACGGTATACTTATCGTGGGGAAATAGACCGTTAACCAGTCTAGCCACATTCCACATTCATCAAGAGGATCGAGACTTACATACTTCAATTCTCTATAAGATATTTTATCTTCCTAATTAAGACTACCAAGAAACATGTACTCAATAGGGAATTATATGTCTTTTCATCAAGATATGATGGTAATCACAACATTGATATAAATCTTGAGTTTTTCACCAGTGATGGAAATCATGATATTCACTGTTGTCTTCATTAGGATTTTTATCTTCATTCTCAGCAACCAAATTGTTGTCTATTTTCACCTTTTCAGCAATTTAATTTTGCATTCTGTCCTAATATTTACTCAAAATACATAGAAATTGAACACATACATACATGATATATTTGGTTAAACAATCATATTCAAGGTTAAAGATTATGAGACAAAACTTCCCCAGCGTGGTCCAAGAAGAAACAACCGCTCATGACTGACGATTCACAGTCGCGATCCACATTACTGCCGCCGGAATCGTCGTCGAGCCCAGATATTGCTTCAGCTTTCGTGATTTTAAAGAAAAAAAAAGTAAATCAAATCATCCCTAATATATTAAAAAAGAAAATACTATCAAAATAACCTTTATCTCATGTGTTATTAACAAGAGTGTCATTGCTTAGGTGTCATCACCAGGTTCACTCTCAGCTCAACTTTTAAATAAGACAACATTTACTAGAAAAATTACAATATATGTCATTGCATATTATGCTTACCATCCCTTTATTATTATTTTCTTTCCTTAAATGGCAATTACGAAAATAAGTAAATAAGGAAGATATGAAATTCCAATTGATTTCTATCATAATATTTTTTTTAAATCACTATATATCTTCTATCATCTTTGTTTAACTTTATTTTATAAAATAATATGAATCATCATATAAGAAAACTAATAAAGAAAATCTAAATTTTTTCTGAATATGCTATGATTTGAATTTTTAAAAACAAAATGATGTAAATTGTTTAGTATATAACCTCATTTAGTAGGTATCAAGCAGCTTCATATTATTTTTATTCCATTTAATATGGTTTTTAATTAAATTCTATAATAAAACTGAATAATTTTTTTTAATAAATTTTTATTTTGATTAAAAATTTGAATATTACTCCATCTATTTCAACTTTCATTATAAAGTTAATTATATTTTTATTGTTTTAACAATTTAGATTATGCAGATTGTCTTCTTATTGGTTGGATTGTTTTGAAATTATAATAAAGCATGTTTTAATTTTGAAAGACAGAAAAAAATCCATATTTTAGTTTTGAAAGAAAGAAAAAAAATGGTTTTAATCCGTGTTTTAGTTTTGAAAGAAGAAAAAAAATTAATTATAATCCTTTTGAAAAAAAGGAAAAAATTGATTTTAATCCGTGTTTTAGTTTTAAAAGAAAAAAAAAATTAGTTCTAATATGTGTGCACACAGCTAAGACTTCTTATCTTATGAAATACAGTATAATTTTTTTGTAAAGAATAATGTTTTATTTTCACATTTTTTGTTTTTTAAACTAACTTATTATACTGTAGTCATTTGAGTTTTATGTATCTCGCTTAAATCTATCATATTTAATATATGGCTACATCCAAGACTTTAATCTATTTACCTTTTTAAAAAATAGTAGAAAATGCTTGATTTTCATATTATAAACGAATAAACGAAGACAATAATCTAACAAAGATTAAAAATCCGTCGCATAAAATTTTGAGATATATTTAAATAAACATCTTTTAATAAAAATACAAATTCAGAAACCATCACCCGTGCAGGGCGCGGGTCAAACCCTAATATCTATTATAAAAGATGGTGAACTCTCTTCATATGAGAGACACGTGGCAGTGTCTTCCTTCAAATAAAAAAAGTGTGGCGTTTCTTTTCTATTTAGATTTTTTACATTTTCGTTTAATGTCCCTAAAACATATTTTATTACAAAAAAATCCCTCAAAATCAAACTGATTTCGTTTTGTGGCGCCACCCGAATGCGCCACATCTGCCTCAGCCACCCCAATCGTTGCCGCCGGCGATTTCCACATCGTCTCTTTCGCCTATCACCACCAAAACCACCACGCAAACTACTATATTCGCGACGCAGATGAATGATCCGCCATTAAAGAACGTTACGGCAAGGGAGGCACTTGATTTTTCAATGAAGGATCCGCCATTGAAGATCGTTGCAGCAAGACAGGCAGACGCTCCTAAATGGATCTCCAATCTCTGCCGTCTCAAACCATCTCTCGGAGGAGCCACCGGTGCTCCTATATGGACAGTCCACCCACTGTCACCATCGACCAATCTCGGCCGTCGCGAGATCCAAGTCACAGATCCGCCACTCAGGGTTGGATTTTCTGCCGCGATGACGTCGTTGATCTTCTCTCCGGTCAAGAATAGCCTGACGGCTCCGGTCTCCACTTTGACTTCCGCCGTCTCCGTACCAACCCTCTCTTTCTCTTCCCGAAATTAGGAGGGTTCCACTCTTTTCCCAGTTTGCTGACTGGTACCCTAATGGGCTCTCTCTCTTACTCATTTTCCGTCAGCCCATTAGAGCCCAATAGGTAGTTTGTTTAACATACTCATACACCACCAACCAACGAAATAATATTTATTTTTTCTGCAACGTTTTATCTTATCTTTTTCTGCAACGTTTTTCTTCTTTAATTCATCTTTGTCTCATGGCATTCCTTTTTTTTTTGTTTGGTAATCTCATCACATTCCTTTTGATTTATTCTCTCTCACTTTACTTAATTTGTTCATCAAATTTTCATAGAATTCAAATATCCTTCTTCTTTTTTCCCTAATTGCAAGAGATCATATTTCTAGAGGAAATGCTTCGACTTCCCTTCCATACTTCCATGGACATACTCAGCAGCGGAACTACTCCACTCTCCACTCTCCGTCACCCTGATCAGACCGCGGCCGAAGTCGCTGTCGATACACTCTACAATCGTGGCCCTCTTCGTTGCCATGATATTGGTTAGTTTTACTTTTACATGCTCATGATCTATTTCAAACACTAATTTGCATAAGTTCATATACACAATAGATTATTCATTTGATGAATACAGCCCAATGTTGGCATCAATCTCTTTCAAAGGTGCGATTGAGAAAGTTCAAAACATTTTGGCACAAGCGATGAGTTTAAGGCGGCTGTATCAGATGCGAAGCAAGCAGTTTCGTTCATGGAGAAACACACCGATTACTACTCCGCAGCGCGTTATGCTGAAGTTTCAAGAGCTTATACCCCAAAATATGGTGACAAAGATCTACTTGGTTTTAGTTCGTTTTGCTTTTGACATGTTTTTGAGTGAAAGTTTTGATCTTTCTGCAGGACAAACTTGCTATGAACATTACGACCGAGCAAAGGAAGACCTTGAAGGATGCGCATGGTGATATCTTCTGTGGACTAGGTTAGCTTTTATTTGCAGGTTTGATTATATGATTGACAAGGAGAGAAGAACCTTACCCTACTGTTTTTTTGGGTATTTGTTCAATCACACAGAGGTTGTGGAGCATGCGTGTGGAATGGCGACACTACAGATGGGTGAATATGTGCCTAATGTATCGAATGGAGTCAATACGTATAGTGTTAGGGAGCCATTTTGTGTTTGTGCTGCCATTTGTCCATTCAACTTCCCAGTTATGAGTCCTTTATGGGTAACATGCTTAAGCCTTTTTACATTAGTTCTCTCTATGGTTCATTTACGTTCAACATGTATTACATATGTATATCCGTAATTCTTTTTTATTCTCCTCTGTCAAGTCTTGAGTACTTATTCTGTGTTTGTTAATGCAGATGTTTCCCGCTGCTGTGACATGTGGTAATACCTTCATTCTAAAGCCATCAGAGAAGGATCCTGGTAAGTTTCTCAGTAACTAATGGACGCTCCTGTGATGTTTAGTTGATGTATCGGAAGTTCATTGTATAAAAACTTTCGATCATGTCTTTACATATCATTGATGCCAGTGTGCATAGATCTTACTATCTAGGCCAATGTGATGAGCTGATTGCTCTTAGATCTATCACATTTTTAAAAATGTTATTGGATGACTGTTGATTCACTATCAATAAAAGTTCCCTCTGTTGATGTGGTATGCTTTTTGTGAAACCGGTTGTTGACAGTACTTGCTTTCACCAGTGCTTCTGTAATGCTTGCTGAGTTGGCAATGGAAGCTGGATTACCTGATGGAGTTCTCAGTATCGTTCACGGCAACAATGTATGTTTTGTTTAAGTTTCTTCTCTTGCTCATGTTAGCTATTTGTAAGGATTTGAACTATTGTAGTTATGGTCCTTAATTTGTAAAGAGTCTGCACTATTACCTTTTCGTTCTTTGTCAGTAATATAACTACATCTATACATTTCAGGATACTGTCAATGCTATCTGTGATCACGAGGATGTAAGGGCTGTTTCTTTTGTTGGCTCTAACACTGTAAGTATTTTTAATTTTGTTTCTACTTTTTTAGTCTGAAAACTTGGTTTTGTGTTTCATTTTCTACATTAAGTTACTTTTCATTTGTTCATATTATACTAACTACCTTTTCATGTTGACTTCGCTAAAGTTCAGTGATTCTTTAGGCTTTTGTGTGAAGCTGGGTGTTCAGAAGAAAGCTTTAGTGGATCATAGTAGTTTCTTTGCTAAGAAACTCGCTGCGAAAGACTCGGTTTTCGCTTGTCTTGAGATTGAGAGCTGTGAAGACGCAGAGATATACGTTGAGACTATTGGTCTTATGTATTATAAAGAAATGAATCAACGTCTCATGAAACAGAACGTAAGCAGAGTCCTTCGTGTCCTCAAGGTATTACATCTAAATTCTCGTCTAATCAATCTCATTTTGGCGTTGATGTATCATAGAAGTGACTAAATTTGGTAACTTTAAGTTGCAGAGGTTCTTGGTTTCAGTTCATGTATTCAATCTTATTTGGATTACTTAGAAGCTGTGCCATGGGTAGGAGAAGAAGAAGAAGAGAAAATGATCTCATCGATTCTCATATTGAAAACCGAAGGAGTTATTGGTGTTGTCACCACCACTCCTGTGCTCAAAAGAATTGCTTTCAGTGCTGCTGATCCACCAAAAGAGACGCTCTCTCGCATCATCGAGCTTGTTCTAAGAAGCAAAGAGGAGAAGAGTCGGCGAGAGATGAAAACTATCGTCCTGAAGCTTCTTCTCAGGGACCAGAATGGAGCCAATGTATAGCTGATATCTTCAACGAAACAATCTACACCTCTTGCCAAAACTGTTTCAACTCTGTTTCGTCTCTGTTTCGACAAGCAGAGACCGATACCAAACTAATTGCTGTGGAAGCTGATAACTTGACGTCGCTGCTCGATGTTTTAGCGGAGAGACAAGCTGCGGAGGAGTTCTCAGTGACAAAAGGAGCTTTCTTTGCTACACGAGAAGCTTCCTTCGATGTCGCGTTACCATATAAGCCTTGTAACGTCTCGGCTCTTCGTAGGGATCGGAAGAGGAGAGTTGTTGCTTTCGAAAGACACTCAGCTTTTGCTGTTGAGCATGTGGTTGCAACTGTTGTTTAGTGATTACAATTGGTTACAGTAAACATTAAATACTGGGTTTCTTCAATTTTTAATTACAATTGGCAACTTGGCTGAGTTTTAGAACACATGTTCTCTCTAATGTGGGGACTTCGAACCCTTCCTATAACATTAAATACTTGGTTTCTTCAATTTTTATTATTAACATGTTTAATTATTAAATATCTTTTTTTGAAAAAAACCACATAATTTTGAAAATTGATTTAGGTCTTTATACGCGAAGTTTATAATACTTAAGATTAATATACTTCAGTATAATAAAGAGTAATAGTTATGTAATTAATACGTCGCGTCGATCTAGCAATCTTGGACATAATTCTATAATAAGCATATTTCATAAAGTAATTGAATCTCAATTCCTGTTTGTACCTAAGTTAATGGAAAATCCGTCCATTACATGTTTTGATATGTTCCGAAAATAGAAACATGTTGTTGAAAATCTCCATTTGGAAATGTTTTTGAATCCGCACACAAAGTTGTCCAAGTTAAAGATGGTGAAAGTGGCAAAAGATGCAATTGCCTACATCACTTTTAAGGGCTTGACAATTCCCCATGAGTGAGGATGTAGAATGCAAGGCCATTATTAGAAGAATCTTCAACAAGCTTACAAGAGTATTGAGCCTCTGTATTGATCTTTTTGGTTGAAGATTTGAACGACGACTTTTGGACAACTTTTTGAGAATATCTGCAGAGTCAACCCTACAATGATTCTTCAAGAACGTCATGAACTTGCCTAGAGATTATCCAACAACTTTGTTTCAAAGTAGGTTTTTCTATTATTACTTTTTAGTGTGTTTTCGAGTGTGTACCTAAGTTGCACGAAAACTCTATTCATACATTTCGATATGTTTTGGAAATGTGGGGATATATTTGTTGTCTAAAAAGCCTAACTACTAATTACAATATTGTTCAAATTCGAGTTGATTCATAAATTGATTATTGAGGTCGTAATCTCTATATACACGTGTTACTACTACTGGTTACAACTGGTTACGAGTTACTTGTTGAGAAAGAATTTTAGAACTGTCAATTGGGCGCTCTGTCCTTTGGCGCGCCCAGTCCACAATATTATGGATGGACTGGGCTATGGTCAAGCCCAAATACAAAGTGGTCCAGTTGGGTGAAGACCAACTTTGCTTTAACCATTACAGATTTCAGTAATAAACCATAATTTACGCTTGCTTCATTGTCTAATTAATCTTGAACCATTGTCTAATTAGTGTTATTGATTTGGAAAGTTATTTCTGGATTCAGTAATAAACCATTACAGATTTCATCATGGTTTCTCTGTTAAACTGCATAAAACAACAAACACCATTCTAGTCTCAGACTTGCAGAGTTTAAACATTACAGAGCTCCATTTCAATGTCACTAGTATTGTTAACACCATCAGCATAATTTAGCTCCATTACAAGTTTCAACTATCTATAAAAGAATTTGACTTGGTATATATTCAGAGGCATACCGACGGAAACTTCAAAAAATGAGTTATGAGTTCATTTATCTGCAGGAAAGTATTTAGGATATGTAGACTCATGTAACTATCATTACTTACAAGCTAGTTTGCAATTTACTCTCGTCAGCCAAAATTTGAATACAAAATGCTCAACTCTCTCACTCATATATTTACAGTAAAACAGACACCAACAAACCCCACATCAAAGCGTTTACTTCACATCACACCCAAAATACAAACTGTTAATAAAGAGGATTCCTTCAAAATTTTGCCAAGGTAAAAAAAAAGTGCATATTAACTTAAACTAGAGAAGCCTCCTCCTGAAAGTTCTAGTAGTTGATTGATAAGTACGGACGAGAAGGCCAACACCAATCCCAAGACCAACACACACACCAAGTCCAATCCCAACACCAACCCTTACACCTGCATTGAACCATGACATCTCTCCATCTATGTACTCCTCACTTCTCCAGTACATGTCTCCTTCGTATTCCTCTTTGTAATATTCTGTTGCCTACAGACCAACCCAAAACAAAAAGAATGATACTCATACTTCCATTGACTATTTACTTATAAGACTCCGGTTCTTAACGTTGAAGAGGAAACACTCTTTAGCCTATAAATAATAGAAAATATTTGACAGAATTTTAAATGACAACATTACAACAAAGCAAACCCCATGTGGGTCACAGAAGCAGCAGACAAAAGGATAAGAGCTCAAAGATAACTGAGGAAAATGGGAGGATTTTGTTTTATCTTTTTTTTCAATTGTAAACTGTGTCTAGCCACATGCAACGTTCACCAGGATGAGACTGGTCCACTTCAATTCTCTAAAGTATTTTTATCTTCCTAGTTTAGACTAACCACAAACATGTATGCATATGCTATATCATAAAACATTGAAGAACGATTCAGATAATTTCAAAATGATAAAACTTGAAAATTACCTGAAAATCAAGCTGAGAGGAGAGGTTTTTCTGAGGCTCTGCAGTTTCATACTCAGGAATTGAATCCAATGCCATTCTTCTACTCTGCTTCTTTCTCTGACCAAGTTGCAGAGTCTTAGTTAAGATGATTGGTGTTCCTGAGAAGCAACCTGTGACATAAACCTCTATAGTCGGCAACAAGGGCAACAACTCTTGACCGTTTTTGCTCTTCTCCTTTAAGAAACAAGACCCTGCAGCGATCTCAGCCTCACAATCCATGCTCCATCGATTCTTCGGTTCCCCAGTGAAACCATTACAATCAGACATCTCAAGAGTTCCAGACAGAACTAGCTCGTTTCTGTCGAAAACCTCAAACTTCACACTACCAGTTAGCCTGATATTGTCTGTGCTGACATAAGTAGCTTCTTCTGTTTTCTTGTCAACTCGATCCCTCCTGAGCTGTGAAGAACATCCTTCCGAGTACATGCTCATTCTAACACCGTTCATCTCCAGAAGCGTATCTCGATCCAGAGGAATGAGATTGACGGTGAGGACTTCAGGGGTCGAATCCTCCACCGTGAAGTTGCTTATCCTGACGTAGAACACTCTCAGATCCAACCACGGTGATGAGATTCTTGCGCTGTGCTGGTTATAGCTATGGTATCTTGATATTTGATAGGCTTCACCATTGTCAATCGTCTCACAAGGTTCCTCCATGACCAGAGGAAGTGGATCAACGAACGCCAAAGCTGATTCTCACTTCCAAATCACTAATCAGAAAACAGAGCAATTCCGATGAAAAGAAGAGACCAGGTAAGATTATCTCTAATCAAGATTCAAACTTTTGCAGATGCAGAAACGCTAAGATGATCTATGAGATTGACCCAGATATGAAATTGTGTTCCTACAACAAAAGGAAGTACCTTTTTAAAAAAAAACTTGGAGCTTTATCAAACGATGAAGATCCTGAGGAAAATGAAAGAAATAATATTAAAACATGAGAGAACTCAACCAAAGAAGAAATTCCATCCACTTAAATCCGATAAATTGACTCGTCAAGTCTCGTTAGTGTACAATATTAATCTTCCTGTCAACTTCTAAACAAAACAAAAATCTAAAAGAATTTTAAAGGGGAAAATTTCTGTTTATGGCCACGATTAAACTTCTGGAACCCACCACCAAGATCACAGCTTTTTTTCCCGATCTATTGAAAACGCAACGCGTGTCGACGGACCCAGCTGAGATGACACTTTGATGTCCTTGTTTGAGGAAAATCGAGACTTATCTGTTCTAATTCACAAAAAGAATTTAAGTTCCGGTTATACCGCGAAAAAGTCTACGGTGATGAAGGCGAAGAAGAAGAAAAATATCAGAAACAGTGATTGGAACAAAGTGAGGTGGAAGATGAAGAAGATGATTGGCTTCTTCTGACCTAACCATCACTTTTTTGATCTTATCCTTCTTCAAATGTTGTTACCTGCAAAAACTATTCGCTGTTTAATACAGACGGAAACGACGTGCATTTTGCCTCATTAACCAACCGCTCTTACGAAACATTCGTGTTCATGTCTGATTGGTTAATCCTTAACCGTTATTATTTGCGGGTGATTTTAATATTACCCGCGTTTGTAACTAACCGGATCAAGCAAACGCCGCGCCGTTTTCTCTAAACCGTCAAGAGAACACACCATGCCGTTTCATCTAAATCGTCAAGAGAACACACCATGCCGTTTTCCAATCACAAACAAGACATACAGGTTCCGTATAAGATAAGTGATCTCTCTATAGATATACAGATAGTAAGAAAAGTAAGAATAAGAGTTTCATGGACGCCACAATGTCTTCTGAGCACATAACATGCCTTCTTTGTCTTGAGCATAAGTCATACGAATCTCCCAATGCAAGCTTCTCAAAATCTCTTCCAATGGCTCTAATATCTCAACTTTGTCACGCACCACCACCCAACCTCCAGGCCTTGTCAATCTATCCATCTCCACCACGATCGACACCGGTTGCTTACACCTTGCATTGCAACAACAACAAAACAAAATATAACAGATTTCTTGATGAACAGGTTTCTTATTTCACAAGCAAATTTTCTTTATACCTGTTCTTGAGCCGAGAAAAGAGATGATCAGCATGAAGGAGGTCATAAGATCTCGGATACGTTCCAAATGCTTCACACCAATCATGGTATATACCAAAAAGACCTCTTTCGTATATGTAAGGAAGCGTATCTGGCGAATGAACAGGCACTACATTCATCACCCACACATTCTGCTTCACCAGTGACGCTGCAAATCTGTTTATGTAAATCAAAAACCAGTAAGATTCACCATATTGACACAATTGTGCTCTAAGAGCAGAAAAAAGAAAGATGTCTCCTTTTTTCATACCCGCCATAGATAGCTGTCATGTCCATCACATTCCGGATATGAGACCAGTCAATGCCTAATCCAGTGAGGTAAGATTTGTTAACCATAGCTTTCCAGTGATTTGTATCTGCAATGGCTTTCTCTTTGTTGGTTAACCACTCTGGATATGTTTCAAGTCTCTTTGGCCATTCTTCTGGCCACTCTGCTCCATGCTGCTCTATAGCCGATGGTATTTCGTGTAAACATGGTTTCATCGGCACATACCTAATCCAAAGAGCACATGAAAGTTCATAAGAATGAAGAAAGCTACGACGCATTTTAGATTTATCAACACATTGCTTCACTTACCAGGCTGCGTCTGGATTCTCGTTCTCCTTGCAAATCGGTGGATTCTTCTTCCTTCTCAGTTCATAAATAGCGTTTGATTCTGGTTTCTGATATATTCTTACTCCCATTTCACTTGCTTCCTCGGTTTTGTGTGCAAGAATGTTCCAACATATTGACGCTGTCAACGCAGTCATCGCTGAAAAAACACACACCAGTTAAAAACTATGTCACTAGAAAGTCCAAAGACAATGAAACAAGATCACAGTGAGAATTGATAATACCTTCATCATCCTCAATCTTTTCATTATGACTTGACAGAATGAAGTATCCGTTAGGCCTTAGGATCCTGTTCATCTCCAGAAGAAGTCTACCACCTGAGAGATTGCAACAAAATCTGAAATAATCATGACTCAAGAAAAGCATATCGACAATTATGACATTGTCCACTTACCATGAGAATGCCAGTGGATTCCGCAAGCAGCACAGTGAATGGTATCAAAGACTCCACTTGGAAAAGGAAGCCTTCTACTTGCCAAAGCACTGACTAAAGTAGGAAACCCGCGCTCAAGCGCGACCTGTGCTAAGTCGACCAGATCGTCCTTTAAGCCTAGAGAGACTGTCAAAACATCTTTGTCCAGCAATGCAGCTACAAAACTTGACTCTGAGCATCCAATTTCCAACACTATACGAACATTCTTTCCCCATTCAATATCTGGTACCATCTACCAAACACCAATACAGTTCTCTTACACATGGTTAAAAGTTAATAGTTAAAAGTTCGTAGAGTAACAAATGATACTCACCTCTTGAATGAATTCAAGGTACTGAAGAACATTTCCGTTGAACGCAGTCTGGTTCTGTGGAAAAGTTAAGTATTCACCGGACTCATTCACCCAATTATGCTTCTTAATATATGCAGCCAACTTTGGATGCGCCACGTTCTTATACAATATCTGATATTAATTCAAAAATGGCATTAGATCAAAACTAACTTAAATCAACTTAAAAAGAAGCTCAACAATCTTAACCTTGGATCTGCTCTCAGGCCAGGTCACAGGAGGATCATAGCCATCATGTGGTAGAGGAACAAGACACATCACAGGCTTCTTAGGACAACTCCTCTCTCTATGTCTATAGATCTGAAGCCTCGCTATTAATCCATCATTGTCAATACATGGCATGTAATTATGCTTGCTCCTTGTGTTGCACAATCTCCAGCTGTACTCAGCTTTAGGATCAAAGACCGGACCTTTCCTCTTCTTCTTTTTACCTGTCTCGTTTACGGTTACTTCCTCGCTCTTCTCTTCCACTTCTTCCTCAGCTGGTGCACTTGAATCATCCCCGTTTCCACTACCATCAGATTCTCCTTCACTTCCATCTGACTCAGTCCCTTCATCTCCTTCTTCCTTATTAGACTCAGAACCATCAGTTTCTGCTTCCACTTGTTCTTGATCCTCCTTAACCACCACAGATTTTTCTTCTTCGTCTATCACAGGCTTTGGCAAATCCTTCTTCTTGTGTGGATGAGACACAACAACATGCTCTTTCTTTTTCTTGGTTTCATGTTTATGAACAGACCCACCTGCTTTTTTCCCCTCTTTCGATTTCGAACCAGATTCAACTTTACCTTTCTCATGTGAAACCTCGTGATGGGCTGACTTAGTGCGAGATGAGACTGGTTCAGCTATATCGTCGAAGCTTTCTCTCTGGACAATGAAGGAAGAAGCAGAGGAAGACACGAAGGACCAGAAGAAGACGAAGCAGAGACCCAAAACAACTATGAACACCATCTTCACCCAAAGTCCTCGTGGCTGTTTGATCCTGCGCGCGAAATGAGCAATCCCCATTTCTCTCTTTCTCTCTGTCATTTGAAATCTAGCAGAAACCTACTCTAAAGCATCTGAGCAACAGAGATCTCCTATGAAGACCACTTTAACCAAACTTGTAAAAACGCTGAAGATGGAACCAAGGATTTGCTGAAGCTACAATCAGAGATTAAGCAGGATCTATGCGAGTTTCAAAGAATCTTGAGCTCGAGTTAGGGAAATTTGCAGTACCCAGATTGGAAAAGCTGCTAAAGGAAGAAACTTTACAGATTTGGTCGAACTGGGTCAGCTCAAATCAGAAGAACAGGAGAACAAATCTCAGATTTCTCACCGAAAAACACGTGAAGAGAAGGAACAAAAAAGAAAGTAGAAATCTGCACAGTACCCAAATCGAAGTCGTAAAAGTGAAGTTTGATAAATAGATAGATCACACAACTGAAATGCTTTTCTCACTTTTTTTCCAATTGTAGTTGAAACTTGAAAGTTGAAAATGAAAAGAAAAAAAACTTGATAGGCTTCCGCTTTTGGTAATAACTGAGCAGTGTGGTCAGAACATAGTCCGGATTTGGAACACCGGTAAGACAGCCGGCGGTGACGGAGATTTGCAACATCTTTTTCTAACAGATCAGCAATTAAGCCCAATGGGCTTCAACTAAATTAGCTCAACGCGCTCATGCGATGTAGTAATAGTATATGCATGTCAATGTGATTACTGTATAGGAGTTTGATTGTTTGACCCAAGAAAATTGATGACTGTGTAGGCAATAGATGCACTACAGTTCCAAGCAAATTTTTAAATTAAAAATAAAGATAGAGAATCTCAACTTCCAATGAAATTTGGATAGCACTTGCACTAGATTTGCCACATTTTTAGATGATCACAAAGTCAACACTGCTAGTAACTTTACTTACACCTCTTTCTTCAATCACAAATTCACAAATCACAACAGTATTAGATACTTAAAAAAGTTGGAATTCTTTTTTTCTTTTTGCGAATTTTCCCATTCTACTAGCACTCTTCCATTCTTCTTTATGAATTATGATCATGATAAAAGAAAAACACTTATTTATCACAAAAATAACAAATATTTTAAGATATGCAAATAGAGAAAGTGATATCTTGACCAATTTTGTTAAACTGGAACTTATGCGAAAATAAGTAAAGAGGAAAAGTCTCTGACGATGATCGCCAAATGTCCATACATTTTCTAGTAAGATGAAAAATATACTCACAATTTCAAGATGCTGGATATAAGAGGAAAAATAGTCTGAATTCTAAAAAAAGGAAAAAAAAAAAAGGAAGAAAAAAACAAACAGCCATGATGATGCCTCACGTTTCTTGGTTCTCTGCTTCTCTAGTTTGCTGTGCTTCGTCAAGATTCCTTTCAAAAACGTGGACCCTCCACTACCATTTTGGTTTCCGTTTCTCTCACATTTCTCGAAAACCCTCAAAAAAATCTCATTTTCTGGGTCTTTCTCTCCGTCTCTCTCCATTTTCAAAACACAAACCTTTGTTTTTTACTCTGTTTCTGGGAATCCAGCTCAAATAAATCCATTTCAAAATCTCTGAGTTTTTGGTGGGGTCATCGTTCAAAGTTGTCTCCTTTACTGTCCCTTTCACCACCTCAAGAATAAAAAAACGCCTGAATTTAATAATCACATCATTCTCCGGTTAGGCTGCTTCCGTATAAAAAATCAAACCTTTTTTTTTTCCGTCAGTTAAATCTCAGTCCTTGACCACAACCCTTCACCATGGACGGCGCCGGAGAATCACGATTCAACGGCGGAAGCAGCGGAAATGGTGGTGGCGGCGACGGTTCCGTCGGAGTTCAGATCCGACAAATCCGGATCCTACCGGATTTTCTCCAGAGCGTGAATCTCAAGTACGTGAAATTAGGTTACCATTACCTAATCTCGAACCTCCTCACTCTCTGTCTACTCCCTCTCGCCGTCGTCATCTCCGTCCAAGCATCCCAGACGAACCCAGACGATCTCCGCCAGCTCTGGATCCACCTCCAGTACAATCTGGTCAGCATAATCATCTGCTCCGCGATTCTAATCTCCGGTTTAACCGTCTACGTCATGACCCGACCCAGACCCGTTTACCTGGTCGATTACTCCTGTTACCTCCCTCCCGATCACCTCAAAGCTCCTTTCACTCGGTTCATGGACCACTCCAGACTCACCGGAGACTTCGACGACTCTGCTCTCGAGTTCCAGCGCAAGATCCTCGAGCGCTCCGGTTTAGGTGAAGACACTTACCTCCCCGAAGCGATGCATCACGTCCCGCCGAGAATCTCAATGGCCGCTGCGAGAGAAGAAGCAGAGCAAGTCATGTTCGGTGCTTTAGATAACCTCTTCGCTAACACCAACGTGAATCCGAAGGACATTGGGATCTTAGTTGTGAACTGTAGTCTCTTTAACCCAACACCGTCCTTATCGGCGATGATTGTGAACAAGTATAAGCTCAGAGGTAACATCAGAAGCTACAACCTCGGCGGGATGGGCTGCAGCGCGGGGGTCATCGCGGTGGATCTCGCGAAAGACATGTTGCTTGTGCATAGGAACACTTACGCGGTGGTTGTGTCGACGGAGAACATTACTCAGAACTGGTACTTCGGTAACAAGAAGTCGATGCTGATACCGAACTGCTTGTTCCGTGTCGGTTGCTCTGCGGTTTTGCTGTCGAACAAGTCGAGGGACAAGAGACGGGCCAAGTACAGGCTTGTCCATGTGGTGAGGACGCACCGTGGAGCTGACGATAAAGCGTTCCGTTGCGTTTATCAAGAACAGGACGTTACGGGGAGGACAGGTGTCTCTTTGTCGAAAGATCTGATGGCGATTGCGGGAGAGACTCTCAAGACGAATATCACTACGTTGGGTCCTCTTGTGTTACCGATAAGCGAGCAGATTCTCTTCTTTGTGACTCTTGTTGTGAAGAAGCTGTTTAACGGGAAGGTGAAGCCGTATATTCCGGATTTTAAACTTGCGTTTGAGCATTTTTGTATCCATGCTGGTGGGAGAGCTGTGATCGATGAGTTGGAGAGGAATCTGCAGCTTTCTTCTGTTCATGTGGAGGCTTCGAGGATGACTCTTCATAGGTTTGGGAACACGTCTTCGAGCTCGATTTGGTATGAGCTGGGTTACATTGAGGCCAAAGGGAGGATGAGGAAGGGTAACCGCGTTTGGCAGATTGCGTTTGGGAGTGGGTTTAAATGCAATAGTGCGATTTGGGAAGCGTTGAGGAATGTCAAGGCTTCCAAGAACAGTCCTTGGGAAGATTGTATTGAGAAATATCCGGTGACGTTGAGTTATTAGCTTCATCATCCATGGTTATTGCTCAAAAGAAACTTAGATTTTATGTTTGACAATGTCAATGTACTTGTTGTTTTTGATTATGTTTGGGAGATTTTGTGATGTTTGAGTTACATTTCTTGAGCTCATGTATTCAGATCTTAGTTGTGTAGTGAAGAAGAAGAAATAAATATCCACTTTTGGCGTAAAATGTTGTTGATCAAAATAATTTCTTTTACTTTTAGTTCTAAATTTTGCAAAAATTAATTGGTGGAATGGAGGTGAATTGTGTGAATACTGTATGTGGTTCCGTTACTTTGTGGATTTCCAATATATTAACAACGGTCTTGTAAAAGTTTTTATTTTTGCTAAAAAGGTCTTGTAAAAGTTTGTAACGTATTATCTCAATTGTCTTGATATTTTATGGTTTAATCACTTTTGGAAGAAAGTGCTGTAAAATATATAAATTAGTTGTCAAATTGGACCGTAGAACATGCCAAGAATTCTGTTTAAACAGTGATTTGAAAAAAAAAATTATAGTATTATTTTCTTTTTCAAATCGACCGCTCGTTTGCATTGGAAATAGTCCCTTCATGCACCAAACAGCCAAAGTCCCAAAGCCATAGCTATCACATGCTCTCTTTGCCATTTGGAAGTATCATCACATTTTCAAATGTTTTCTAATGTGTCTCTCTATTAGTCTAACTCAAGAAAATATGGATAAACACATTAATGAATAGGGTTGAATATTAATAGTACTATAGATATTAAGAATCCAAAAACATTACAAAAAAAATCAAATTTAAAGTAAATGATACAGTATGCTTGTACAACATAAACAAATGATACTCAATGTCAAATGCAAGACATTGAAAAAGGCAGGAAACAAAGACAGGGAGAAGGACAAAAGAATGATCTGTAATGGGCGAAGATAAGAATGAAAAATGGGTATTGTCTTCTTCTCCTTGTCTTTTGAATCATCTGAACAAAGCTTGAATCTCTTCAAGAGTTTTGCCTTTAGTCTCAGGAACCCAAAGACTCACAAAGGCCACAGTGAACCCACAAACCAAAGCGTACAGAGTAAACGTTCCTCCACTGCTCCAAGCTAAGAGCATGTTTGCAGTCATAGTGACTAACCATGAGACGAACCAGTTAAGCAACGTTGCTATACTTCCGGCTAAGCCTTTTATATTCACTGGAAGAATCTGTTTCGACAACATAGTAATTAGTAGAAATTTAGATTTAGCTCTGACTTTAACAACGGTAAGTACCATTTTTTAAAATATTCAAGTACCTCAGACATAATCAGCCATGGAATTGGTCCCATTCCTAATGAGCAAGCAATAACCATAGCCTGTAAAGAAGAAAAGACTCAGCAAGATTTAGCACAAATCGGCGTATTGTAAACAAGAAAGGTGTATACAAAAACTTACCACAACTCCAACTACAGAGACCATGCTTAGAATGCTGTACATACTGGAATCAGGATCAACGTATTCCTAACAAGAGATTAAGAAAAAAATAGCATTAAAGTGAAACTCTACATTGAGGAAATATAGATGTCAAAAGTTAAAATGTTACCTTAAGGTAAAACGCGATTGCTACAATCACGAGGCTTATCGTCATCCCAATAGAAGAGATCTGAAATTTTAAGAGGGAAAAAGCTAAGATTTCGTTTGCAGAGTTTGCAAGATATATACAGTACTAGTCTCAAATACTACTCACCATGAGCAGAAGTCGACGACCTGATTTATCCACCAACCATGTCGCTACTGCAGTCGCCAGTACCTGGTACAAAATGAAACAAACGGTCAAAAACCAAATCTGATAATGTCTCTGATGTTGAAGTTACAATACTAAAGTTATTATATACCTGAACAACACCAACTCCAAGTGTTGCCACATTACTCGATGAGACCCCTAAAGTGAATAAAATGGAGCAAAGAATCGTAATGAGAGGTATGGTTTAGGAACATTTCAATAATCAAAACATCAACATTTTCACTCTCTACCTGCAGATTCAAAGATTGTACTCGAGTAGAACAAGACACCATTAATTCCTCCAAGTTGTTGAAGAGCAAGCAGTCCTATTCCAACCTGTAGTAACACATAGATTACAGGAAACATGTGAGTTTCTTTCTCTCACCGTGAGACAAAGTTTAGTTCCAGAGAGGTAAGAGTGATTGTACCATCAATGGGAAATAGTATCTCCTACGCTTGAGGTCTACAAACCGAACTGCAGAACGTTTTCCAGATGATGCCACAGATCTCTGTATATTAGATTATTTAGCAATCCTGAAACTCGTTACATATTGAAACCAGCATCATGTTTTAGCATTCCCCAAGTTTAGTCAATACCTTGATTTCATTAACCTCAACGGTAATATCAGCATCAAACCCACGAAGAACTTGCAATGAAGTTTCGAAATCCTCTGTGAAACCCATCTTTGCCTACATTTATGACACACACACCCAAAAAAGAGAGAGTATAACTAACCAATAATGCAACAAACTCAACAATATATATATATAAAAGCATATGGTGTTAAATGCTTACCAGCCAGCGAGGAGATTCGGGAATGAAAAATAGACCCGGTATCAATAACGTACATGGCAAAACTCCTAAAAACATAAACAAAACAATCAAGAAAGTGATTAGAAGTTTTAAATGTTGTATAGTTTCTCCCAAGCCAAGTCAAAAATGTAATGAGAGTTACCCAAGACTGCAAGAATTCTCCATGGAACAAAGAGACCGAGTAGATACGCCAACATTATCCCAATTGTTACAGAAAGCTATACAAACACAACGCATCAAAAGTTTAATTGTTTAGAATAAAGAGTCAGCTCTTAAAATGTAACAACAAGAAAAATGTAGTGAAGCTAGCTGATTAAACATGCCAAACCTGGTTGACTGAACCTAAGGCTCCTCTCATGGTCTGTGGAGCGATCTCGGCTATATATACAGGCACCTAAATAGCAATCAAAGTCGTGTAACCATATTGATTCATAAGCATTTCTGAAATCAAAGAAGTAATTGATTCTAGTATTTACCGTATAAGAGATGATCCCAACGCCGAAACCTTCTAACAATCTTCCCATGTAAAGAAATGAAGTATCCTAAACAAAACCAAGAAAAATGACTTTCAGAACTAGAGAGATAGACCAACAATATCAGAAACTTGAGAACACTAAAATACTCACTTTTGCGAATGATATCGAAAGCCATCCGATGATATTGGGAATCGCAGCAATCATCAGAGACTGTCAAAAGTAAAAATCGTAGTTTAAGATACAAGAAGAAGAAAAAAATGTTGTAAGCACAAAGGAGCAAATTTTTAGAACCAAGAACTTAAGCTATTGTACCCCTTTGCGGCCGATGTATTCTGAAATCTGACCACTTGCAATTGCCCCAACCATAGCACCCACATTGGATAGAGACCCAAACACAGAGTACTAATTAAACATCAAACATGAAATCAAAAAGTCAGCAAATTCTTGAACAAATAGTCTTTACGAAAAAACAGACAGCTTTAAATAAAGGTAGGACCTTTTTACCTCGGATACAGTTAAGCCAAGATCCTTAGTAATGGCAGCTTGAGTTGGAGAAGAATAACCACACTGAACACAAAGAGATAAATCAAAAGTCTAGTCATTTGAGCAAAAGCAGAAAATCCACATTTTCAGTTCCATTGATCAAAAATAAGAAAGTTGAGATTTTTTTTATGTTTTGTTTTTCTTACAGTGAATCCGAATTGAATTGGACCGAGAGCTACAATCAAAACACATGCTAGGACAGAGATTGAGCTGTCTCGAATAGCCATAGACGATTCCATCATACTAGATTGTCTCGAACCCATCCGGTACCAACTTCCGGTGTGTAAGAACGGTCGCCGAAGATCATTCCGACCTTCCTCCGCCGTATCATCCCTGAAACTCATCTTTCTCTCTCTCTCTTTTTTTCTTCTCAAATCATATACAAAAATCGTAATCTTACAGAGAAAAACAAAAGCTTTAAAGGGGAAAATGTCGATCCTAAAACTGAAAAAATGCAAAAAAAAAAACAAAAATTTGAGCTTTGTTCTCGGTTCGTATGATGTAGAAATTATGATTTGGAGGAATAATATGAAGGATAAAGAGAGAATCGCAGGAGGATGCGTTCTCTTTTGTTGTTTTGTTAAAAAATCAACCCGTCATGGTTGTAAATTGTACAAACCAATGCGTGGAGAGACGCAGACAGTTTCAGAGTTTTCAACCTCACAGACGCGTCTCCTTTGAAACATTTATAGAAATCCGGAATAGAAATCGTGAAGGAGATTTGTTTTTTTTCTCTTTTCTTTTTTTCTGTCGACAACAAAAGAAAAATAATAATCTGATTTTTAAAACATTTTCATTTAATAGTTAGGACTATTATATACAAAAACAAAACAATCCACTAGAAGTTTTGTGTAATATAATCGCTTTGAATTATTGGTTTTGACATAGATTTATTAAATCTTTGACTCATGTTCACCACTAGCTAGTACGTAGTCGCTTTGATATATATATATATTTATATATTATACATACTCATTAGTATAATGTGCTGTTAGAGTAAACTTGTTACGCAACAATTAGTTTTTACAATAAAATGTTCATTCTGCTGCAGATTGTAATTTAAAACGAATTTGAGTCGTAATTCCCACTAATTGTATTTTAATTATATTTTCCTTCTTCAGGTTAACCATCTACTTCAGAGATTTTTTTTCTGTTAGTAGTAATTAATAGCCCACCAGACATTCTTCTCGAAAAGGGCGACAATCGCGCGGTCATATCATGGTTTGATAATTTTAAAAGTAGAATATTTATTGGTTTTAGTGACAAACTGAGCCAAATAAAAATAAGATTAAAACTGAGTCTTTTTGTTTTTTACAGATTAAAAATTTAAAACTGAGTCATTATTTTTGTTCGTATTATCATGCAAGTGACACTTTTATTTAGATAAGCTCGACTAATGGTGTTTGTTTTCTAGTACTGTATATTAAAAATATATGGTTGTCGATATTCAAATACTGTAGACTAATAAACATTTATGTAGACACACAACATTATTTATACTCTTTTTTCAATATCCAAAATGGTCGAGCAAATGACGTTATTTCAGTGTACCCAAAAAAGATAACATTTTTTGTGGCAAACTGATTTTGAACCGTGTCGACAAAGTACTTACTATTTCATCCGTTACAAAACTAAAACATTTTACACGATGGAGTACTCTTTTTCAGAAACAAGGTGTGTAACTTGCTAATAACATCAGAAACAGTGCTTTGTTTACCTTGAAAAGGGACACTAAAACTGACAACACAAAAGACACGAACTTAATATAATCGAAAGTTATAAAGTTTTTAAACAGCTCTAAATCGAGAGAAATCTAATTAGGTCGATATGAGGCCACGACAAAAAGGACAGTACATATCACACCAAACACGTCTGATTGGGGTTGTGATTCATAGGCTCAGATTCATCGCCTAACAATATAATAATTCTTTTCGGACCAAAATGTAGATTCGCATATATTCATAGGTGACACTGTTTGTCTCGTTCTCGTCTCTCACGTGTAAGTGCTTATGTTCTTTCATCTCCGTTAACGTTTCCGGATCCTGACACAAGCTTTCGGTATCGTTGTCCACACTATGCTTAGTTGGCATTTTCCAGTCGACAATGCTTTTTATACAGTTTCAATATTCAATTATTATATTTATGTGGTTATTGTCGATCATCGTTAACACGATTGAACATATTATTATTATACATTTATACTGTATGTACCTACGTTTATAAATAAAAATACAGTATACGTAACACGATCGAACATGAATATTATCGACCAATTATTTATCCTTTTTACATTTGGTAGTAAAAATATCTTATCAGTACCACTGTACCAGTGTAGTGTACCACCATCATATAACTACAGGAATTTAATCGAAATGAAATGAAATGAAATGTTATGTGTGATTGTGAATAGCAGAAATAAGAGAATACTTTAATTTTTCGAGTCATGGGCCTAATTTGAACTAGTAAGTATCTAAATTTAGGCTACAAGGGCCCATAATTGTTGGCCGGTAAAAGTCCATTCACTGGTCGTCGGAGCGTGAGGTCCACTCTCGTCGAAGGCGCGTCATAGAAGATATATCGCCAGACTTTTTCTCTCTCTCCGAGGCGTAGCTTCACTCGGAGAAGAATTGGAGAAGTAGATAATTCCTCAGCCGTGGTTGTTCTCCGATTAGGTATTCGATTCTCTGTTTTCCCGGAGTGATTCAAAACTCTAATTTGATCCTTCTGATTAAGATTTTTTCCACATGGGAGAACAATCCCCTTCTCAACCGTCGACTCATCCCCAAAGTCGACCACAATCCCCCAAACCAGAAACCGATAACCTAATTCCGCCGGAATCCAGCGAGTTATGCATCGAATCAGCCGGAGTTTCCGGTTCGATCGTTTCATCTACCACCATCGACGCCCAACGGATCACGGAATTGGGCAATGTGTCGTCTCCGCCTTCCAAAATCCCCCTCCGTCCCCGGAAAATCCGGAAGCTTACACCCGACGGAAACGCCGCCGGGGACTTGACTCCCCACGGCGAAGAATTAAACACGGATGATACCCCCACCGAGACAACCTCGCCGCTCGCGAAGTCTGCGAAATCTTCCACTAAGGGCAAACCGTCGCAATCACGCACTATAACGGTGCCGAGGATCCAAGCTCGGCCTCTCACATGCGAAGGCGAGCTTCAGGCAGCGATTCACTATCTCCGGAATGCGGATCCGTTGCTCGCCGCGTTAATCGACGTCCATCCGCCGCCGACATTTGAGTCATTTCCGACTCCGTTCTCAGCTCTGATACGCAACATCCTCTACCAGCAGCTCGCCGCGAAAGCCGGAAACTCCATCTACACACGGTTCGTCGCTCTCTGCGGCGGCGAGAACGTCGTCGTCCCCGAGACAGTCTTATCCTTAAATCCACAACAGCTTCGTCAAATCGGAGTCTCGGGACGGAAGGCGAGCTACCTCCACGACCTCGCTAGAAAGTATCAAAACGGAATCTTGTCGGATTCCGCGATCGTGAACATGGACGATAAGTCTCTGTTCACGATGCTAACGATGGTTAACGGAATTGGATCGTGGTCTGTTCATATGTTCATGATAAATTCTCTTCATAGACCGGATGTTTTGCCGATTAACGATCTCGGTGTTAGGAAAGGCGTGCAGATGCTGTATCACTTAGAGGACTTGCCACGGCCATCGCAGATGGAGCAGATTTGTGTTAAGTGGCGGCCGTACAGGTCAGTGGCTTCGTGGTTCTTGTGGCGGCTCATTGAAGCTAAGGGCACACCGACGAGTACTGCTGCAGCCAGAGTTGCTGCTATGTCGTTGCCGTTGCCGCCATTGGAAGACATTCAACACGATCATCAACAGCAACAACAACAACAACAGCAACAACTTCTGGATCCTCTTAATAGTGTCTTCACTATCGGGTATAGCTTGTTTCTTTCTGTACCTTGAGAAAGTTGTAATCATTTTTTATAAGCATGATATCAAATATGATTTAACATACTGTGCATAGTTTTACGCTAATGGATTATCTTTTCTGATTATGGTTCTATTACTCTGTAACAGGGCGTGGGGACAATCGTAGCTGGTCCCACTATGTTGTCTTTGTTTTTGGATGATTTGATGGCTTGTGTGAGTTCTTGCTCTATAGTCTTGAGCTTTTGTTTAGTGAAAAAAGTGTGGAGAAAGAATAAAAGGATCTTTTGTAGGCTGGGTTCCTTGAGACACAAGCTGGGAAAAGCCAGGGAATGATCTTCTTAGCTCAGTCAAAGAGTCTGTAATGTTAAGAGTAAGCTAATGACAAAGTGTCTTCTTTATTTTTATCCGGGAGACCTGACTCTTGACAGAGCTTCCTCTATATGTCTAAAAGATAATCACGTTTCTGTATCCTCATCCTCACTCTGCCTAACTGTCTTAAGATTCATCGCCAACAAGAAAACATCGCTGCTGGCGAAGTCAGAAGAAACTTTTAGTTATTCGACTGATTTTTTTATCACACATACCATTGAAAAGCAATGTTTAACCGGGTAAGTGTGCGCCGTTTCCATATAGCCATGTAGGTAACATACACGTTTAACAGGAGTTACCGGACAATGTGAAATCGAATTAGTAAAAGAGAGGTAACAATATCTAGACATCACCAAGAGTTTGAAGGACACGAAACCTCAACATAGAAGATGATAACAATTAACAAGATAGAGATGTATGGGATAGCAAACGAAGGTCTGCATATCCGGTTTACATAAACGAAATAGCTGAACCGAAATTGGTAAAACCAAAATGATAATGAAGCTTCCTATCACAATGAAAGCCTTCAGCGACTTATTGTCGTTACCATTCTGTAGGCCCATTAACGGCCCACTCTGTAAATTAAAAGAAATTGTTGTTTGTGAATTCAGTAGCTACGGTTCGATCTGTGGAGGGGGAGTAAAAAGTATCCAAGAGTTGTGCCCGCCTTCGCCGCAACAGTCGTCCCTGTCGCCGGTGAGTTCTGTTCCTCGTCTTCTCACTTATTTCGATCCTTTCCCATCAGTTCTTCTTTTCTAGAGCTCTTCTCTGTATCTGATTCATCGAAATTTGAAAATAATCGCCGGAAAAGGCTTTGCTAGTTGTGCAATAGTGCTACCGCTTCTGCTTCTTAACGGTGTGATTTTAAATGTTCCCAAAGGCTCTATCTCTCTGTTTCTCAGTAGTCAGTACGATATGTACACTGATTGGATTAATGTAGAATATCGTCTTTAGTGAATCGAGTTGGAAATATTCTCGAAAGTGTTGGATATAAACAATTGAATTTTGTAGACATTGACTGTTGGTTACTAATTGGAAATTCCTAATGATGTTTTCAGAAAAAGATTTTGATCAATGAATGAAGAAGAGCCTCTTCGAAGTGGTGAAGAAGAAGGATGCAGAATATCACTGTTTGACTTTTCTGTTGAAAATCATTTGAAGGCAGTGGATTCGATCAGTGATCTCTGTGGTGAATCTGTTGCTGAAGTTGATGAGACTGATATCGATAGATTATCATCATCAGTTACACTCTTGAGGTGTGTAAAGAGTTAATTTACGTAATCATGATAAACTTCTTTTTTATCTAGTACTGTATATGCACTCTTGGATCAAGGCAGTGAGAGTACTCTACTCGATGATTTTATACTCACAAATCTAATCTAATATCATCTGCTGAATATATAGAGAATGGAGGCATTTTAATTATGAACCAAAAAGTTTTGGATTCTATAACGCGGCTGAAAAAAGCTGTGAACCAAAGGATATTAACAGTCAAACTTTGCCTCAATTTTCTTCGGCACGAGCTCCTAAGGTGTGTCATATCTTTGCACCTACTAGATTATTTTCGACTTTGATTCTTACCTTCCATTGCTTCCATAAGAATCCTTTTTTACATTAGTATCTTATTGGTGCAGGTTAATATAGATGACGATGAATCCTCATCATTTGGTGAACCCAGGTAATAACTTAAAACTGATGTCAGCTGTAATGATTTATATTGTTCATTAAAGCTGCTTGGTAATTGTCTAGACAGTATATTGACAGTGCTTGTTTGTGTATGTTTATATCTCTGCTCGTGGCCTTTTTCATTTATTAACTAGAGTTTTCTTAGTCATAATCTTTTATGTGATGATTTATTCACCTCTGCAGCAAGGATTTTGTAATGCATGTTGGAGGATCTGTTTGGGCACTGGAGTGGTGTCCCAGAGTTCATGGAAATCCAGATGCTCAAGCAAAATGTGAGGTGATTAGTTCATATATCTTGTTTCTGATACTTTTCAGAAATGTAAATCTTAGGTTTTCATTTCTTATGAAATTTATACTGTTGCAGTTTCTGGCTGTGGCTACTCATCCGCCTGAATCATACAGTCACAAGATAGGTGTTCGACTTTCCGGTAGAGGCATTATTCAGATATGGTGCGTTATAAATACCACATGCAAGAAAGATAGCGCCCATATATCAGAGAAGAATCAGAAGTTGAAAAGAAAGCCTCAAAAGAAACCATCCGATGAAACTATTCATAACACAGAACCTAAAAGGCCAAGAGGCAGGCCCAGAAAGTATCCAATAGAGACTACAGAGCCTACGAAACGAAGGGGAAGACCTAGAAAGACTAGTACTACTACTGAGCTTCCTGTTGAGCTTGATGGTGACGTTCTATATGTTGAAGCGTTGTCTGTTCGCTATCCGGAAGAGTCAGTTGTTCCCGCAACACCTCTTCAGAATGTACAAGAAACTTCAGTAGCAGAAACCAAAAGCAACAATGAAAGCTCAGAACAAGTGTTGGCTTCAGAAAATGCAAATAGTAAACTTCCTTTACGGAGAAAGAGACAGAAAACCCAACGTGCTAAAGAAACTTGCGAACCCGTGGCATCAGAAAATAGTGAAGATGTTGGAAATGTACCAAGCGAACTATCCTCAGATATCCCTGAAGATATTGCTCTTCCAAGGGTTGTCTTATGCCTGGCTCACAATGGAAAAGTTGCCTGGGATATGAAATGGCGTCCCTTATCGGCTGATGATTCTCTTAATAAACATAGAATGGGATATTTAGCTGTCTTGCTCGGCAATGGATCTCTTGAAGTGTAAGTCAGCTGCTTCTTTTTTCCTTCCTAATGCATTCTGTGCCCTACACGGTTTTCAAATGGTCATTTATTATGCAAATTTAGTTTGTGTAGTAATATTTTCAATCTGTAATGATGTAGCACCATTTAATGAACGATCCTTTATGCAGGTGGGATGTTCCTATGCCTCAGGCAATATCAGCTGTATATTTATCTTCAAAGAAAGCTGCCACTGATCCTCGCTTTGTGAAATTGGCTCCCGTTTTCAAGTGTTCAAACTTGAAGTGTGGTGTCACACAAAGGTTAGTAGATTTTCTTCCATCTAGCCAGTTTTCTTATGTTTGTTTTTCAGAGCTTCCCAGAGAAAGCATATAATTGATTTTTGCTTTTCTTACATTCTGAGTTTATTGGGTTTCCACTGATATGGTGCTCATCTATTATCCTACAGTATTCCTCTCACAGTTGAATGGTCGACTTTTGGGAACTCTGATCTATTACTCGCTGGTTGCCACGATGGCACGGTAATTATTATATTAATTTCACTTTCTTCACATCGTTTTCTCTTTCATATGTGTAAACGTATTCAGGAATAAGAATTGCAGTGCTAATTTCTTTGACTGTGTTTGTTATCAGGTTGCTCTCTGGAAGTTTTCTACAACTAAACCTTCAGAAGGTATTACAACCTGACATGTTTTACCCTATGCCATGTAGATAGTTTGTTTTCACATTGTGGCTAGAGAGTGTGATCTGTTGATTTCACATTTGCTTTTCAATTTTTTTTTGTTTCTGTACAGATACAAGACCTATACTTTTCTTCAGCGCAGATACAGCTCCTATTAGGGCAGTTGCATGGGCTGCTGGTGAAAGGTCAGTTGCATAAAATAACTTATTAATAAGATTAGCGATTAGGCTTCGTCATTGGATTATTTTTTTCTGTTCTTCTGGATCTTCTGTGAGAGGATTCACTTATTAATGAAAGTAATTTCTGAAAAAATTACAGTGATCAGGAAAGTTCAAACGTAGTAGCTACTGCTGGACACGGAGGCCTGAAGTTTTGGGACTTACGGTACACTTCGTTCAATATTGGCTACATCGTTTACACAACAAGACAGTCATGTTCAATGTTTCTTTTGCGTGACTTTACGTCATCACTTATGCTTGCTCCGTATGGTTTTTCTGTAGTGATCCATTCCGTCCTTTATGGGATTTGCATCCGGTGCCAAGATTTATCTACAGCCTCGATTGGTTACAAGACCCAAAGTACGAACTGTTTCTTTATGCTCAGTTGATTACTGTCTTTAGACCAATCACTTGAAGTCCTGACTAAAACCAACTTGGGGTTTCAAAATATCTGCAGATGCGTCTTATTGTCCTTTGACGATGGAACAATGAGAATCCTAAGCTTGGTGAAGGTTGCGTATGATGTTCCCGCAACTGGAAAGCCTTATCCTAACACAAAACAGCAAGGGCTAAGCGTTTATAACTGTTCATCTTTTCCCATCTGGAGTATTCAAGTTTCACGGCTAACAGGTACATGTTCTTTTATGTATTGTGCGTAAGTCCAACTTGTTTGTAATTATCATGATAAACAGAGTTACTGCGACATATTAGGTCAAAAACTTAATCTTTAACTTATTACACCATTTCACTGAATCTCCAATGTTTAACTTCATCAGGCATGGCAGCTTATTGCACTGCAGATGGCTCCATTTTCCATTTCCAGGTCTGTTTACAAAGTCATCGATTATTTCCCACACCTCTTCTGTTTTGTTTTTTAAATCGTTTTTGGGCTTGCAGCTTACGACGAAAGCAGTGGAAAAAGACTCGAGACATCGGACTCCGCACTTCCTTTGTGGACGATTGACAATGAATGATTCTTCCACCTTTGCAGTGCATATTCCAGTGCCAAACATACCGATCTTCTTGAAGAAGCCAGCTGCTGAGACCGGTGAAAAACAAAGATGCTTTCGAGGTCTCATAAACGAATCCCCTAACCGATATGCATCTCCCGCTTCAGATGTTCAACCTCTAGGTTAGTTTAAAAACTCTGCGACAGATGTTAAGTCTCTTGAGCACCTTAGTCCTTATCTCGGACTGGTCTCGACTTCTACCGATGAAATTAGTTATACCTACACTTTTGCAGCTTTTGCAGTCGACGAGGATCAAGGGCTAGAGTCTGAAACCGAGGGAACAAGCAACAAAGCATCAAAATCAAAGGCTAAGAAAGGAAAGAACAAGGCAATAGAGGAGGACGAGAACAGAGGAGCATTGGTCTTTGTTAAAGAAGGTGGCGACGAAGAAGAAGAAGGAAGAAGAAAGGAAGCAAGCAACAATAGCACCGGAGTGAAGGCGGACGGGTTCCCGCATAAGATGGTGGCGATGCATCGAGTGCGGTGGAACATGAACAAAGGAAGTGAGAGATGGTTGTGTTATGGTGGAGCCGCTGGGATCGTTCGGTGTCAAGAGATTGCTCCATATGGTTTGGCCGCTCTGAAACCTCGGAGATAAATTTAGTCCCCTAGAACAAGATCTTGATACTTTTTAACATCTTACATTTAGAAATAAGAACGCCGCCAAAACCTTTTTGGATTCTGTCGTCAAAAAAAAAAGGGAACAAACCCTGAAAACATGTTGTAGAAAGGATCGAAACCGGAACCGTAACTTCCAGTGAGAAGCAAAACAGATTCTGGATGATCTTACAAAATGACATTTTTTTTAACTTATGCCATATAGTCCTAAATCTTACAATGGTACAACATTGGCTCTTGCCTTGTGAAAAAAAAAAACAAAACTTTCGAACACTAATCTTGGATGAGTATAATAATAATCCAACCTTGTTTGTTGGATGAGTATGACTCTCTTGACTTTGGTGTCTGATAAAGTAAAGCCGAAACAATTGGAAAAATGCCCCGGACAAAAACAAAGGGATCTTCATGAAGTACCTTTGTGGTAAGATACTGAAATCTAAGTGTAATGTTGTCTGTCACACTTGCATCCGACATTGACGACCATGGAGGTTCTTGAGCCTTGTGAGCTCTTTTCGTCTCTTTCTAGCTTCCGCTGCAGCCAAAGATCCTTGCTTCTTCCCCGGAAGGGAAATCAAAACATGATGACCAGGCTGCATCGGCGTGACTCCATTGTCGGTAACATCTTCATTCTTGAAACTATTAGCTTGATGTGTTACAGGGAAACCATCACCTCCCTCAGAGAGGACATCGGTTGCAGATTCGTTGAGGTCATACAAGGGTCTCGCTTCCGTTGTACCAGAGTCCTCTTCTTTGACTCTAGTTGGTATATGAGAACGCAGAGTTTTTGAGACCTCAACGGATTTTGCAGAAGAATCATCGACATGGTGACCGTTTGAAGAGACAACCTTTTGTGCATCTTGGAATCCGAAGGGGACACCATTGCTCTGATCAGGATGAGGGAGAAACCAAGGGCATGGCACGACGTAGAAATGAGTTTTCTGCCCATTCTCATCATCTGCTGGACTTTCATTCTCCAGCGAGGTCATCGTTTTGGCAGGAGCTCCTCCAGAGGTGGTGAATGGTGCTGTGAATCCGTTTCGGGTTTCAACCATCGGATTTGGTGATTGAGTAACATGAGGCCAGCAGAATAGCTGATATGGATTCTGGTTGTAGAAGTAAAACGGTGTAGATGATGCAGATATCTCAACTTGAGATGGCTTGAGCGATTCTTCAGGTTCTTCTTTTGTATCTGGTTTCACAGACTTCGATACCTGTTAAAACAATTAGAACATGAGATATGACAGTGAGAACAGTAATTAGTGCTCCTGATACTGATACGGTGTTTGATAAATATTGTGTAACCTGTTCTTTTAAATGCTTGTTAATCGTCTCCAAAGACTCAAACTCTTTCAAGGCCCAATCCTTTTCCTGGTCGCAGAAATATCATTAGCTCTTCAACGGTCTCACGGATTGCTCGTCGAAAATGGAAATCCAATAATTTACTTACCCTCCTCAGATTCTCATTCTCATATGTCAGATCAGCTGCTTTTTTACTCAACTCCTCGCACATTGCCTGGATATATATAAGGAACAAATACTTAGTAACACTAGTCTACTATGCAGCTAACTTGCCAGATATGGACCTTGAAACTCATGACAAAACCCCCAGAACTAAGCATCAGCAAACCAACACCAATCTAAAGGGGATGTTAAGTATACCTGTCTCCGTCGAATTGTCTGCCTAGCAGATTCTCTGTTAGCTAATATTCTTCGGATTCTACGTTCTTCTCTTTCAGCCTAGAGAGGAGTAGTAGTAGCACCATAAGTTCCCAACAGAAGACTCCCAAAACGAAATAAGAAGATTAAATTTTTGGACTTATGGTAATAATACCTCACTTAGATTCTGCCTTGAACGGCCACAGCCATTTGATCTACACCTCACGTTCGAGGTAAGATTTGGTTTAGGTGTGTCACCATCTGTTTCACCTTTAACCGGAACTTTAGTTACTTGTCTACTAACTGGTTGAACTTGTTCTTCTTCTTCATCTTCTTCTTTCAATGCTCGTTCCTGTTACAGAAACATCTTTATTAACTATTTCCAGCAAATTATCTGTTCCTCAGGTTGTTTTACCAATAGCGGTAAGCGGTCCAAAAAGAGAAATATTTCCAAATCATGTGATAGATAAGGACATCGCTAATTGTATTCATGTTTCACCTAATCAGTGTAACACCTTTTTCTGGCTATTCAAAAATCGATTATTTGGATCTAAGCACACACCAAATATACACTTCTAAATACATAACTAAGAACAGTGAGTGAATCCAGAAAATTTGAAAAACAGTCTTTTAAGGAAAGGGAAAGCGAAGAGACGAGACCTCAGCTAGATCCGGAGTAGGTAATGTTTCCGGGTCAGCCGGTTTAAACCGCGAGTCACACGGAGGAGACTCCGTCTTGACTCGCTTCCTCACTCGTTTCCCTTTACTGCCCCAGCTCGTCGCGGATTCGAAAACCTGCTCTCGCATTATCGCAAGCTGCGCCAAATCCGCCAATGCCTCTGCCGCCTCCAGCTCCGTCATGTTCGCCGCATCCTCACCTGACGATGAAGACGACGGAACCGACGGAGACGACGACGAGCAACAGCTCGAAATAGCCTCCAAATCCATCGAAACACAAAAAAAAATTCAAACAAAAGATTTTGAAAAAAAAAAAAATAACAAACACAGAAGAAGGAGAAAAAAAGATGGAGAGAGAGAGAGGAAGAAACTGTAACTCTCCTCAAGACTAGTTGTGTAGAGTGAGAAAGGGAGAGAGGGAAAAAAAATGCCAGAGGAGCCCACCGTTGGTGAGAATTCGACACGTGTCATGCCAGCTCATCGCCTACAATTGGTGGCTTAACTATAGCCCATGTATCTGTGACCGCCACGTCTCCCTTTACACCAAGTCAGCAAACGCGGCACGTGCCGGGTGAGTCGTGCGTGCGAAGCCGAGATTCGGGACCGCTATCTCTCAGAAGTCTGGGAAAAGAGGCGCAGAGTTTAAGGTGAAGGTCGGTTGGAAGAGCTCAGATCATGACACGTGTAATGCTTTTATTGGATCTTTACGTGGCAACGTCTGAGCCATGAGATTAAGTGGTCGATAACTGGTTCTGTATCTTACGGTTGAGCTTTTGGGTGCATCCACTGACACACGATCATTTAGAGTCCTTTGTTGAAACATATAAATGGGCCGGGTTTTGGGTCGTCATATATAGGCCGACTAATAATAGCAATAGGCCCAATCATGTGGAAAAACACCAATTAGTTCCATCGTAAACGTCAATCCGATTATGTGATCTCTAAATTTTACCTAAGTTATTTTTTTAATTGACCTAACAAGACTCGACACTGGTGTAATTTTACCATTTTATATTGACGGATCATAGAAGATTTGGTATGATTTTAGGTATAATCGAGCTCATGCAACTTGTTTAAAGACATTGGGTTACATATACATTGAAGATTAAATAAATATAAAATCAGATATAGGTCGAGTTTTTCTCTTCTTCTTATCCTAATTGTTCCGATCACAGCTTTTTTTGTTGTTGTATATAAACACAACACAACTTTAAAACCTTCACTTATTCTTCCTTTTAGAAGTGGATTCCCATTTCCCTACAAAAAGAAAAAGGTATATATATTAGGGAGTGAAACTATAATGTGAGTTTATTGATATAAATGTTCAGATTCTATTATGCGCAATGTTTCAGAGTATAAAAATCTTTGTATTACCAACAAATGGATTTTCGTTATTAATACTATTTTCATGTTACTATAGAAACTAAATTCAGTTATTGTAGTGTTGATGTGTGTATCCTAAGAACTACGAAATAGCAAAACAGATTTACTAATAATATTCAATAAATCTAACGTAAGTACGTAACATGCCAAAATATAAAAAAATGTTGTAAAGAATGCTAGACATACTTGGCTTTAGCACCGAACCATCCGTAAACGGACTTGAAGGTGGAAGATACGGTGTCGACGGCATTGGGGCCGCCGTGTTCATTGAATGCATTGGTGACGCCTGTCACGGCGGAGTCTACTCTCTGCCCAACCGTCACCGGCTGTTCCTCGCCCTCGGCAAAAACCACCACTGACACTGAGAATAACGAGATAAGTAGCATCACCGACAACACCACAGCCACCGATACTTTCGCCATCCGATCTCCGACAGACTTCTTCTACTTTTTTGTTGTTGTTGTTGGTTGGACAAAAACCAAGAGAATGATATAAAAACTAGAAGTAGCAAAATATATAAGATGACGAATATAAGTTTAACAGTTTTTAGCTGTTTTGTCGTGCTTTGTTGGGTTTTTAAAAAGTTCCTTATTTATATGCGAAGGAGCTAAAAAAAAAATTAAATTGGCTTTATTAACGGTGTAACGATCCACCGTTAATGGCGGTTACGCCAAAAATTGTACGACATGAGATGGCTTTGAGTTTCATGCGAGTTCCAAATTAAGCAACAGTTTTTTTATGGTTTTGTTTTTTGGGACCATTGAATTGTATTCGTATTCGTTTACTTTCACTAAACATCGCCTCTCGATGTATATATAACCTAGTTTATATCGATAACTAAAAGTCTAACCATCGTTAAAACAAAAACAGAAAAACTGACAAATTAATAATCAAACACAAAAAGAAGCCACAATAGTTACACGATTTGATGTGAAGTACTGAGATCAAATCAAATAGAAAAATAAGAAGGACAGTGTAAAGGGAACACTCATCAGTAAGAAAGAAGAAACAAATCCTTTGATTCTTTACTTAGTAATCTTCATGTTATGTAACGGACATCACTGGATTCTCATATTCTTCATCAACCTGTCCAAAAGTTCAATAGAGCAATTAAAAAAAAATATCACTACAGCTTGAGGATTTGATTAATGAAAGCTTTTTCGAACTCCAGTTTTGGTTTAAAAAGAAGTAGACAACTTTACACTAAAATAACACTTTTGTTGATCACCGACTAGTGAAAGTAGAATCACTTTTGCATATTTATATACCACTATTTCTGATCATGAACGAATAATATAACATTATATATTTACATAACAACTTACCATACATATATAAGATTCAAAATTGAGGACAATGTGCATGTGATGATGTACAATAAGGATTAGATTTCATGTGCATCATTTCCCTTTAATGAGAACTCCGGAAGTAGAAGGGATGGTGCGTGTGGTTGCATGTTTCTTATTATTAATTTTTTTATTTTATTTTATAAAGATGTTTCTTATTATTGTAACTATTAATATTTATTATTATATAACCAATGTTCATCACTAATAATAATATATATCACACATACTAATTCATATTAGTCCAAAATTAATATCCAATTTTGAAACGATTTTCACTAAACATATTTTCAATCTAATGATAATATAAATCACAAAACGGATGTAATGCTAAAGATTTGGTCTTAGCTAGCCATAACAAAATTCACAAGACGACCAGAGAATTCAAAAACAATTGGTCTAAAAAGGACAAACAGGATTTTACCTCATATCAAAATCGTTGATGCCTCTTGATTTACTTCCAACATCGATGGTTTTGTACTTAGGCAAAGGGACCAAGTCTTGTTCGATGTTCATGAGATCTTCAACGAGGATGTCGTAGTGACGTTTGACTTCATCCGCCGATTTACTTCCGACGGCTTTAGCCACGTTTTGCCAACGGTCGGGAGTGTCTTTATCGTAGACGGCTAAGGCCCTCTCGAACATCTTGTTTTGCTTAGACGTCCAAGATGAGCTCGAGCTCATAGAGCTTGAAGCCATTTTTGTAGTATTTAGCTTCTTTAGGAAAAAAGATGAGTTATGTATAATTTAGAAAGAAACGATATAAGAGAAAGAAAAGGGATCGATGCTGAGTTACGAATACAAACGAATGCCAAGATAGGCTCCTTATATGGAGGAAAAGAGAACTGAGAGATTCCGCAACTTGTCGTATTTATCCAAATTTTTTCTTTAAGGTTATATATCAGAATAAAGAAAGTATGATGTTCTTATGGGTCTACGTTTTTGGGTGGTCCATACGTTTATTTTGGGAGAATAGTATGGAGTCAATTGTCATATAAATTTGAAATTAGCAACCTTCTCCTTAAGATTTTTTCGTAATTTTTGTAAAATTATAAAATGACGTTCATCCATGGAGAGATATTGCTATGCCTACGCTACTGTTTAAAAAAGATTATTGTAGTTAATCATTCACCATATTTTCAAATTTTAAGAAATAATTTAACTGCTATATAAATTAAGAAAAATGATTAGTTAAAGTAAAAATTTTGGTTATATAATAAAAAGGTAAAACATTATCTACCAAACTATTTGTTATAAAGTTTCATGATTATCTTTTGATTTTGAACCATATGAATTGTTAATTCAAATCCTTACGTTATTATTATGTTTGTTACGTTATTATTATGTTTTTGATAATCTTTTGTTCACTATTCATTACTCATCAAATTTAATTGGTGTGTGATTGTAATTATACTATGCCTTAAAGGATCAATGAGAAAAAAATGATATTCAGAAAGAGGAAGAATGGACCAGTAAGTAAGATCCCGTTTTATATATACTCCAATGCATCAGATTCACCTTAGCTATATAATGTTCATAGAGATAGACTGATAGAGACAATGTGCTGATGATCACACAATGAATTGTAATCATTTATTCACGTACGTAATAAATTGTTTGTATAATAACCGTTTGATGCAACAATTCTGAAGATCGAGTTACGGATTCGATTTATGTCATCTCATGTACCAAACTTCATGGAGATTTCTTATAACTTTATAATTTTTTTATCACCGATATACAAGAATAATAATTTGAAGGAGATGGATCGATACTCGTGGGCAGTTTGAATCTAACAACTTATCTCGTGTGATGGATGGAGGAAACCAAATTTGGACGACAACCTTTTAAATAAGAGCCACTTAAAATTTTGCTGAAAAAGGAACAATACCATAATGGATATTATCGTCTCCTTTGGGGATAACATTCCCAATATCACTATCTCTGCACTGATTCTTCTTCATAGTTTTTTTTTTTTTTTTTTTTTTTTTTTTTTTTTTATGAGGGTAAATCACGCCATTGGTCATATGTTCAAAGAAATCAATAGATGAGATTTGGTGGCTAAATTCCACAATTGGTTTGGATGGTCAACTCCATATTTTTTATATTTATAAGTGTTTTTTAGTATTTTTCGCAGATTGCTAAGCCTTATCTTTGCATTAAAGCTTTAGTTTCTATAGTGGTCCTTCCAGTTCCACATCCCAGAATACTTGTCAAACCTTGTGTGTAAGATATAGTTTTGATCACTATGAAAAACCTATCCTAACATGTGTGAATTGGGATCTTTGGGTCGAAAACTGTTTAAACTTAAAGATTGAATGACTATTTAGTAGATTATATAAGATCCAAGTATATATATCGGAATACAAGTCTGAACTTTTGGACATTGTCACCTTCGTCGCAAGACAATTCGTCCTACTTGTCTAGTTATTTGACGCTCATTAAATGAAACTTGCTCTTTTGTTCGCAAATGAAATGTCTTCGAGCTTTTTCTCATACCATGACTATTGACTAGTTTAGTCTAACCAAACATTTGATAATTTCTGTATAATTTCGTCATTAAAAACTACCGATATAGTGATGCATTAAGTAATCAATTTTTTAAGAAAAATAAAAAAAGTAATCATTTTATTTTTGTGTTGAATGTAGTAATCCTTTATCAAAAAAGTGTTGAATGTAGTAATCTCGACCTATACAGGAACATGAGGTTCACGACTATATAGGCCATGAATGTTTGATTAGTTTTTAGATTTTAGATTTTGGTTTTTGGATTTTAGTTTCTGATTATAGATTTTGGTTTTTGATTTTGATTTTTCTGTAAAAGTAAAAAAAAATAAAAAAAAAAATCGTTGGTTTTCATGAGAAACTGCAAAAATGTGGATTATAGTTTTTCTTTGAAAATTGGTTGAAACACTCAAAAACCAGATTCCCTATTTTGTAGGAAAACTTTTTTTCAGAATCTTGAATGGCAATAAAACAGATTTTGGAAGAAACTAAAACCAAAAACCACTTCAAAAACTACAAATAATCAAGGCCATACCATTACGTACCATTGAACGCTATTAAAACAATCTAGATGCGCTCTGTCATGTAAAACACTGATGATAATTATGAAAGATAGTAAAAGTTTTCGAAATGAACAAACTTTGTTTCCAGACAAATTTGTTTGGTCTATGAAATGTTTGAAAATGAAGAAATTTTGAATAGGGGTTTGATTTAACATATTGAAAGATGAGGTCAAAACTGAAAATGTATATATACTGGATGATTTGTGTATTTTACATAAAATTGAGGGTTCTTTGTGAGAAATACCAATTAACGAAGAGGAACGGCAAAACAACCCTAATTCGAGTTTCATTTCTGTGTGATCTTGACCTTCTTCCTTCACCCACTCAATACTTTAGCTAGGGTTTAACCGGGATTTTTCGTTTTCCCTTAATCTCTGTTAAGAACCGTCGGAGAAGATGAGATCTTTGCTGGTCTCTCGACAAGCGATCCACCGTATTTCACTGTTATCTTCAAAACCCCCAACTTTATGCAGAAGCTTCTCCGCCATTACATCCTCGATTTCTCACTCTGATCGTTATCTGAGAAGCTACGACGAGCTAACCCCTTTCAGAAATGCCGAAATCGCAAGACCCATTTCATCACTCAGTCGACATTTTCACTCTACTCGTGAGTCCCGACTCAGCGAGTCCGTTGCCTCCCAGATTGACGACTCTAACGACCTGGAGGAAGACGACGAGGACGAAGACGGGACCACGAACGAGTTCCTCTCTCGATTCGTTTGGATAATGCGTGGGAAAGTCGCAGAAGCTTACCCGGATTGCGACAAGAAGATGATCGACGGTATGCTTCTGCTCATCGTCGAGAAAGTCGTGGAGGAGATCGAAAGAGGCGGTTTCAACAAGGTCGGATCGGCTCCGCCTTCGCCGTCGTCGGAGTTCAGCGACGATCTGTGGAGCACAATCTGGGAAGTAAGTAACACAGTGCTGAAAGATATGGACAACGAGAGGAAGAAGGAGAAGATGAAGCTGTACATTCAATCCCCGGAAGTGATGGAGATGTGTAGATTTGCTGGTGAAATCGGCATTCGTGGGGATTTGCTTAGAGAGCTTAGATTCAAATGGGCACGAGAGAAGATGGAAGACGCCGAGTTTTACGAGAGCTTGGAACAGCAACGAGACTCGGATAACTCAATCGGAGCAGCAGATGATGCAGAAGAAGATAAAGAGGAAGAAGAAGGGTCTGTTGCATTAGATGAGATCCAACCTCAGAGTCTCTCTCTTCCTAAACGAAAGGGGAAGTTCAAGTACAAGATCTACGGGCTTGAGTTGTCGGATCCGAAATGGGTTGAAACGGCTTATAAGATTCACGAAGCCGAGGAAGATGCTGACTGGAGAGAGCCGAAGCCTGTGACTGGAAAATGCAAATTGGTTATGGAGAAGCTTGAGTCTCTTAAGGAAGAAGATGATCCTTCGGAATTGGTTGCTGAGTGGGCTGAGTTATTGGAGCCTCAACGTGTTGACTGGATTGCTTTGCTGAATCAGTTGCGAGAATCAAACACCTACGCATACTCAAAGGTTAGACTTTTAGTCTACTTCCACAAGATTCGTCTTTTGATACATAATGGTTTTTGGGAATTAGCTTACTCCTATAGTGTTGGTTCTTGAATGATATCAGAGTAATCACCTATTCATGGTTATTTTCCTTAGTGTAAATCCTGTGATAGTGTTGGATCATTGTTGTGTTAACTCGTTAGTCTAGGTTGTTTTTTGTTCTTCCAAGATGGTGGTACTTGAGAGTATGCATATATCTATCTAAGTCATCTCTGGAAGATGAGCAATCATATTAGGTGTGATAGTTTTGTGTTTTGATCAAATGGTGCTTGTTTTGATGTTGTCAACAGGTGGCAGAGCTTGTCCTGGATGAGAAATCATTCAAGGCAAATCTCTCGGACTACTCAAAACTCATCCACATGAATGCTAAAGAGAACCGCACGGAAGCTGTTGAGAGAATCCTAAGCAAAATGTCTCAGAACGGGATCTTTCCAGACATTTTGATCGCCACTGCGTTGATTCACATGTACAGTAAATCAGGCAACCTCGAGCGTGCGACCGAGGCATTCGAAAGCTTGAAGAGCTACGGGTTAAGGCCGGACGAGAGGATCTACACATCCATGATCATGGGATATGTAAACGCTGGCAAGCCTAAGCTAGGTGAGAGGTTGATGAGAGACCTGGAAACAAGAGACATGAGGTGTTCAGAAGAAGTTTACATGGCTCTTCTTCGAGCTTTTGCACAAGTGGGAGACGCCGAGGGAGCTGCAGGGATTAACTCTTCGATGTTGAGATCACAGGTTCCACAGAATTTCGAAACGTTTAGCTTACTTGTGGAAGCGTACGGGAAAGCAGGGAAGACGGAAGAAGCGAAAAAGAACTTTGAGCTAATGAGAAGCCGCGGCCACAAACCGGACGATAAGTGCATTGCGCATGTGATCCAAGCGTACAAGAGAGAGAACTCGTTGGACAAAGCACTGAGGCTTTTGTTGCAGCTTGAGAAAGATGGGATTGAAATCGGTGTGATCACTTACACTGTTCTTGTTGATTGGATGGCGAGTCTCGGTCTTATCGAGGAAGCTGAGCAGCTTCTGGTCAAGATCTCTCAGCTAGGAGAGGCTCCACCGTTTGAGCTACATGTGAGCTTGTGCTACATGTATGCTAATGTGAGGAATGAGAAGAAGACTCTTCAGGCTCTTGGTGTTTTGGAAGCTAAGAGAGATCAATTGGGACCTAACGAGTTTGAAAAAGTTATAACTGGATTGAAGAGAGGTGGGTTTGAGAAAGATGCGAGGAGGATGTTTAAGCATATGGAAGCTAGGAAGTTTTTGCCTTCGGATAGATTGAAGATCGATATGGGTGCGTCACCGTCTTTTGGGTCAGGGTTTAGTAATAGAATGAGACGATGAGATAGTCTCTAAGTTGAACAATCTTTTTGAGACTTCATCATTTTCCATTTCCATAGTTCAATGTTTCGAGTGAACTCGTATTCCAGAGTTCATGGTTCCTCCATTGATTTTAAACTGTAGCTGTGTTTTGTAATAATTTTGTTATTTGGAATTTGGAAATCTGTTTACCGCTTCTTTTTTAGCTGTGAGATTTTCTTGTTCCAGCTCCATTTCCAACAATTGCTTCAAGAAGAGCTCTAAACCGGCCACAATGCAAACCGGTGTTTTTATAACTCTCGCGTAACGCAAAATCAAATCATTACCGGACAGTTGATCTCAATTTAATATTGCTTTTATTTATCAGATAACTTTGTTTGTTCGTGATCTCAATTTCTTTTCGACGTCTTCTTTACCTCAACGTTGTGAAAAGCGAGAATACAGTTTTCTCCATCAAGTGGATATACCTTTCAAGATATCCAAGTAGATAATAACATAAATGTCCATGTTTAGAACTTTGGATGTGTCTGCCACGCATCGTACACGTGTCAAGCTAATTGCAACTCTTCTTCCTTAAGTCAGAACCCATAAACAAGCTAGTAAAAAAAGTAAATTGTTTAACTAAGTTAAGCAGTTTTTGTTATATATGTAGATCATCTCTTTTGGATTTGAAGATCCATCTTAAATTATTTCGAAGGTTATCTACTCCTCACGTTTGACATCGGTCCACCCCCAAAACAAGACTTCGACATCATCTTCTGTCGTGTTATGTTTTGTATCTTTGTATAGCTGTTTTTGTTTTAGAGAACTATTAGAGTATTATTGGTTGTATCTAAAAGTGTTTAATCAAGAACTTATTAACCGCACTCTAACGAAAGAAAAGGGATCCAGACCTAAAGATTAATCACAGTACTAGTCGTTAAATCTTACGAGACGAGATAAGGTTGGAAAAATAAATATCGTATAGTAGCACTTTAAAATATCTCCGTCTATTAATTTAATAATTTAAATAAAATCCACTACTGAAATCAGTGGGGCTCTCTTTACCGGGAGTTTCCATGAGCTAAAAAAGAGTTGATGGTATTGAATTAAACTAGACAAAGTTGGACCGAGTAGCGAACGTATAATATAAATGATTAAAAAATGAATTTAATTCCCTTGGGGATAAGAATTATCTAGATGAGTTGCATAGTTGCATGCATGTAGCACTATATATAGAAAGATGTTATAGACAGATGATCACACCGACATTCAAGTCTACTATACTGATCACAAGCAAAAACGATTGGAAAATATTAAGCGCAAATGGGTTCTTTAATGTCAGGATGGGACTCGAAAGTAGGAGATGCCAATTCAGGTAATTAATAATAACATGATGCGTGTATGAGATTATATCATATTATATGTTCCGAAATAATGATGAAAATCATATTTTCCAGTGAAAAGGTGCAAGTCACTTACAAGAGAAGATATCGATGCTTTTTGGAAGACAAAGAAGAAGAGTGAAGAAGAACATGTTCAAGCCGTTTCCAAGTTGGTAGCTCAGGTAAAGACCAAACTATTCACTTTTGAAATATTTATCTTTGAGTTCAACACACACAAAAATATGGAGATTTCATCATCAGTGATCTTTCAGAAAACGAAAACCAATCGACTAGTAAAATTATCAAGAAAATAAAACGATCTCACAAAAAGTTTTTAAATATGTTCGCAGGAAGTTGCCGAAAGCCAAACGCAAGAGGAGAAGAGAGTAGAAGAAGATCGTATTGAGAACCAAAGCAAATGGTGATAATATTTGGATTCGATCCTATAGCTAGTTTCAAATGAATCTCGTAATTTTGTGAATGATTCAAACAATCACATAAACTGATGTGTTGTTGGTCAGGTGGAGAAAAAGCAACTGGGCCTTCTTAAACGAGCCGAGGGAGGAAGAGGGTGGACCGAACAATTACGTGCCACAGTTTCAAGTGGCTCACATCACCAAAATCGCCGGCTAGTTGTCATGGTGCTATAAATAATCACCGGCTAATCACATATGTCAACTATATACTGGTTTTAATTAATGTGTTGGCCGCGTTAATATGTGAAGTGTGATCACAGTGAGCAGAACATGTAACAAATGGTGTAGGGTGTTTATATATGAGATGTGTTTATGTTAAAATCTGAGATGAGGATTTGCCAAAAAAATATTGTTCAGAATACCTTGTAAAAGTCTAAATTTTGAACCAGTTTCTACAATCTTGAATTTGGAAATAAACATGAAAAATATCCTCTGAGAAAGCGAATGCAATTCGCAGTCAAAGTAAGGTAGCTCAGACAAGAGGGTACAACGGTAACTTCATCTTCACCCGCCGCCGTTGGCTCCACCGTATAGAAAAATGGAGACCACAAACCTGAGTCGTCGATTAAATAAGCTCATTTCTGTTACTTGAAAGTTCAATTCAACCAAAAATAACAGAGAGAGAGAGATGACGAGCACGATTCTGGTGATCGGAGCGACGGGTTACATCGGGAAACTCATCGTGGAGGGAAGCGCCAAGTCCGGTCACTCAACGTTCGCTCTGGTTAGAGAAGCTTCTCTCTCCGATCCTGTCAAGGCCAAACTCGTTGATAGCTTCAAAGATCTCGGCGTCTCCATTCTCTACGTACGCTTACTATTCTCACTTCCCTGCTCTTCTAAGCACCATCAAAGCTGTTTGTTTCTTTGTTGATCGGATTCCGACGATTCTTCTGATAATTTACATACAGGGAAGTTTAAATGACAAAGATAGCTTAGTGAAAGCTATTAAACACGTCGACGTCGTGATTTCAGCTGTTGGTCGACTCCAAATTCTAGATCAAACCAATATCATCGACGCCATCAAAGAATCTGGAAATGTTAAGGTCCGTTTTCCACTCTCTCTTTTTATTGTCATCCTTTGTAATCAGCTCAAGACGATCCTCAATAGATTTGGAATTGATATTTGGTCATCCAGAGGTTCTTACCGTCGGAATTTGGCAACGACGTGGACCGTACGGTGGCCATCGAGCCGGCGCTGTCGGAGTTCATCATGAAAGCTCAGATACGTCGTGCCATAGAAGCTGCAAAGATACCTTATACGTATGTGGTCACAGGTTGCTTTGCTGGCTTTTTCGTTCCTAGTTTGGGTCAATGCCACTTGCGGCTCAAATCTCCTCCTAGAGACAAAATTTCAATCTACGACAATGGCAATGGCAAAGGTAAATGATACGTCTTTAAAATGTTGCTTTGTTACAGTTCTGGTTGTTTATTTGGGACTTCCTTCTCTTTGTTTGTAGCTATTATCAACACTGAAGAAGACATTGTTGCATATACATTGAAAGCTGTTGATGACTCGAGAACACTTAACAAGATTCTCTACATTCACCCGCCCAAGAACATTGTATCCCAGAACGATATGGTCGGTTTGTGGGAGAGAAAGATCGGCAAGACTCTTGACAAGACATATGTTTCAGAGGAAGAACTCCTCAAAACCATCGAAGGTGATCACTTCAACCATAGAAAAACAGTTTTTTGATATTCAATAGTAATCAGTTTTTGATATTTTTTCACTTGCATTTGTAGAGAGTCAGCCTCCAATGGATTTTGTGATGGGTTTGATCCATACAGTACTTGTGTAGAGTGATCTTACCTCCTTCACTATAGACCCTTCTTCTGGAGTAGAGGCTTCCGAGCTTTACCCTGAGGTCAAGTACACAAGCGTCGACGAGTATCTCAACCAGTTTATCTAAGGAAAATACATAATTTCTGTTGCTTGTACTGTTAATCTGAGACCTGATTGATTCTGTTTTAGACGCAAATATTATCTCCAACGAGGCTTATTTCATTGGTAGTACACAACACACAACATAATAACATCATAATAAGTCGGTCCAAGAACATTTATTTTACTGATAGAAGAGAGACCTTGAACCAACATTATCACACAAATGATCTCATAGCCGGAGCTAGCAAGTTTTCAGGGGTTGACCTTTGGAGCCCATCCGGAGATGATATACTTTTCCTCGGGCTTCGTTTTCTCAAAGGAGGCACGAGAGAACAGAGCCTTCATGTAGTCATGGACATCGGGCAAGCTGCTTGGGACAGACCAGCTTTTGAAGTGGCCAAGAGCGACTTCGAGATGGTAAAGCTTCGGCGCTAAGCTGAGATCCACCGCGGTGACTCTTTCCCCGGCGATGAAAGGACCGTCGTGATGAGTCTTGAGATGTTGCTCCAATGCTTCTAGCTCGTGGAGCAAGGCCTGCTCGGAATTGTCGTTGGAGTCTTTGCTCTTCAAGAAAGTGCCGAAAGTGCTGAAGATCTTGGATCCAACAGAGGCAAACTGTGGAGGAGTCTTGAGAGGTGGCTCCGGATACTTCTCCTCGAGAATGTCGACGATGACGTCGGAATCAGGCACCCACTTGCCGTCGATCTTGAGCACTGGTACTTTCCCTTGAGGACTTATGTCCAAGAACCTTTAACCAAAACCCAAATCCAATTCCCGGTTAACACTTCGCGTATAACCAAAGCTAATCTGATTTCCGGTTAACAAAAATTAACACATTTCATGAATTCAATTCCACATGCAAGTAAAATCCAGAAGATTGTGCCATGAAATTGAAAACAATCCATTTTGGCTATGAACAAATTCAAATAACCAACATAGACCGATCTAGGGTTTTCGCGTGAGAGAAGAAACTGACCACTGGGGTTTGTGGGAGACGTCGATCAGATGCATTTTGTACGGAACACTCTTCTCCTCGAGGGTCAGAACAACCCTATGGCTGAACGGACCTGAAACCACAAAAAAAACACTTAAAATCAGGAAATTTCACGAAATCAAAGATGAAAAACCCCAAAAATTGCGAAATCTAAAGCGTAATTCAAATTATAAACAGAGATCGGCTGATAGGAGAGGGAAGTTACAGTCGCCGAATTCATGAGGAGCACCAACCGCGGCTTTCACACAGACTTCGAGAGCCATCTTTTAGATATTTTTTTGCAGCGGCTGATGGAATAATTGAGTTAATCAGTGAAGGCTAATTAGCTTTATAGCTGGATTCTCAGTGAGCGGTCCAATATTGCTCAACGTTGAGACTTGAAAGGACGTCTCTTATCTTCTGCACGTGTTTCGCGTTGCGATAGACGATTCGAAACGACCACGTATCGGTATGGTTATAAATCTGTTTGATGTTTTTGGTTTTATGTCGGCAAATCTGTTAAATCAAATGTAACTACCCATTATCCGGTTAAGATTCATTATTTGTGGTTCGATTAAACCAAATTAAACCATCGTATTGGTCATGAACTCAGCCACTCAGGTGTTTCGCCGTTCCAGAAAAGAAGAATACACTCGCGTTGAAATCCTAGCTCATTTCTTCACATTTCACCGTCTTCGTCTTCTTCCTTCACTGTTGAGTCTTCGTCTGTGAGCTCGAAGAAGGTGACGAGCAATGGGAACCCTAGGCAGAGCATTTTACTCGGTCGGATTTTGGATCCGTGAGACCGGTCAGGCTCTCGATCGCCTCGGTTGTCGCCTTCAAGGCAAAAATTGCTTCCGAGAACAACGTAAGCTTCAGTGTAACTCTAATTTTCACTCCGATTTTGAATTCGTACGATAGTGGAGTTCCGATTGCGGAACTCAGCTCTTTCTGATTAGGCTGGAGAGCTCTTCTGACTAGGCTAGAGATCTGGAATTGATGTCTCTGTAGTTCTGGATTTATTGATGAGCTTTTATAGGAATGTGTTTTGCTACTTAGGTACCGAAATTTTTTCATGTGTATCTCTGGCTTTCTCTGTAGTATCGAGGCATCGGACACTGATGAACGTATTTGATAAGGCTCCGATTGTGGATAAGGAAGCTTTCGTGGCACCAAGCGCCTCAGTTATCGGGGATGTGCAGATTGGAAGAGGATCGTCCATTTGGTATGGATGCGTTTTACGAGGTGAGCAAGCTACTAAGCTTCAAGGCTTGGTGTTTGACTGATTTGATTTCTTATTCATTGACTGAAGTTTTTGTTTGATATGTCATCTACTTCTGTATCCTTAGCTGAGTGAACTAAGTAGGCAATGAATATCTGTCCTTTACTCTTCTGTTACTCATTGTGGAGCTTTCTAGTATTACCGAGTGAGTGAGTGAGTCTTTAACTCGAGTATTTATACATCTTCTCTTCATGATACTGGCTGTTAGTCTAATCACTAATGGATATATTATATTCACTTATATCACATTTGAGTTGAATCCTCAGTGAAAGTATGTCTACGCTAGTCTCGATTAGTATAAATTCCTTCCTGCCATGCCTTTCCGTAGGTTTAATGTAGATTGCCTTTTGTACAGAATGCTGGTATGTTATGCCTGTTAGTACTTTACCAGGAATAAAGTATCACATCTAAACTTGCTCTTTTAATCTTTTTCTGTGCAGGGGATGTGAACACCGTTAGTGTTGGGTCAGGAACTAACATTCAGGACAACTCGCTGGTGCATGTGGCAAAATCAAACTTAAGCGGGAAGGTGCTTCCAACCATCATCGGAGACAATGTTACCATTGGTTAGTGGAAATATCTTGCTGGTTATATTTCTGTTGTCTAATATTCATGCATCTTCGAGAAGCATTTGGGATATAGTTTTAAACGAGATGTGTAACAGGTCATAGTGCTGTTTTACATGGATGTACTGTTGAGGATGAAACGTTGATCGGTATGGGTGCAACACTTCTTGATGGGGTCGTGGTTGAAAAGCATGCCATGATTGCTGCTGGTGCGCTTGTGCGACAAAACACTAGAATTCCCTCTGGAGAGGTATGATTTTGCGTTAAACCTTTCTATTGGTGCTGACATACCTCTATTGCTACTTAGACAGCATAGGCTATATCATGAACAATGTCTTTTCTTTTATTGTTAATCATCTCTAGTTCTGAGATTCTTGAAGGGTAGATGCAAAGTTGAAAAACAGTTTCTAGTCTAAGAAATCTTCTCCTATATCTGGATAGAACATGATTCCTTCACTTTTCTGAAGTAAGTAATAGAAGCTCAACTTTCATTTAAGGACCAATGATTATGGTCAATTAGGTGGAAATGCATCTTAAAACAATCAGGAAGGCTCTTCTATTTACGGTTTAACAGCATGTGATTACAAAAGAGTGCTTGTATCTCATCATGACCGATTCAATTCCTTCGACAGCCATATTCACTGACAGATTTAAAATGTTTTTAACACATTGGTCTATAATAACTCAGATATGGGGAGGAAATCCAGCAAGGTTCCTCAGGAAGCTCAATGATAAGGAGATTGATTTTTTCTCCGAGTCAGCTGTAAGCTACTCAAACCTCGCACAGGCTCACGCTGCAGAGAATGCAAGGCCATTAAATGCGATTGAGTTCGAGAAGGTGCTGCGCAAGAAGTCTGCTAGAAAAGACGAAGAGTATGACTCAACGCTTGGTATTGTGAGAGAAACTCCACCAGAGCTTGTGCCTGATAAAGAAACCAAGCGTCCTTCAAATGTTAATTGATTTTTCCAGGTATGTTTTCTGATCGAAACACTTTCGTATCAGATGCTCAAAGAGATTATGTTTCGGTCTCTGGTTTGAATAATGGCAGTAGAGTACATTGTAGGGGTAGACGAATTTTCAGCTTTTGAAGAAGCTTTTTGCTGGGCTTCTTTTCATGGTTTCTTAGGAAATGGTTTTGTAAGAATCTTATGTATGCTACTATTTTGGTTCGTTGAACGTATGAAACATGAGGAGGTGAATGATAGACTGATGCATATGCTAAATCCAAATCCATGTGCGGCTATGTTGCTATAAGAATAAAGATCCAAACTTGATATATATAATTACTGCAAATTATTAGTGGGTACCGTGATTTACGCTTGCTTAGTCGTCTTTTGATTTTTTTTTTCGGATAAAAGCAAATCTTCAGTGTATCTTCTTCTATTATATGATCCGTCTCTTTCTTTTTGCCAAACGCCATTCCCTTTTCTTGAAATTTCTCTTTTGTTTCTTTCTATTTGTCATTGTTTTCTAGCTAGCCGTAACATGAATCAACCATTCATTACAATAATACGAAATAACTGGATTCTCCCTAGCCCCTTGTCGATCTCAATTAGTGGACCAATCTTTTTTGTCCTCTTAATTAAACCACGATATAAAACCATGTTCAAAGTTTAAAACGTAAGACTCTCACGTTGCCTTTTTATGGAAAAGAAAAAACAGAAACCTAAAACGAAAATGTTCGGCCTCTAAATTGTGTGTATAACTCGGTTTCCATGATTGCTTATCGTTGTGCGAATTAGAAGGTGTAGTAAAAATAACTTGGTACATTTGATAGCTAATAGCTTAAGCAAAAGAACAGCATAGTTAAGCATATGTATACACATTTCAAGATAAAAGTACTTTTGATTTTAAGAAGCGATTTTTTTTCTTTTGCTTTTTCATAATAAGCGGCGCCAAATGCCATGCGTAACTTATCGAAACCCAAAGTTTTAAAATGAATGAAAACTATTCACTATTTGTCGCTCACACAGAAAGACACGACGGAAAAAATAATGAGAAATCATTGCATTGAAGGAAATCAAGAAAAAAAACGTAGGGGTCGATCATATATCAGCTACTGTAATTTTATTTGATTTTTGTAAGGGCAATCTCGTAAAATGTCCAATAATCCTCCTCCTCCTTCCTGGCCTCGTCTCCACCGTGTATAAATTTGAGACGAAGCCGTGGAGAAAATCGGGCAAGGCCTTTGGAGAGACTGCACAACAGAGGTACAGACGAAAGCAGAGAGAGAATATCTCAGAGAATGGTAGCCGAGGCCTTGCCCAAGAGCCCCAAAGCTCCACTCGTACTTGGACTCCAACCAGCAGCTCTAATCGATAACGTCGCTCCCGTCGATTGGTCCTTACTCGATCAGATTCCCGGCGATCGCGGTGGCTCCATTCCCGTAAGCCACTTATTCTTTTTATCTCGATACTGTTTTGGTTGCAATTCAATTGACGAGGTTTAGGCTAAATTTGATTGAAAATTATTCGAAATTGTGTTTGCTTATAGTTATTGAAATTTGAAATCAGTGCCAATTCTGTATTTGGTGGATCATTTTTTTGATAATAGGTGCAAAAGGATGAGTTAGAGCACATACTAAAAGAGGTGAATACTCATATCAGTGCGGCTTCATTTAAGAAGATGGCTGGAGGAAGTGTGGCCAATACAGTTCGAGGCTTGAGTGTTGGGTTCGGCGTAGCCACGGGGATAATCGGGGCTTATGGAGACGATGAGCAAGGCCAGCTATTCGTCAGCAATATGGGTTTCAGTGGTGTCAGTATCTCACGGTTGAGGAAGAAGAATGGCTCCACTGCTCAGGTATTATGCCCAGCTGTTGAAATTGAGCTTCTTCCTTCTTCTTTTAGTGGAAAGAGTTGGTTTTGATCTTCTTGAAATGGTGTTGTTTCTTTTAGTGTGTTTGCTTGGTTGATGACTCTGGTAATCGAACAATGCGACCATGTCTTTCGAGTGCTGTGAAGATTCAGGTTTGTCTATTCTGTTTTGGGGGATTTATAGTTATAGTGAAGTTGGTTTGTCAGTAAAAAAGGATTGTAAAAGCTAATTCTCTTTCAGGCGGATGAATTAAACAAAGAAGATTTCGCAGGCTCAAAGGTTAAAGCCTAGCTCCTCTAATCTCTCTTTGCCATTCAGAAGAACTGTAAGTTTATGGAAATTTGTTCAGACAACGTTGTTGATGGTCTTTCTCTGTCACAGTGGTTGGTCCTAAGATATGCAGTTCTTAATTTAGAAGTAATTCAAGCAGCCATTCGACTTGCCAAGCAAGAAGGTCTCTCTGTTTCGTTGGATTTAGCTAGTTTTGAGGTATATCTTTGGAGAAACCAGGGAATAAAAGATATTTTTTTGTTGTTGTAAATCTTCAGTATTTATGTCTTAACAAACTGTTTATTTTACCTAAAAAATCATTTGTGGAACTAGATGGTCCGGAATTATAGATCAGAGCTTCTACAGCTACTGGAGTCTGGTAACATAGATCTTTGCTTTGCTAACGAGGATGAAGCAGCAGAGCTGCTAAGGTAATTAATGTTTCTATGTCCACTGCAAAGATCTGCTCAGGTCTTTTTTAACCCTGTCTCTTCCATGAAATGCTCTTCCATGTTGTGAGTTTCAGGGGTGAGCAAGAAGCGGGCCCGGAGGCTGCTCTTGAATTCCTAAGCAGACATTGCAAATGGGCTGTGGTAACTTTAGCTTCTAAAGGGTGCATTGCAAAACATGATAAAGAGGTTTGTCTTCTCAATCAAACTCGGCAGCTTATGAAGTAGCTTCATGTTTCACTAATCCTTAACTCTTTTTGCCCGTTTCTGTGGAAAATTCTGCCATTAGGAATCTGTAAATACATTTTACTGTTTAATATCTCACTTTACTTGTTGGATTCTGGCTGTAAAGGACCATATCGAATTAGTGTTCTCATCTCCTAACTTGAACAGGTGGTACAAGTATCGGCCATAGGAGAGACAGTAGCAACTGATGCGACCGGAGCGGGTGACCTATTCGCAAGCGGGTTTCTGTATGGATTAATTAAGGGGTTGTCTTTGGAAGAATGTTGCAAAGTGGGATCATGCAGTGGCGGTTCGGTCATCCGTGCTCTCGGAGGAGAAGTAACCCCAGAAAACTGGCAATGGATGCACAAACAGTTGCAGCTGAAGGACTTGCCTGTCCCTGATATTCGCAACTAATGATAACCTGCGCAGATTCTGGATGTCATTTAGCTTCAAATTTCAAGCGATTGCCTTAAAGAGCCGTTTCGTATTTGAGCTGCTATTAAGCTTTATGAATTCACAGAGAATCTTGAAGCATTTTCTTAAAGCAAGTGCTTTTGTATCTGTACCGAAGTGTCACTTAAATTGAAACCTTGGCAGTCAATTTCCAATCAAAGAATAGAGCTTTTGCTAGTCATATTGCATTTTATGAAGTTTTAGCAATCATTAGTGGAAGATAATGTTGTTCTGCTGAAGTATATAAACAGTTTCTTAGTATTATTTAGTGTGAAAACCCAACCACAAAAGGGAAACTTTTATTAGTGAAAACCAAGAAGCTTTAAAAGGTTACGGTTTTTCCATATTAACTATAACTTTTGCAACAAGACAACACAGTGACCAGTCCACTTGATGAAGATTTAGACAGCTCTTGAAGAGTAGGCTTGCTTCAGCAATTGAAGTAGCAGAAACATGCGAAGCCCGGGAACTGAGCGTGGCAAGCTCCGTGCGAAGCACGTTCCCATCTCTTGCACTGACTGTCACAGCCGCGAGTGTTGGCACAAATCCCTGTCCATGTCTTGCTTCGCCTCTGGCAAATTTTTCCTTCCACCATCATCATCTCTGCAAAATCCTCCAAACACAAGATATCAAATACGTAAAAAGATATATAAGAGAAACCAGTAGAGTTGAAGAAACTTAAGATGGTGCGATCATACCAGTGGAAGCGATGAGGAAAATGGAGAGGCAAAGGAAGAGGATAAGTGTGTAAGAAGAAGCCATGGCTTTTTGTTATATGGTAATTGTCACTAGCTGAAAGCTAGCTCTTTGTATATATATAGGAAAAAGGCTTAATTTTGGATTTTGAAACTAATCACTCCCTTGAGCTGTCTTTGTGTTTAGTGTAGTGTGAACAGGCAGAAACTATACAGCCTAGTGTTTATCCGAACTCTATCCATATAACAGAAGTTTTGACTATAGACTTTGTGATCCACTTGTCCATAAAAGAAGACTTTGTGATCCGAGTTTTTGACGTCTAATTTGCTCGGACATGTTATAATCGTTATACACATATGTATGTAAAATAAAATAAAATTTGTATGTATGTTTGCGTTAAGAAGATACAATTTTCAATTTATAAAATACTAAAAAACGTAAATGTGATACTTTTATTTAAATTTTTGTTATTTGCCTATATGTTTATATACTAGCTTTTTGTGTCAAGTTTTGTTTATATAAATACATTAAAGACTGTATTTTTGTTATAAGAAATTAAACGCAACGATATACATCAATGTAGACACAAACCACAACAAACTGTTGAAACGAAAGTGCACGGTGGTCAAACAAGGACTGGTATTTGGCCAAGCATTAAATCGACCACATCTAATTAATTACGTCATTTTATTTGTCAACGTCTAAGTATTTGCTTCATTGCTTGGCATTGTCGCCTAGTTGGAATATATACAGAACATAAAATTGGTATGATTACGACAGAGATTGTTTTGACCGCGAGTCGCGACCACAGAATCGGACAGTGTTTGGATCTGCTGCACATTTATAACCTGTCTGTAATTTCTTCTAAGCCACTTGACGGCGCGTGACTTACAAGTGGAATAATAGGCTTTATAGTTTTGTATATATGCTGACCAAGATAATTAATTACTGTTCTTCAACTATATATGCTATAGATATCATGTAATTAGAGATCATGTTATTAGTTTATAGAAATTTTAAACTATAATCCATTATTACTTGACGAAGAAGAAAGGGTATTTAACTTCAGGGAAAGATTCCAAAAACTGTTAATATACCATTGGGTCTTTTCGTATTGAAAAACTTGCTATATCTATCATTGAAATATTCTGAAACATACGTGTACATATGTATAAGTACCATTTCTCTTCTCTTACAAACAAAATGGAAAACTTATAATTTTAGTACTGAAAACCAAATATCAAGAAATATCAATAAAGGCCTTTTAACCAAAAAAAAAAAAAATGTCAATAATATAGTTTGGAGGAGTAATTTCCAGCAATCTAAAATATATATTTTTCATTGAACTAAAAATAGTTTTTTTTTTCTAACAATGATGTGTTTTGTTTAATTTCTTAATACGTGTTCTTAAAAAAAAAGTTTAACTGAGACATTATTGGTCCAATGTTCATAATAATATACGATGAGGCGAAGCAAAAATTATTAAAGTAGCATTATGCAATCATATTAATTTATATTTAAGGCTCTATATAAAAGGACCACTCTAGTCTCTCTAATGATCGTATCCGTACATGTCTCACTTTAGTGTACATATGTATCTCTTTTCTCAAACCGAATAAATTTTTTCTCCCCCATATATAGAAATAAAAAAAACTTTCCTTCATTATTCCCCCAACTTTCCACTTCAAGTTTCCAAGAAAATTTATCAAATATCCTCACTTTCCCGTTTCATTTTCCCGGAAAATCTACCCTAGATTTCTTTTCATATATATACACACATTAACACACCATGATCAAGCTCAAAACTTCTGTATACGAAAAAAAGATGGAGGCAGAGAGAGACGAGGGTAACAATCCTTCACCCTTCTGGAACATTGCACGCATCGGCGGAACCGGAGTCGTCCTAGCTCTCGGTTTCTTGAGCTTTCCGGCGATTATTAGCTCAGTGCAACCGGTTATCGATTGGTTGAATTGGTTTATTTATGTCGTAGCTTGTATATTCGGTTTCGTCTCCATTAGCACCTTCGTCGCCTGGATTTACTTTGCAAATCACAAACCCACCGAGAAAGAGAAGAAACGTGATCTCTACGATGACTATTTCCCCGCCGCCCCCACCGTGGTTCATCGACCGGCGATGGGATATTACGACGTGGCGGAGGCTAGAGATTATAACAATGGTGGTGGAAGTTATAATAAGGAGGTGGTAGAGGCGTTTGAGCAGGTGGAGACGTATAAGGCGGTTAAGGAGAGCAACTGTTATGGCCGAGTGGAAGTGGAGGAGGTGAATTCGAGGAGCTACAGGAGGACGAGGTCGAGTGTGGAGAAGAAGATGGAGAAGAAGGCGAGGGTTGTGGAGTATCGGAGGGCGGAGTCGGAGAGAGCGGCGAGAACAGGCTCGCGGAGGTCGCAGCAGCCGAAGATTGATGAGCTGAGCAGCGAGGACTTTCGCGCGACGGTGGAGTCTTTTATCATGGAGAAGAAGATGTTTCTTCAGTGGCAAAACGGCGCCGCTGATCCTGCGCAAAACGGCGCACCTCAGCTGCAAAACGGCGTCGCTGGTCACTGGCAAAACGGCGCACCTCAGCTGCAAAACGGTGATTACTGGCAAAACGGCGTGCCTCAGTTGCAAAACGGTGATTACTGGCAAAACGGCGTGCCTCAGTTACAAAACGGTGATTACTGGCAAAACGGCGTACCTCAGTTAGAAAACGGCGTCGACCAGTGGCAAAACGGTGTCGGTCAGTGGCAAGGACAGCCATATGACGATGGCCGTCATCATCATGGTAATCGTAGGCTTGTGGGTGGCTCTGGCCCTAATGGTTCTGGTCCGTACCTAGCTATTTCTAATTAGATTAGGCTAATATGTATAAATATCAAATTTATTTCTGCATTTGATTTTATTTATTAGATTACATCGTTAGAAAAATTAAGGATTTTTTTGTGGCTTTAAGTATGTTTTTAATCTTAACTTCGGCCGAATTTTTTTTACAGTCAATGTTGTGTCTTAATACTATAGATGAGGCTATTAATTTGTGTCACATGAAAGGGTGCAAAGTTGTTATTAACTAGTTAGGTTCCAAATGGTTTAATAGTTTAATGAAAACATTAGATTCATAGATAAGAAGAGAATCTTTTATAACCAAGAGAGAATACTAAAACAGCATTTATAGAGTTGTAGACTCATTAGCACGTCTGTTCCTTCTAATCTAGTTATTGATTACTAATATTTTTCCCCCAAAATACGAAGTTAGTAGGTCCTGTTCTTATCCACACTCTGTTGGTTCTATAATTAATTAGCACCAAGTCACCAACATTTTTACTTTTTCGTTCTCTATTATAGTTTTCATAAGCATATGAGTCCACGTCCTCGCAATGAGATGAGAAATACTCCGACACATTTGTCATTCACAACCTAAGACGATAGGAAAATTAGTATAATAGTATCGTTTTGGGAAGAAAGTGATGCTCTGGTGAGAGCCCACATAAGAGAATCTTAAGAGGATATAAAAGTTGTAATTAAAATTTATATAGTAATGGTACAAAGAAGATATACAAATCCATATTCACAAGCTGACATGAGAACACAACGCTGCTTGCTCCTAGGATCCACAACCTGTCTGATCTTCTTTAATCAAACTTTTGTTCTGTCCATGACACATAAACTGGTCGTGCTTAAGAATTTAACTATAAACTAATCATATTTTTGGCCAACATTATCCACTTGCACAACCATTTTTCTATAACAGATATAATACTATTATTGTACCATAAACATGAAGCACACTAAATATCCTTTCTTGGAGCCATTCCTTAGCATCAAAGGTATTGAGAATAAACCGAAATTTGGGTTATATTGAACCGAAAGTGTTACAGTCGTGTATGGTCGTATAATTAATTGTTATAGTATAATTGATTTTTACTAGAAGCAGTTTTAGCAAGATAGAAAAAAAAATCCGCTTGTCAAACAAACTATACTAAGGGATCTCTAGTTGAAAAATCGGTGAAATCAACCAGCTCAACTAAAGACGACCAATAAACAACCTTAGAAGTTATAACCATTATGGTGCTAACGACACTGTTTTATGAAGGGATGTTAATGATGTGTCCACAAAACACTAATTACAAAGAGGAAACTTCGTCTGTCTTTCTTGTTATAGTATTTGAGTATATGACATTAATTCAAAATAATACATTTTGGATATGAAACATCGTATCTATAGGAACGCTTGTTGAGTATATATTTTGAAAATTATGTATTTACAATCTAGGTGTCACGCGAATCGGATATCCACTCTTCAATCTTGCAAACAATGTCCACTTCTCGATGCTTGGATCTCCATCTACCACCTCCCATCTTCATTTTTATTTTATTTTTATCACAATTAATGAAAAATTATATAACTAAATTGTTCAGTTACTTGTGATTATACAGAAATAATTGTACAAACCTGTAAGTGGTTATGAAACGGTGAAGAAAGACTAACATCATGGATTTGGCCATTACAAGTCCAAGACATGTTCTTCCTCCCATCCCAAATGCCAAGAAACTGTTTGGTTTCGCCTCCTCCTTAATTTAAATTGTTATTTTTTGTTTAGTATATTTTACATTATTATCATTAAGTAAAAACAGAATCATTTGAACTATGAAAATGAGGTTGTAAGAAAAACTGTAAACATATATATACGTTTCTCTGAAGATTATCCTGTACTTTCTTTTTTATTTTTTATTATTATTATTTTTTTTTGTAAAAGAAGATTATCCTGTACTTACGTCAAACCTTGAAGGGTTGAATTTGTTAGGTTCATCAAATACATTAGGATCAAGATGGATAGATCGTGCATCGATATTTATATTCCACCCTTTTTTAATCTTGTATCCTTTCACATGAGAAAAAAATGTACTTAAGTCAGAGATGATTTATTTAAGCAAATAACATTAGAATTCGAGTATTTTTCAAGATGAGTAAAGTAAACCTTCCATTTCACAGTCTTGAAGTACTAATCTTGGGAACCAAGGCACAACAGAAGCCATTCTTAGAGATTCTTTCACCATCTAATTCCATACATTATATATGTAATTAAAAATTAATTCATATAAAAACGTTAAAACGTCGATATATATTACCTTCGAGGCATATGGCATCTCACTGAGGTCTTCTAGCAAAAGAAATGGTTTGTCTGATGCCTTCTTCGCAATCTGAGATTGTTCTTCCTGTTGATCGACCAAGAAAATGACTTGTCTAAAAAACAAAATCCTTTAAATTTGTCCTTACTGTTTTTCTTTTTTGGTTCAAGAAATTGTCCAAGATTGCATGTTAAGGTATGTATCTATATACTCACAAGAGAAACTTACAATAAGAATATCCAAAACCTTCTGATTCTCACCGAGGTACTTAATCATCCATGTTAGAGCACTAGCCGTCGTGTCTTGCCCTGCATTTTTTTATATTTATATAAAACCTAATTTCTATTGTAATGTTCTTTATATTTCGTCACTGATAAGCTGGTCCAAAAATGATGGGTATTAAAATAACATAAAAGGGACCTGCGATGATCATGGTCAAAATATTGTCCTTAATCTCAGCATCAGTCAACTTAGTAGACTGATCAGAGGACAAAGAAGAAGTGTCGTTATCTACTGCGAGAAGCTGCTGCAGAAAATCTTCATGATGACCATTTGTTTCATTTCTCCTTTCTCTAATTATCTTTTCTATCATCTCCATTACTCTTTCTCTTGCCTACATAATTTATTACACTTCTCTTGTTAAGTAAAAAAGAATCTAACCAAATTATTATCAGTTCTAGATTGTATAATACAATATTTCAATGAATAATATGGTTGAAAATTACCATGATGCCCTTGTGAAATCTAGTCCAAGGCAAATTGAGAGGGAAAGCGAGCATGGCTTCACAAACAAAGCCCACATCTTTTTGTAATGAACCCAATTCTTCTTCGTCTTCTAGACTTATTAACATCTTACACATTGCTTTGAATGTTATCTGCACACCATCACCATATTAGTGAGTCATATACATGAAAATTTAAAATAATAATAACTATGGGGGTGATTGGTTGTTGCTCTAGCTTTTTTTTTTTTCTGTAGAGTTTTTGCTTTATGTTTTATGGATGTGGCTGTGAAATTGTTGCTTTAGGATATTAACTGCAGGATTTTAGTAAAAAAAGAAATAGATAAATATGGAAAATAATAATAAGGAAAAAAGTAAAAAAAAAACAATATATTTGGAAAGAATCAAAGAGAGAGAAAAAAGAAATTCAGAGCCTTTAAAATTATGCTCTAGAAATTTTGCTCTGCAAAACTAAAAAAGGAAGGAAAAATAAAAGAAATGAAAGAAGGCTGTAGGTTTAAAAAAAAAGTATAAAGCATGTTTGATGATCTATTTGGCCTTAGAATTTTTTTTTGCTCTCTACAGCTTCTACAGCCACAACCAATCACCCCCTATAAGATTTGCCTATGCAAGAAAAGAAATTGAATGAAAGTTTTAGTCAAGTTTTGACATGACTAAAGTAAATTTTCATAGTCCTAACTCAAATCATTTATATACTATGGGCCGAAACTTATCTCATTAAGGAAAGAAGTTTTACTTAGGCCCAATACTATTCAGCCCATTATGTAACGTGTGAAACAAACCTGGAGCAATTCTGTGAGCAAGACAACTGTACCACGATGTTCCCATCCACAAAGAGCGTCCACGACAAGTTCATCAAAGTGTCTAACCATCAGAGCCGTCGATCGTTTGGAGAACAAGTTGATCAAATGGCTACGGAGTAACTTGTGATGGTGTTGAGAAGCACATAGAAGGCTCCGATCACCTACAAGCTCGGCTATGGACTTTATGTACCGTTTCGTGAACATCCCTGACTCGTTGTTCAGAACCGCACGAGCAGACTCAGTCGTCGACAGGAACACGTGCGTCTCTCCGAACAAACTTGTCCTAAAGCAACTTCCGTATCTGTATGTAATAAACGAATACATATTGTTACGTATAAAATAAATACAAAAGACTATAATGATCGAAAAACCTTCTAGATGGTCCAGAGGCTTCTTCTATTACTTGATACGGCGAGTACGCACGAATTCGTAGAAGCCTTTGCCGCTGTTAACGGAAAGCATGAACTGAAGTGTTTCTCCGATCACCGGAAAACCATGGCTTCCCGGAGGGATAACAGCCGTTGATTTCTTTCGATCTTGGCTCATGACTTTGAGTATTTTTCGGAGTGTTAGTATCACAGCACAGAGGAGAAGAGCTACGAAAGCAGACATGCAAAAAATGTCCATCTAATTTTGTTTTCAAAGTTTCTTTTACCGTACGAAAGAGGAAGGTAGCTTAATTATGAATCGTTTAGTAAATAATTTTGGGATGAGCTTGTTAATCTCTAGATATATAGGGGGATATTTTTGTATCGAGTGAGTGGGGGTGTTGATCTTTTCTTTTCTCCTCATGATGTTTCTTGAGACTAATTATATCGATTGACTTTTAAAATTGTTATGTATGGTTGTGTACTTGTGTATAAATCGGTATATACATGTAAATCAATTGAGAGGCTGTGAAGAAAGTATACTAATAAATAACGTAAATTTGGTGCAAACATTTTCTTGATATATGAAAGATTAGCGCGATACTAATTCATATCAGAAGACAGAAGCTAAACGCCTACACAAACCATTCGGAACTTTGGTGTCTTTCTAATCTACGTATAGAAGTTATCAAAGGCTCGATATCTAGTTTCAAATATATATCGAGTGGCTTTTTGACTACTTAACAACTCAAATAAAAACAAATTGTAAGTTTGTAACTACCGTTTGAGAGTTTAAGCCAACGGTATTGACGTATTGTGCAACTAATCACGACTCTTGGCAAAATAAGAATAAATCATGAGCATGTGGGAAACGTTTCAACGGCTATAAATTAACGTTTTATTTCTTACATGATCACTGAGCTTTTTTCTCTCTGGTTATATAATTGTTTTGGTCATGGGAGGTGACGTGATGCGCTGAAAGTTGAAACAAAATGAAAAAGAACACTCGAAATAGAATAAAAGCATAGACTGGGAGACACGTGGACGGTAGAGAGTGGCTGTTGGGGTATTGCACTACATTCTCACGAGTGGCCATGATTAACTAGTTTTCCACTTGTTGAGGCACAACTCCTAATAAGTGGCAAGTAAAGTGATAGTCACTTTTAACAACTCTCACTCCCAAAAGATATAAAAAAATTGTTTAGATTGAATTTTACGTTTTTTAGTTATGGTAGCTGATTCAATGTATGCATGTAAAATACAAGAGATAGAGACAAAACAAAACAAAAAATATTAAATTTTACATTAGTGTACATACCAATTATTGGAAAAATAAACGGTAATTGCTCTATAATTAGATTGAGTGTCAATTAATTATAAACAACCTACTACTACAATCTTCATTGTTTTTCACTTTTTCTAACTAGCATATGTAAAGTTACTTTATATCTTCCGTAAAAGCACACATTTTCCTTTTTATTTTATGTCGAAGCATGTAACATTACATATACTTCATTTATTAGGAAAGTACCATATCATGTCATTGTAGGTCCAAATGACATGTACATAAGCATGGGTTAGTTATAACACGATCAACCCATTTTAACGAGCGATAAAATAACACTAGCGTATCGGGGGGAGCTGACATAAGAGTACTCTCCCACGATATTTGCATACCTTTCAAAAAGCTCGTCCATCACATTTTGGCCGAATATAGGTTCTAGCATCGGCTCGACCACGGCTCGTATGGTCTTAGCTACTCTTCGTCCACTGGCTACTGCTTCGGGTTTGGAACGCACTAGGTCATAACTCTCATCGCTGATACTCCCACCTTCCCAATCAATCGGACTTATCTCAAGCCTATCGATCGAAAAGGACCCTTCTTTCTCTATCGCCATTTTCAGCTCTTCCGAACTCGCAGCATAGTAAGGAGCATTGAAAGCATCGATCTTCTCTTCTTCGATGATACCCTTTAGATGAAAAATGTAAGAAAGCACCTTTTTAGTATGGCTTAATGAGTGTTCTAGACTATCTGTTGCTTACTCATAATCTTATTGTTGGGCTCTATTAATCCGATATAGCGATTTTAAGTTAAAAATTCGATCGGCACTATCAAAATTGTCCATATTGCATCAAGTTATTTTTATATTATATGTATCAATTTGAGAAAGCTCAACAAATTTGGAAAAGAACACGTGGGCCACATTCAATACGAGTAGCCTAGTAGGACTTAATTGGTCAAGTAACGTGCCACTGTCAGATCCATATAGAGTAACAATGGCCATATATAACCCTAAGAGACTCCATGTTGGTTCATATTTAAGGTAAACATATATATACAATACAACACCATACCTCATTGGCCATGGACATAAGAGCTTGAGCTAGGAGTTCCCATTGATAACAACTCTCTTCGGTTGTAGGATCCGCTGTGTTTCTACCGAGGAATGATAAAACCATTCGGCCTCCAGGGACCAACTCCTCAGAACGTGATCTCAGAAAAACTGAGAAATCGGTTTGGAATTGAAGAGCATAGGCTTTATGTGCACACTTAGGACTTGTCTTTGATATGTATATTTTCCCTCTGTTGTCAAAATCACTTGTTCCATCTTCCTTCTCCACCTCACCGCATGGAACCTTAAATTTGGATGATAATTAATCTGTTTGCATGTACTATCCTCCATACAATGTGTGATATTTTGATTAAAGAAAAAATCTTATGTGGACCACATTCGTAGTTTCTTGTGTGTGTGTCTCTGTGTGATGTGTGAACCACTAGGTTTTCTGTTTCCTTTTTCTCGTTTTTGTTTCTCGAATAAGATAGATTCACACGCACTATAATTTCGGTTAATAAAAGGTATATTACTTACTGGCGTAATTTTTTCACGGTACTCTATCATGCAAATATTAAATACTTTTTAACGATAGAGAACTTTATATCTTAGAACTTTCTACATTTTTTATTAAAGTAAACTCATAGTAGTATATTAAATTTGATAACTCATTTTTTAGAACGGTAGTTGGCAATAAAGGCTACTATTCTAAAAAATAATTATGTTTGTAAATATTTTACATTAACAAGTGAAATTCCCCATAGAGAAATAGAAAACACACCTGAGCCAACCAATGTAAACCAGAAGAAGAATGAACAAAGTGAAGGCTCCGGCGAGGAAACAAACGTCCATAGAAGGAGCCAGGGACCGCCGACACAAAACACGATCCGCGACCAAACCCTAAACCTTCCTTGCTATTGTTGTCTCTCTTATTAAGCCGGTCGTAAAACTCCGGAAACGAAGCAAATATGGAGTTGAAGTCATTGCTAGGGAGGTCATTGAGAGAGATTCTGAGTTCAGGGTCCGGGCGGTCGAGGTCAGGACACAAGTTGTGGATTGTGTCGATGATGTTGGAGACGGACAAGAGACTATTGGGACCAGAGGAGCAACCTAGGTCGGCGATTCCAATGCTCGAAATTTCTGAATTGCTCAGCATTAGCTTCTTCAAGGCATCATCCATTACTCTTCTGCCTAGAGATATTATGTTGCTCTGCAAGATCACATAAACATATTAATACACACTTGTCATCTTATTTTGTAGGTCTATAACCAAAATACATATATATGAGATATGTTTTGTTTTACTATTATGAATAATGTTTTTGATATGAAAATTCAACCTGAATGATGGAGTTCTTGGCATAACTTGTTTCACCATTTCCTTTGTTCATGTGAAGAACTCGCATTACTTCCATTGATCTTTTTCTTTCTCTCTCTCTCTATGTCTCTGTCTGAGGCAGAAGGTTAGTGAAGATAACAAGTGATGTTGGGTCTATATATATAAGGAAACAGACAAACTGTGGTAAGAGCGCAATTCTATGACAGCCACTTGCATGTTATGTAGGATGAGCTTATCTCTCCATACAATACGGTCTCTTCTACGAGTATCCTATATATTAACGACTAAGTTAAACCGTATCCACACACAGTTAGTTCAATCCGGTTGAAAGAGAATTATTAGTATATTCTATGGTTGATAAAAAAACAAAAAAAATCCATTTGTCTAGTTTTAGGTTTTGCGAGATTTATGTATAAAAAATCCAGAGTTCTGTGATTTAAAAAATAATAATTAAAAGGAAAAATCTAATTAATAGTAGACTAATAGTCAATCTCGTGTTATTTAGGGTAGAAGATAGTTTCTTATTAATTAAACCACATGTCTTTCGGAGAAACACATCGGAAAAATATCATACACATTTTTAAGGGTAATCCGTAGAAAGGGAAGCAGATAATTAGAATCAATGGCTAAGCAATGGTCGTGGAAAAAATCGGTATACTTAGTCTGGGACGACTATAGACTATAGTATTTGTTCTTCTCCTAACTGATTGATGATAATAATTAGGGGATCGATTCTTTGTCTGTGTGAATCTTTCTACAGTAACGTAAAAGTGTTATACGTACTATTTGGTTTCTCTAGGATATGGATATTGTGATTACGATAAACTAATGATTTTTTATATTAATGGTAGATCTAATTACGGTAAGTAGTTAACATCCAATTTCCATTTAGGATAATTTTCATTGACAGTTGGCACTTATACGAGGCTTGTTATATAACTCAAACTCTCACACTTTTGTTGTTTTTTGAACTTTTTAGGACAAAATTCAAAACAGATTATAGAATTTCAACTAATTTAACAAGCAGAAAATTATAAACTACAAACTTTTCTTGGTGATTTCCTAACTAATGAAGGATTCGCGTTAATCGACATGTCAACTTCTATTTACGTAGTTAACACTAATACAAGGTTTGTTACATTTAAACTCATAGTCTTAGTTACACGACTCTGTTAAGAAAAAGTTTGTATTCCCTTTAAGGATAAAAAAAAGTTTGTATGCCCTTTAAGGATAAAAAAAAGTTTGTATTCCACACCCTTTCTCAAAAAAAAAAAAAAAAAAAAAAGGTCAGAACCAATAATGGTGGTTTTTCGATTGACTGTAAACAGATAACAGATTCTAAGTTTCTAAGTGATGTGTCCAATAATTTGTCTTAATCGATAGCGTCCTAGTATGTTAAACCTTATATTATTAGATAGGTTAATTTGTTGTCTTCTCGAGTTTTTAAGGTAGGCGGAAAGAAAAACAAATTAGGTCACTTGTGTGTTGTATTGTCTGAGCAACAATATGGTCCCATATACGTGTATTTTTTTTCTTTCTAGCATCATCATCGCATGGCCCCTTATTATTTTTTATAATAATAGTTATAAGTTTTAAACTTTTAATAATATGTCACCACATACGAGTTGGCGACCTACTTTTATAAGAATCTGCTTGATGAACACAAGACAGAGGCCCCAACTCAGAGAACCACTTAGAGAATATGAGGTCAATTATAGGCATATAAAGGTCTCAAAATCGAAAGAACTATAGACCGAATAAAGATCCGAAGTAATTAAAATATATAGGATTTGACTTATTTTCGCTTGGACCACGGCATATCATTCGTGGAACATATGTTATGAGAACACACTATTTTGTCACGTTTTTATTTCTGTTCCACTGTAGACAGACGGTCTATGCCTCTATGGTATTGTTATAATGGTATCTAACAACAAATTTATAAAGTATCAAAACTAAAAAGGAATAACTATTTCATTTATTTCGGTATTTCTTTCTTGCAAGCTAAATATCAAGCCACACCTTATCCGTCATTATATATATGTAATGTAATAAGTAATAAGTAATAAGTAATAAGTAATAAGTAATAAGTAATAACATGTGGTGTTTGCTGCCATGTAAATTTCCGACGCGAATATATAGCCAAATGAGGTTAGTCGTTTCACGTGAACATTCTGCTTCACCTTCTGACAGTGAGCCTCTTTTCTCTTTATATAAAAATTGGTTTGTTAAAGTAAATGGGATTGTGGAAGCTCCTTAGCCTAGTGGTCAAAGGGATTTAATGCATCAGCAGTTTGGCTGCTACTGATGTTCGAGGTGATCTGATCCGATGGGATCGAGTTTTGGGAGTTAGATCCCTGGGTTTGCGACCGGATAGTATCCATTTTCGCTCTTACCTGGCTTAGGTTCGACCCTTGTGTAAGAAAATCTATGTTTCCTCCCCACAGTCGGCGCCAAAATGTGGGCTATGAAAACCACACTCGAAATTTATAGGTTTTGCAAGGAAGAAACTTAGGGAGATTTAGGGCTAGATTTTGATGTAAGTCGAATGAATCGTAAGCAAGGATTTGGCTAAACGGAATTGTATTAAACGAATGAATGGTTACAATGAATTCTCAGAAGAGAGAAAGAACTAAGCTCAAAGGAAAATACAAGGAAAGTATGATAGTAATTAGGTCTAAATGATCGGAAGAAGATCTGTCTTGATCCGACTGCTGTCAAGCTCCTTTTATAGCTCCAGAATCAGCTACGATCCACCTCCGCGTATCTCGCCACGTGCAGCTAACGATCCCGGTGATCTCGGACCAGACCGGATTTGAAGGAGATCTTCTTTGACTTCGTCTTTCTTCGCAGTGCCGACCTGGTCCTTGATCGAGCTGGAGCTCGTCTTTACGTCGACCGGAATAGCTCGGATGGCAGTTAACTGGCTTACGAGGGAGTCGCTTGGTGGGCTCGAGGTCTTCTTGCTGGGCTTGAGTGGGCCTGGACTTCAATCTTGGATCAAGGTAATGGGCCCTTACGGGCTAGATTCCAGGTGTGGAATCTGGGTCCAACAATTGCCCCCCAGCCCTTTTAAGTGAGTTTCGAACTTAAAACGGGCGGTTTGTTTTAATTTCAAAAATTCAAACTTTTGCCGGGCTAATTCGAATTCCTCGATTCGGGGTATATTCGAGCTTATCCGCAAATGGTTTGAACGGGGTAAAAGATCGCGGGGATCTCGTCGTTGGAAATTGCCTTAGGCATTAAATTTTTCTTTTCTTCGAGGTGAAGATAAGATCTGGCCGTTGAAACGAGGTGAACGGTCGAGATCGCGAACGAATCTTGTCAACTCGCTGCAATCTCGCTACCCGAGCTCCTCGAGAACGGATATCGCGTGTTACCGAGATTCGAAATGATTATGTTTTCGAATCGGACGGTTCAGATTGAGGAGAGCGAAGAGCCCGTGCGGCTGAGATCTGTTGGGACCCACAGCGCGTCACATCATCAGCTCGTCGCATGCAAGCGGTTAAGATCTGTGAGTTGTACGGTCGAGATTCACGCAGAAAAATCGGATTCTTTGCGATCTCTTCAGCAGTTAATACTGAATATAAACTCGACCCACTACTCTTCTCTTTAACCGTGCCCACGTTTTTGAAAAGGTAACTTCTCCTCTCTCTTTTACTTATTTATTTGCTCTCAATTTTAGATTAGATAACTCCAAGTTCTTGAAAATTATCGAACCTTTGCAAAATTTCGAGCGTTTTAGGTTGTTTCGATTTCGAATTTCTCCAAAACCTCCTTCAACCTCTTTTTCCTCCGTCTCCTCCTCCGATTACAATGCCTCCGAAGAATCGTCAAGCAAGAGAAGGGAAAGGCCGTCGACCTCGGTGGCGACGGGAAGTTTACGCCGCACGCCGAGACGCGCTCGACGCCGAAAGCCTAGACACCTTCCGTCAGGATTTCGGGATCCCGGACGAGATCGAGCTCGTCTGCCGGCTGAGGGCGAGGACCCGGAACATGTTCGTCCGGGGTTTTGCTGCGCCTACACATCGTATTGGCGGAGCGCCGGGATGATTTTCCCGGTCCCTCGTTTTCTGATGGAAGCGCTCGCTCATTACAAGATGGCGTTTCCACAGATGCACCCGAGCTTCGTCCGCCACGTGATAGGATGTGCGGTTCGAGCTCGGGAAGAGGGCGTCTCGTTCGGTGTTCGAGATTGAGAAAGCTTTTCTCGGTGAAGAACAACACCAGGCTACCCGGGTCGTTTTACTCCTCGCCGAGGCCGAATCGGCGAATATTCACGAACACCCCGCAGAGGGATAGCGGGTGGAGTGACGAGATGTTCTTCTTCCGGGTCAGCGAGGCCACGATGGGCGACTTCGACTTTGGTCGAATCCGAACGGAGTGGGCGACTAGCGTTGGTTAGCTTAGGCCGATTTCCGTTTAGGATAGCGATACCTCGCTTGACTTATGGAATACCTCGTTTATTGATGATTTTTTTTGTCTTTTGCAGTTGTAGATCCAGTACCGAACAACCCGGGGATTGATTACCTCGTCGAGCGACTCGGAAGGGAAAAGGTGAACTGGAGTACTTTTACTCCGGAACGGATCCGTCGAGTTCTCAGCTCTCCTCCTGCTCCTCCTCCAGGTAATAATCTCCCTTGACCAGCTAGAAATTCATTTTACGAACTCTTTGTAACGAGCTGTTTACATAAATTTTCCAGCTGATCTTCCGGTTAGATCGGCGCAAGATTCTAGCTCCGCTTCTTCTGTTCCTCCTCTCTCACGCAGATCGAAAATGCCTCGTCGTCAGCCTCTCAGATCCCGGACCGCAAAGGGTGCCAAAGGCGCTTCCTCGGGTGGAAGTCGAGTTCGTGCCGGCGAGTTCGTAACGGCGGTGGAGGAGGCTATGGCTTCGAAGCCCACGGCGGGGTCTTCTGCCCTTGCCGACCAGGTGGTTGACCAGGTCGACGCGACCGCTGAAGGAGAGATCGTTCCTCTCCCGAGTACGGTTCATGTGAGCTCCGATCGGACTCGGAGTTCGGATCAAGGTCACTCGAGGCAGGCGTCGAAGCGAGCTCGGAGTGACGATGGGAGAGCTCGTTCTCGCGAGGGCGGTCCGACTGCCTCGAACGGGAGCGGGGGAAAGCCGCCGTTTTACTGGCAGTACGAGAATTCCAGAGGCTTCCCCGTTCAGGACGACGAGGAGGGAACAGCTCGCATTCAGCTCCACTTCAAGCCCGTCGGATGCCGGCTCCCGTCCCTGAACCAGATGTCTGAGAAGGAGCTCTACATCGCGACGTGCGCTGCGAGCGGGAGGGTAAGAACTGTTTCCCTAGTCAAAACTTTAGACGAGAGTCTTTCTTGTTGTTTTGGCCTTGGTTGAATTTTTTGTTTTTGTTAGGCTGTGGCAGCTCGTAACATGTTGGTGTCCCGCCTGGAGTCGAGGATCAGAGATGCGCCTCAGCAGAAAGAGCTCGATCAGGTGAAGGAGCTCGTTGCCAAGTTGACCTCCGATCTCTCTGCGGCGAACGAGCGGGTAGCTCGTCAGGGTGAGCTCTTGAAGAAACACACCTCGCAAGAGGGTCGTGTGAAAGAGCTCGAGACCAGGGAGGCCGATCTCTTGCGCCAGCTGTCCCAGAATCAGGAGCAGATGGCGGCTTTGCAGAAGGAGAGCTCGAGTGCGCTGACGCAGTCGCTTCGCCTTAGCCGGGAGAACCAGGTACTCGTCGCCGAGAAGGACAACATAGCTCGCCGTGCCAACCGCGCAGGTCGGAGGGAGATGGTCGCGAAGCATCGGGAAGTGCTTGAATCGGCTAAGGCAAAGTTCGAGGAGAAGAGGGTGGAGGGTGAGAAGGAGGGCGATCAGATCGAACTCCAGTCCAACATCGATCTCCTTACGTCGCTGATCTCCGGTGCGATCAACCAGGAGGAAGAGCTCGCCAGGTTGAAGGGGCTCGAGATGAGGTGGCCGAAGCAGCCAAGGCGGCCCAAGTCTCCGATTTCTCGATCGGGAAGTTTAACCTTCCCGTGGTTTCGGAGGACTCGGTCGCGCGCATGGAGATCGACCCATCGACGAGCATCCCGGTTGGCTTGAACCCGTTCGGGACGAATGCCGAAGAGAAGGGAAGCAACGAGGAGGAAGAGAAGGAAGATGAAGAGATGACCGTCGAGGACTGAGCTCTTGGTCGACCTCTTTCTATCTCTACTCCTTTTTCAATTTATTTTAAGACTTGGTTGCCCGGCGGGGTTTTTACGCTTTATGTTTCGGATTTGGTGCCTGGGAAGGCTTTTATCCACAAACTCGTTTGCCCGCGGGGGCTTTTAATGTTTTGGCCTTAGGCGTTTTGCCTTAGGCGCTTTTGCTCAAATTGTTTTGCAACTTTCATTTTAGCTCGCGTTTTTCGCCAAAATGTTTTGAGGCTTTTTGACTAAGTGTTTTGGCCGGTCGAGAGACCAGGGCCAAGATGTACTTTAGTCGGAGGTCGAATCGATCCGTTTAGGTTGATTCAACACTTAGAATATTTTTACTAGTTTTGGCCGATCGTGTGTCGAGCTAAACGTAGTTTTAGGTCGAATCGAGTCCGACTCGGGACGATTAGATCGATTCAACACTTAGGCGAATTTTACTAGTTTTGGCTGATCGCGTGGAACGAGCTAAACATAGTTTTAGGTCGAATCAAGTCCAATTCGGGACGATTAGATCGATTCAACACTTAGGCGAATTTTACCGATTTTCGTCGATCGCGGATCGAGCTAAACGTTGTTTATTCTTTTTCGAGCTCTTTGGCGAACTGATGTAGCTCGCGCTTTGCGGAGTTGTTTTCCCGTCTTTCGATCGAGGTGTTTCTTATTCGGCTTTTGGAGATGGAATTTATTACCTTTCGAAGTTCGTCTTGGTTTTGTCGCTTCGCCGATAGTGTTCCGAGCTAATCGTGAACTTTAGGTCCGTCTGGATGGCTCGGCTTCGTGTTAGATTTCGGGCTGTCTCTGGGTCTTCGGTTCTACGATTGCTAGAACACTACGCTGGATGCTTGGACGCTGCGGACTTCGATTGGTTTTTGCGAAGTAAGAAATTGAAGGTAAAGAGGTGGACTCTGAACCTCACTTCGTTCGAAAGGGGAATATCGAGGTGATCTCGATCTTCCGATCTGTTTTGAGACGAGAGAAAGAGCTCGATTTCTTTTCAGGTCACGCAAGATCAGGCGTTTTCGACGTAAATTGATACGCTTAAGTAATTCGGAATTTCTTAAGGACTTGCTGAGTCGATTCGAGCAATTCGTAGTGATAAACATAGAAAACTTTTATTTAAGTATAATATTCGAGATGATACAAATCGAGCCCGTTTTAGGGCCGGCCAATGAGGTCGTCTCAAATAAAACGAAGTAAATTCGGATTGGGGCTGGACTCGTGGTTGAGCTGCCTACGTACCCCCAGGGAAGGAGGATCAAGCCTAAACGTAGTTCGAGGGGTGGAGATACTCTAGATTAGATCCTTTTCAGTGATAGTACCTTTTCAGGTTCATCGCATTCCAAGGTCTTAGTTCAGGTATTCCGTTTCTGACTTTTGTGAGCTTGTAGACGCCATCGCGAACTACTTCGGTAATGAGGTAGGGACCTTCCCAGTTGGTCCCAAGTTTCCCTGCATTGCGCTCTTTGGTATAGTCTTGTACTTTTCTCAGAACCATGTCGCCTATACGAAAGCTCCGGTGTTTAACCTTGGAGTTGTAATAGCGAGCTGCGGCCTGTTGATAGTTTTGTATCCGGATCAGAGCTTGATCTCGACGTTCGTCGATAAGGTCAAGGTGATCTCTCAACATTTCTTCGTTCAGCTCGACGTTCGCTGGACATTGCATCCTGCGAAGACTTGGAACGGAAGTTTCAGTTGGGATGACGGCCTCTAGCCCGTAAGCTAATGAGAACGGGGTCTCATGAGTAGCTTTGTGAGGTGTAGTTCGGCAAGCCCAAAGAACTGCTGCGAGCTCTTCGACCACCTATGTTTACGGGCGTCGAGTCGTTTCTTGAGGTTACTCAAGAGGGTTTTGTTTGTTGCTTCAGCTTGCCCGTTCCCTTGAGGGTAACGAGGTGTGGAATACGTTATGCGTATGTTCCACTTCTTGCAGAAGTCTTTGAATGTTCGAGCTATGAACTGAGATCCGTTATCTGTCACGATCTCGAAAGGGAGCCCGTGTCGACAAATGATGTCTTTCCAGATAAATTTCCGGACCTCGAGTTCGGTCGTTTGTTGGTATGGTTTGGCCTCGATCCATTTAGTGAAGTAGTCAGTAAGGACTAATAGGTATTGGAATTGCTTCGGTCCCGAAGAGACCATAGGTCCTATTATGTCCATAGACCACCTCATAAAAGGATAAGGTGAAGAGATCGATGAGAGTGTTTCAGCTGGGACGTGAATGCTTGGGGCGTGCCTTTGGCATTTGTCACATCGCCTGGAGTACTGTTCGCAGTCTCTGATCATCGTCGGCCAGAAGTAGCCTAGCTTTTTAATCCGTATGACGAGAGCTCGGCCTGCGGAATGACTTCCGCAAGGTCCTTGATGAGTCTCGTGCATTACGGTGTAAGCTTCTTCGCCATGGATGCATGTTAGATATGGTTCGATAAGGCTTCGCTTGTAGAGCTTATCTTCCATCATGCAATAATGTGCGCTTTGGGCTTTTAGCTTGCGAGATGCCCATTTTTCGTTAGGGACGGCTCCGAGCTGGATATACTCGATTATAGGAGTTCTCCAGTCGGGTCTCGCGCGAACTCTTCCTTTAAGGTGAGTTCGTTCGCCATAGCAGATGGGACGGTATGGATCGTGGACTCTTGCGTATTTTGCGAAGAGTCCGAATCGATATACCTTGTTTTTTGCCTATCTTGGTCAGGTTCTTCCTCCTCGGAATCAGGTTCCGGGTTAGATGGTCCCGGATCTTGGGACTGTCTAGTTTGAGAACGAGTAGACGGGCGCGAGGTAATTGCGTTTATACTGTCAGACTTGAGTGCGATGTCGATGCTAGGTTTATCTATGCCTTCGACTGGGATCACACGTCTTACAGTTGGGTCCGAAGTGGAGGCGAGAGCAGCTAAGGCGTCAGCCGAAGTGTTCTCTCCCCTAGGCACCCTAGTTAGTTCGAATTTACTGAATTGTCCAGCTAAATCTCGAACTACTTTGAGATAAGCTTCCATGCGCTCCTCTTTTGCTTCGTACTCGCCGCTGTATTGGCTAGTAACGAGCTGGGAGTCGCTGAATGCGTTGATCTCATTCACGCCGATCCCGATTGCGAGTCGGAGTCCGGCTATGAGTGCCTCGTATTCGGCCTCATTGTTAGAGGCGACGAATCCGAGTCTGAACGATTGTTCGATCACTTCTCCGGTTGGAGATGTGAGTTTGATTCCGACGCCAGCTCCTTGTTTGGACGAGGCTCCATCTACGAAGAGTGTCCAAACTTTAGAGAGGGTGGTATCGTTATTGGCTTCCGGTGCCAGCTCGATCATGAAATCAGCCAGTACCTGGGCTTTAGCACAGGTTCTAGTTCGATATTCGATGTCGTATTCGCTGAGCTCGATAGCCCATTTAGCTAGTCGTCCAGATTGACTTGGACTATGTAGCATAGTTCGCAATGGTTGCGAGGTCATCACCACGATTGTGTGTGATTGAAAGTAAGGTCGCAGCTTGCGAGCGGACATTACTATTGCTAAGGCNTCGTTCAGCTCGACGTTCGCTGGACATTGCATCCTGCGAAGACTTGGAACGGAAGTTTCAGTTGGGATGACGGCCTCTAGCCCGTAAGCTAATGAGAACGGGGTCTCATGAGTAGCTTTGTGAGGTGTAGTTCGGCAAGCCCAAAGAACTGCTGCGAGCTCTTCGGACCACCTATGTTTACGGGCGTCGAGTCGTTTCTTGAGGTTACTCAAGAGGGTTTTGTTTGTTGCTTCAGCTTGCCCGTTCCCTTGAGGGTAACGAGGTGTGGAATACGTTATGCGTATGTTCCACTTCTTGCAGAAGTCTTTGAATGTTCGAGCTATGAACTGAGATCCGTTATCTGTCACGATCTCGAAAGGGAGCCCGTGTCGACAAATGATGTCTTTCCAGATAAATTTCCGGACCTCGAGTTCGGTCGTTTGTTGGTATGGTTTGGCCTCGATCCATTTAGTGAAGTAGTCAGTAAGGACTAATAGGTATTGGAATTGCTTTCGGTCCCGAAGAGACCATAGGTCCTATTATGTCCATAGACCACCTCATAAAAGGATAAGGTGAAGAGATCGATGAGAGTGTTTCAGCTGGGACGTGAATGCTTGGGGCGTGCCTTTGGCATTTGTCACATCGCCTGGAGTACTGTTCGCAGTCTCTGATCATCGTCGGCCAGAAGTAGCCTAGCTTTTTGATCCGTATGACGAGAGCTCGGCCTGCGGAATGACTTCCGCAAGGTCCTTGATGAGTCTCGTGCATTACGGTGTAAGCTTCTTCGCCATGGATGCATGTTAGATATGGTTCGATAAGGCTTCGCTTGTAGAGCTTATCTTCCATCATGCAATAATGTGAGCTTTGGGCTTTTAGCTTGCGAGATGCCCATTTTTCGTTAGGGACGGCTCCGAGCTGGATATACTCGATTATAGGGGTTCTCCAGTCGGGTCTCGCAGCGAACTCTTCCTTTAAGGTGAGTTCGTTCGCCATAGCAGATGGGACGGTATGGATCGTGGACTCTTGCGTATTTTGCGAAGAGTCCGAATCGATATACCTTGTTTTTTGCCTATCTTGGTCAGGTTCTTCCTTCCTCGGAATCAGGTTCCGGGTTAGATGGTCCCGGATCTTGGGACTGTCTAGTTTGAGAACGAGTAGACGGGCGCGAGGTAATTGCGTTTATACTGTCAGACTTGAGTGCGATGTCGATGCTAGGTTTATCTATGCCTTCGACTGGGATCACACGTCTTACAGTTGGGTCCGAAGTGGAGGCGAGAGCAGCTAAGGCGTCAGCCGAAGTGTTCTCTCCCCTAGGCACCCTAGTTAGTTCGAATTTACTGAATTGTCCAGCTAAATCTCGAACTACTTTGAGATAAGCTTCCATGCGCTCCTCTTTTGCTTCGTACTCGCCGCTGTATTGGCTAGTAACGAGCTGGGAGTCGCTGAATGCGTTGATCTCATTCACGCCGATCCCGATTGCGAGTCGGAGTCCGGCTATGAGTGCCTCGTATTCGGCCTCATTGTTAGAGGCGACGAATCCGAGTCTGAACGATTGTTCGATCACTTCTCCGGTTGGAGATGTGAGTTTGATTCCGACGCCAGCTCCTTGTTTGGACGAGGCTCCATCTACGAAGAGTGTCCAAACTTTAGAGAGGGTGGTATCGTTATTGGCTTCCGGTGCCAGCTCGATCATGAAATCAGCTAGTACCTGGGCTTTAGCACAGGTTCTAGTTCGATATTCGATGTCGTATTCGCTGAGCTCGATAGCCCATTTAGCTAGTCGTCCAGATTGACTTGGACTATGTAGCATAGTTCGCAATGGTTGCGAGGTCATCACCACGATTGTGTGTGATTGAAAGTAAGGTCGCAGCTTGCGAGCGGACATTACTATTGCTAAGGCAAGTTTTTCCATAGCTGGGTATCTAGTCTCGGCATCAATCAGGGATTTACTTACGTAAAAGATTGGTCTTTGTTCGTTTAGCTCTTCACGAACTAAGACCCCGCTGACCGCTGCAGGCGAGACCGCGATGTAAAGGTATAGCGGTTCTCCTTCTACTGGTTTTGCCAGTATAGGAGGTTCGCTGAGGTAAGTTTTGAGCTGTTTGAAAGCTTCTTCGCATTTTTCGTCCCAGAGGAATTTTTTATTTCCTCGGAGGAGCTGGTAAAATGGAAGACACTTGTCGGTTGACCGGGAAATGAACCTATTAAGGGCTGCTATTCGACCGGTTAACCGTTGTACTTCTCTAGTATTTTCTGGAGAAGGCATATCTAAGAGGGCAGAGATTTGCTTCGGGTTCGCCTCGATTCCGCGTTCAGTTACTAGGTAACCGAGGAACTCGCCAGACGGAACTCCGAATGTACACTTAGTCGGGTTCAGCTTCATGCCGTACTTGTTAAGTATGGAGAAGCATACCCGGAGCTGTGCGACGTGGTCTGTTTCCCTAGAGGATTTGACCAGCATATCGTCTATGTACACCTCCATTGTTTTACCGAGCTGATCGGCAAACATTTTGTTTACGAGGCGCTGATATGTAGCTCCCGCGTTTTTTAGCCCGAATGGCATTACTTTGTAGCAGTAAGTACCTCGGTCTGTTATGAAAGCTGTTTTCTCCTGATCTTCTGGGTTCATCTTGATTTGATTATACCCAGAAAACGCATCCATGAAGGATAGGAGCTGGTGACCAGCCGTAGCTTCGACCAAGCGATCTATATGAGGAAGTGGATAGCTGTCTTTTGGACAAGCTTTATTAAGGTCTGTGAAATCGATACAGACTCTCCACTTTCCGTTTTTCTTTTTGACAACTACAGGATTAGCTAACCAGTCGGGGTATTTCACCTCTCTGATCGAGCCTACCTTGAGTAGTCGGTCTACTTCGTCGTTTACTGCTTTAGCCCGATCTGGGCCGAGTTTTCGACGTTTTTGTTTCATGGGTTTGAACGTGGGATCTACGTTCAGCTCGTGAGACGTGATCCTAGTGTCAATCCCGGGCATGTCCGCGGTGGACCATGCGAATGTGCTGATGTTTTCCTTTAGGAAGGCGATCAGCTCGTCACGGATAGGTTTTGCGAGATCGATTCCGATACCAACGCGCCTTTCGGGGTCGGTTTCGTCGATGCAAACCTGAGTGACCAAGTCTTTTCGAGGTTCGCGGACGGTCGGATCTTTGCCATGTTTGATCTGCCGAATCGCGAGCTCCTCTTCTTTCTGTAATTGCTATACTGGCGATTTTTCAGCTCGCAAGTAGCTGCCCATATAGCAATCTCGGGAAGCTCGTTGGCAACCGCGAATTGTTTTTGTTCCCCAAGGTGTAGGGAACTTGACGCATTGGTGGTAAGTGGATGCAACTGCTTTCATGGTGTAGAGCCACGGCCTGCCGAGAATGGCATTGAATGGCGCGGGGCGATCTACGACCACAAAGTCAACTGTTTTCGTTATACCACCTGCTTTGATTGGGAGCTGGATAGTTCCCATGGAATAGGTCGTTTCTCCTGCGAACCCAGTTAGGGGCGTACGGCCTCCTATGAGTGCGGAGTTTTCGAATCCCATTCGCTTGAAAGCATCGTAGAACAGCACGTCTACAGAGCTTCCTGTGTCTATCATGACTCTGGTCAGCTCGAATCCGGCTACGGCGAGCTCGATTACGAGTGCATCGTCATGAGGTTTATCGAGTGCGAGTGTTTCGCTTTCTCGAAATTTGATTTCGTGATCAGGTCCGTCTAGAGGACGTGGTTGTCCAGATGACTCGACCCGTCGCTGATGTGCTTTGATCGAGTTAATCGAGTCTTTGCACATCTTCGAGCCACCGCAAATGAAGTCAATTCGTTTAGGGGTAGGTGGCTCTACTCCCCCCGAGAGCTTGTGAAGTCTGCGTAAGCAAGAGATCGCAATGCTCTTAGTATCGGGTCTGGAGGTAGGTGATGTAACAGGCGAGCTTCTGTAAGAATGCTCTATCCCCCCGACAAGTCTAGGAGGTCTGTGTGAGCTAGAGCTCGTAGCCTTTCTAGGAGCGGGTGGGGGGGTGACCACGGATCTCGTTGAGCCGCCGCAAAGGCTGAGCTCTCCGAAGATTAGGTCGATTCTTTTCCTGTTAGAAGGAGGGGAATCGGGGGCTTCGACCTCGACTTCGCGTTCTCTTTTCTGAGGTGCGTTGTCGGAGTCTTTAGCTGGTTTGGGTTTTGGCTTTTCGGCCTTAACCGCGGTTTCAGCTGTTTTGCTTTTTCCCTTCTTTTTGCTAGACTTTTTGCCTTTAGCACGGCATTCCTCTGTGGAATGGCCGTTTGTATTGTGAATATCGCAGTGTTTCTCTTCTTCCTCCGAGCTCTTTATGGGAGCTGAAGTTTCGATAGAGTAGGAATGTTGTCCTTTACTCTGCGAAGGTGGTTTAGCTGGTGCAGTTTTCTTAGCACCTGGTGGAGCATATGCGAGCTCCCCTTTGAGGTACTTTTCTCTGAGGAGAGCTGTGTCTTCCTCGAGAGTTGCGAATGCTGATGCGCGATGTAATGCGTCATCTAGTGAAATTGTAGGTCGAACAGTTAGTTCTTCTCTAAATTTCGATTCGTACCACAAGTTGTTTTTGAGGGCAAGTAGAGCTACTGCCTCATTAGGGTTTGTGATCTTAGCTTTGACTGATTTGAATCTGTCAATGTAAGATCGAAGTGATTCCTTTGGACCTTGAGAAAGTCTCCAAAGGTCTGCTTCCGTAATTTTAGATTCGATGAAGATCGAATACTGTTTTAGGAAGGCTGATTGGAGCTGGTCGAAATTATCGATTGAGTTTTCGTCCAGCGTTGAGAACCATTCTTGAGCTGGTCCGATCAGGTTCTCAGCGAAGAGCCTGCAGTAGGCTGCTTCTATCTCTTCTGGAGAGAAAGGAACTCGAGATACGACGAGGTTAAAAGCTCGCATGTAAGCTCTCGGATCGCTGTTACCAGAGTATTCTGGGATACGCAGCTTGCTGGTATCTCGGATATAGGTACTTTTGATCCTGAGTGAAAAAGGAGTTCGTCTAGACTCTTTAATCACTCTGTCGATATCAGGAGCTGAGCTCGTTGCTTGATGAAACATTGAGCTCATATGCTGAAACGCGAGGTCTGTGCGATCTTGGAATCTTTCGAAAGATTCGCTGTCGACGAGGTTACGTGGATCAGCTGGATTCCGATTAGCTGGAATCGGATAAGAATGGAGCTTGATTCATGGAATCGTTAGCTCCTTGGAACTGAGCTCGATTGGGCTGACCGTTCGAGCTAGGGAATTGTTGATAATTCCCGTTCACGTGCTCTCGCGCTGTTGCGGAGGGCTGTGAACCGTATGTCGCGCCTAGCTGATTCTCAAACTGAGGCATTGCCTGCGAGCTCGAGGCAAAAGCTGAAGCGCCAAACCACCTAGGCCTAGCTGGATCGGTACCAGGTGGCCCTGGGGGTGGAGATGAGAGCGGAACGTTCGGTTGAGCTCTCGTCTCGCTTGGGTGCGAGCTCGTATTTTTATGCCAACTGGTGGCGAGCTCGGCGGTGGACCGAAAGTCTGAGAGACTTGAGGTCGCGAAGGCGTAACGAATTGCGCCTGAGGTACGCCAGATGCGTAGATCGTCGAAAAATCGAGCTGAGTCCGCGGAGGCGGGCTAGTGATGTTTCGAGATTCAGCGAGGCGTCTCTCATGTCTCTCCAGCCTAGTTTCGTGGTCGCGCTGACCGTTTACCAGGTTGGTGAGAAGCTGTTTGATCTGTGCCAGATCATCTGGACTAGCTCGCGGAGGAGTTTGCGTCGCAGATGCAGGTCGAACAGGAATAGTCCGACTCTGTGGAGTCACAGTTGTTGGGGGATCTTCCGATCTGACCCAAACTCGAGAGAGAGGTCTCTCGATGGTGTGCGAACCCAGATTCGGTAGAATCGGGCTCGGGGTTGCTACCGGCGTGGCGAGATTGATCACCACTGGTTCCACGCGAGGTGGAGTGCTAAGCTGCACTCCAGTGGAGGCGGTAGCAGATGTGATCGGCGTGTTCGAAGTGTTGGCAGTTTGGCGGCTACCAACATTCGACGCGATCTGATCTCTCGATGCATCAGCAGTTTGGCTGCTACTGATGTTCGAGGTGATCTGATCCGATGGGATCGAGTTTTGGGAGTTAGATCCCTGGGTTTGCGACCGGATAGTATCCATTTTCGCTCTTACCTGGCTTAGGTTCGACCCTTGTGTAAGAAAATCTATGTTTCCTCCCCACAGTCGGCGCCAAAATGTGGGCTATGAAAACCACACTCGAAATTTATAGGTTTTGCAAGGAAGAAACTTAGGGAGATTTAGGGCTAGATTTTGATGTAAGTCGAATGAATCGTAAGCAAGGATTTGGCTAAACGGAATTGTATTAAACGAATGAAAATGGTTACAATGAATTCTCAGAAGAGAGAAAGAACTAAGCTCAAAGGTGAATACAAGGAAAGTATGATAGTAATTAGGTCTAAAGTGATCGGAAGAAGATCTGTCTTGATCCGACTGCTGTCAAGCTCCTTTTATAGCTCCAGAATCAGCTACGATCCACCTCCGCGTATCTCGCCACGTGCAGCTAACGATCCCGGTGATCTCGGACCAGACCGGATTTGAAGGAGATCTTCTTTGACTTCGTCTTTCTTCGCAGTGCCGACCTGGTCCTTGATCGAGCTGGAGCTCGTCTTTACGTCGACCGGAATAGCTCGGATGGCAGTTAACTGGCTTACGAGGGAGTCGCTTGGTGGGCTCGAGGTCTTCTTGCTGGGCTTGAGTGGGCCTGGACTTCAATCTTGGATCAAGGTAATGGGCCCTTACGGGCTAGATTCCAGGTGTGGAATCTGGGTCCAACAGTAATCAGGTGTGATAATTTGGCACACACGTTATTCATGACTCTTAGCGCTATTATAGTTTTCCTAATATATATACAAAAGTACTATAGAAATTTGTTGATGAAAAAACTTTGACGGTGTTTAATTTTCATTTGTTTTCTGTATAAGTGTTTTTTTATTGTTGATTTTATTAATCTAAAAGAAGACTATATAAATATACTGCGAGTGCATTGCCACTTCTGTGTTTCAAATTTCGCATAATCTAGTTGAACTATATTGTAGACCTCATAGTCAAAATCTCTTTAATCATGCATGAACATAACTACTTGCATAAAACAAAAAATATCTCTTGATTTTTAAAGTTTTGTGGATACAAAGGCGTTGCTCATCAAAAATCACGTTTTGTATATTTTATTCTGGTTGAATGAAAACAGAAAGTCCCTTTCATATTCGTTAGGTTTGCTTTAAGCTTTCGTATAGATCTAAAATCTGACAGAGACTCATCAAGTAAACAATCTTGTTACTTGTTAATGACTAATCATATTGTACAATTTCAAGATTCGATTCACATTTCACTAAAAGTTAGGCCGAGCCTAATTTAGAGTACTGCGACTCATATAGCAAAAAGAAAACGATATTACGTGACATTGTAACACATGAATCCTTATTTTTAGGGAAGATAGTCTCATACAACAAGTAAAAGAGGTGAAGATATTGTACTAGAAACTTGTGACGAGTCCTTTGTTTGGTCATATAAACTTGTGCATGGTCGATGACTCCCCCTTTCTTCTAACATGCAAGTACCATACTTTAGACAAATCATGTTTACAACTCAGAATCTATTTTTATGTTTTTTGCTTTTTTGCTTTTGAACCACCAATACAGAATCCAATGTCACAAACACAATCCAATAGCATCAACCAGATTCAACAAAGGACTTAACAAGGAAGAAATTAAACATGCAAGTTTTCCTTCATCTTATATACATAAAAATCCATTGAAATATTTGCTTTCAGACCTATTGGTGTCAATGTTCCATGCTCTATAATCATTATCGCTGAACAAGCAATCTTTTTGCCACTAACCTCACAATCTTGAATGATGTCTTCACCAGCAGAACTTCTTTCTCTGCATCATATTCTCAAACCATCAAAAACATAGGAACAGACATAGAATTAGGGTAGCGAAACTAGCTGCAAAAAGGAGACTAACCCGGTACTTAGCTTCCTCTTGCCGGTCTATGTAACTCAAAAGCTCTTCTTGCTTCATTAAAGCCTCGTGTAATGCCTAAAAGAGTTTCATAATGACTCAATATCAGCATCATTTAGGGTTTAAGAATGATCAGGTCATAGATTTTTATACCTTTTTTGTGTTGATGACTTCTGCTTCTAATGCATCCACGCGATAAACAGCAGCATTCAGCAACTCTTCTTTCTCATGAGGCATCTCTGTTTCCCTCAAGCGAAGGGTTTCTATCTGTTTCTCAAGATCGCCTAATCTGCCTAAAACAGAGGAAATGATAACTCTCTCAGTGATGTTAGGACGAGAAGGCGAAGGAGGTCGAGATTCTCTTGCGAAAGGTTCATCACAAATCTCAGCTCTACCGCTTGGAGAAGTCAACTGTGAGTGTTCTTTAGTCTGTGGCAGAGCCATAGACGCGAAGAATGTGACAAGGTTTAAGAAGAACGCAGTTAGCCACATCCAGATATGACTAATTGTTCCTGTTTTTCCCAAACTTGATGCATACTGTGGACCTGCAACACATATATGTCTCATTTTCACATGCTTTGGAATCTTAAGGTATTAATTTGGTTTCCAGTTTAACCTTGAGAAGCATTTGACGTCTCTCGTGGCTGCCAAGCAACATCCACAACTTTGTCCACCATTGGTACACAGTCTTCATACTCAGATAGAACACTAGGACTTACTTTACCATTGGCCTTAATCTACAATAAAGTATAATAGCATGTCAGGCCCGGTAATAGCTAGTTTTTAACGTTTTGAATGTCACTTTTGTACATGAGAACGCTTACATTTTCAGAAACAGGAGTCAACTTGGGTACATGATTGTTCATAATTCTTCTCGGTGAAGCCATCTCATCCAATTCAGACCCTGACTCTGCTGTTGACGTGTCACCAACTTTCATCTGAGCCAAGAAAGGGATACTATTACAGTCACACAAAAGTGTCACCTAAACAAAAAACCAATGTTCCAACTACCAAAAAAACTAACCCCATTATAACTCTGTTTATCAGATGAAGATATTTGGGAATCACTGCATAGGAGAGTACCAGCATGCCTACAAAACGTCCCACCACTGCGACCCATCTGCATGAAAGCTGAGAAATCATTAGATGAACATATACAGAAACAGAAACATAACGAACAATCAACACAAGCCTTTCACCTTTAGTATCTCAGGGTCTTTCCAGGGTCCTTTATCAGATCTCATACAACCTCCCTTATCTTCACAAGTGCAAGTACCACCCAGAAAATCTGGTAGCTGGCTGAAGAAGTTCCAAAATATGGTTCAAATGTTACTTTATATAAATAATGGAGATATGATAAGAAAAAAAAACAAAACACTTTTAAGACTAATTAAAACTCCCTACCTTGCATCAATGACCTCAAGTAATTTATTCTGATACTTGTTTCCAAGAACCTATTAAAGATCACATTGATGCAATTTAGTTTCACTACAACAAAAAATATGTAAAAGTGGATGATACGTATAGTTACATCTATCTTGGAGACAGTCTTTGGATCAAGAAACGATTTCACCGTGCCCCAAAGTAGCTTAAAACCAGGGCCGGCATTGATGATGAACATCCGGTGTAGTGTCTGCTCATATGTCATACCAAATGTTAATGCTAAGAAAAGAAAAGAAAAAAAACAGTTTTTGCTTATAAAAAAATCAATGGTAGCCAACAAAAATACCTCAGGGTAGTTATCATTATCAATCTTTTGCAGCTGTGTTATAAGTTCCCGCGCAGATTTAGTAAAATTCTTTAAGCCCTGCAATACAACATATTTAGCTTTAAAGAAACTTGTTTCCTAATTTGGTTTTTAAAAAGGAAAAGACAAAAGTAAGTACCACGCCTTGGACGTCAAGAATAGTTGTACTGGAGTCAATGTGTCTCTTAGAAGCGATGCAACAAGCTGGAAACTTGATAGTAACAGTTTTCTCAAACTCTCTAACATGATATCTCAAGTATCTCTCCAACGTAGTGACTTGCATGAGTTTGCTTGCGTCCACTCTTCCCAATCTTTCAATGTAAACAGGTCTTCCTTCTTTGTCAACACCATGATATCCCTGAGGGTAGTAGTTGAGAACTTGATCCAATTCTGGAAACTCAAATTCCTAACGAGTGAAGAACAACAATCAGTCAGCAATATTTACAAGAACCGTTTGTGATTTTGGCACATGTTAAAAAGTTTTTACCTCCAAAATTGTGTCAGTACCAAAATCCTTTCTCCACTGGATCATGTTACTCCACATTAAATTTGCCTTTCCAAGATCAAATTTCCTTGCATAGAGAAATCTGTAGATACAAAAAAATGTCATAAAACAAATACATGATCTCAACATCTACATAATAGCCTAAAAAACTCTTAATGCCATTATAAAAAAAAAAATGCATTCACCACCATAATGTTTAACAAGAAAAATGGAAATTGTCTGACCTCAGCATGATGTGATAATCATCAAGCGTTGGAGGGAGCAAGTTGTCGGAGATGAGTGATTGTCGGAATTCAGAGACAAAACGCAATTCCTCTGCGTCATGTATGTCTTCGAAGGTAAGAGACAGAGTCCGATCGATGCTTCTGGTCCTGCTTGGCCTTCTTTTCCTACTGAGAGAACGTCTGAATTTGCAAGAAGCCTTTGATGCTTTCTTCTTGAAAATCCCGATTCTCGTTTTCTTCTCGTCCTCTGAGACTTCGAAATCCGACTTCCGTTCTCTTCTCTCACCATTGCTTGAGAAACCTGACAGAACAACATTATATACATACTCCATAACCATAAATCGAAGACGATGAGGGATGTGAGAAAAAGACTTACAGGGTCTTGTGAGTCGATCGAGAGGAGTCGACATGATGAGAATCGGTCAAACTTTGAGGAAACTCCAACAATCGAAAGGACTCGGAAAATCCGAAAGAGAGAGGTATTGAAGGAAACGGAAACGGTAGATGAAGAAGTAACTGAAGAATTTATTTACAAAAAGATCTCTGCGGTTATGTGAAATAAATGTTACGAAGTTTAGTTAAATTCATGGCCGCCGGAAGTGAGAGACATGAATGTTGAAGATTCCCTCGTTTTTGGTCTGCTTTGATTTGCTTTCAACTACCAATACACGTGGCGATTAGTCTCTCATGTGAAAGCTCTTGGCGGGAAGTCGTTTCCAGTTTCGCTGTCACACACTTTGAATTCAGTTTATAGTTTTGTTTTTTGTACCAATAATATCAAACGTTCAGTTAATTTTAGTAGAAGAAATTAACGTATACGTGCGGGCCTACACATTCGGTCAGTACAATAATTGTGGTAAGGACAAATTGCCAAGAAACTAAAATACTAATGAGATCATCAAGTAGACTTATTCATTAAAATACTTTCATTTAGACCAGAGTAGCCTTTACTTACCGACATTACAGAAGATCAATGTATATAATATGTACACATCACGGATTCATGATCACGCTACTACATTGTTTATTATAGGGATTTACTACGTGCACAAGTGTAGATAGAGAAAAGCATTCTCCAATCTCCACAATATAAGAAAAGAGGTTTCTTTGCAAGCTTTTCTTCTACCACTTGATCACAGTTTTTAGCAATGGCTTCTTTATTATCTACATCAATTATACATTTTTTTATATACTGTCTCCAACTCCAAGATCCCTGATGAAAGAAAAAAAAAAAAAACAGAGCAAAAAATTACTAATTTGCCTGCGTATAAGCTATTGGATGAGCTTTTACTTTCTTTATTTACCATACCTGTCATGTGTACTTCCTTAGCTTGCGTTTTGCTTGAAACTGGCCAAGCTTGTCTCTCCACTCAGCTGCAAAATCATGAAAACAAAACAAGATATTGATCTCTGATTCTTGACCCAAGAACATCAAACTTGCTCATATATACATTATTGTCAATGAAAATTATGGACATTTTCACCAAACAGAGAAAGTTCCCTCAGTACAGGGACCAATATCACTAAAGAATTTTATATCCAATGCGCAAATTTTTATCACTGGATTTCAAAAGAATTTGACGATTGATATATATGCTTCAATTTTTATGTATCTCAAAAGAAAAAGATTTTGAAATGAGGAGAGTGATCCACTAAGCTTACCGGCTTCATCATAGCGTTCTTCATCGACAGCTTGCATCATGTGGCTCAATAGATCAAACTCTGTTGTATCAAGACAAGGCTGACCATTTGGCCTACACAAGGATAACATCATGTTCTTAATTGTCAAATTCACAAGCGAATGATCTTAAATGACTAATCCCAGTAGTGGATCATAGAATTACCGGTCCAGTTCTGGAGATAGTAAACCATCTGAAGCAGGTGTCTGCTTCGATAGCTTCCCGGACTCAATGACTCTCATTCCATCACTATAAGCTAGATACTTATTGACTTGGATAGGTACCTAAAGCGGAAGGATCCACACCAGTTTCAAGAGTGAATACATATTTGTATTCGGTTAAGATGAAACGACTGTGTGATTAGTATGTGATTATATAGTACCATAACTATACCTTGCTTCTAACAGCTATGTTGATTGCATCTGAAGGACGAAGGTCAAAGCTCACACAATCAGACTTATCACCCACCTGAAGTACCATCCAGAGCAAACCTTAGAAGAAGAAATCTAAATGACAAACTTTTTGAAAAATGAACGGAAGATGAAATTCTAGGCCAGAAGAAGTTGCAAACCTTTGAAAGGTATAACTGTGCGAAGTATGCCTCATGAACTCTTGTGGTTACTCTAACCAGCCTAACCTGTAGAGAAAGTTCCAACATTACTCATTGGATTGCTAAAGAAGGGAAGAGAAGAGAGGAAATATAAGGCGTGTACCTCATAACCCAATTTGTCAACCATCTCCTGCACCACTTCATACATTGTGGGTCTTGCCTACACACAACCAGTAACCAAAACAAGTCCATAAGCCTCTCTCTTCTTAACCCCTAAACTGATTCAAACAAAAGCATAGTGCAAGAAGAAGCCTACTATTTGAACATTTGTCATTGCTGCCATAAGTAACACACTAGGCATCTCCACTGCAATACAAAAACCAGAGAGAAAGGAAGAAATTCAAGACACATGCTTGAGATCACGAAATACTAAGCTTATATGGTTTCAAGAGTCACATACAGACGATAATGGGAAGAAGAAGACCAGTTCCATCTTCCATTTTCAGCACAATTGCAGAGTGTGGAGCATAATTTGGAAGATTCCCTCCCTGAGGATTGTTGTGGACGCATCGTAGTTGCCTCCCGTCTCTCATCTTCACCATGAAACCATCTGCTCCACTTCTCACCTCAACTATGCATATACAAAAAAACATTTAATTAATTAGAATCAACATTCAAAAAGAGAGACCGGTTATGGTTTGATTACTACTTAACCGGTGATTTTACCAGCTTCCAGTACACTAGAATTGACATAATCGTCGTCGTTCTCGTTGAAATTCTCTGCGGTGCTCCCGGTTCCATCGGAATGCGAGCTGAAAAGACACTGTACACTCTTCCACCTTCGAAGATGGAGCCGGAGAGTGACTGTAGCAAATTGGGACTTGACGTTTCTGGTCTGGTTTCCCAAGAAATGGTTTCTGAGAAACCTCGGTGGTTTCGAAACAGAGCAGTTGACGAGTGAAGCAGAGACGCCCAATTCTCTGGGACGAACACTAGGGCAAACGATCGGTGCCTGAAGCGATCTCATCTTCACTCTTTTTCATGCAAAACACAGGAAAATTCAGAAGCAAGAAGAAAAAATAGAATCTTTTAGTGTCCAACATCTTTAAAACCCTAATCGATTCACAAAATGACAAACGAATTCCGAAGATAGTAACTACTTAACTTGCAAGAGAAATCGCAATTCGAAGTACAAAATCACTGATCCCCACACAAATACATAACAACTGATTTGAGTAATTTTAAATCAATACACTACAAAAAACCAACGATCGGTGTATTCTCGATCAAAAGTATCTACTAGCTGAGAATCGATCATGCAATCCCATAAAATCTGTTGAATTTCTAAAAACTATAATCGAAATACCAGAAACAGTGGGATGTTAACCTTAAAACTTCGTAAAGATTCGATTGGATAGATGATAGATCAACAGATGATCCTGCACAGACAGATCAACAAAGAGCTAACAAGAGAGAGAGAGAGAGAGAGAATCTCTGTCAGTTTTATCCACCCATGTTTTGCTTCAATTCACAAATTTACCCTTCCACAGATTTCTTACATTCGGAAAAAAATGTCGTGGAGAAGGGATAAAAATGAGAATTCAGGTTTATTTCCGTGATGACGTTAGAAAATTGACACGTCATCATCAAGTAACAGTCGCCGAATAAAATAAGCATGAATGGACGCCACGTGTAAGGCGCTTTGTGTCAGGATGGTTATATGGATAAGGCTTTTTGGATATACATATCACATATGTACGTACTCTTTCGAACTAGATATTGACATTTTTGTTGGGTTTGGGAAAACTCTTCTCAGGTCTGGACTCTGGAGGCTAATTCCCAAAAATATAAGGTCTTTATAATAAGGTTCACAACATCTATATTTTCTGAAGTTGCCCCGTCTATAGTTTGTCTAGCAAGAAATAATTAAGATATGATTAATTAGTTTGTTCATGACTTTATCAAGTAATGGCTTAGCCATATTCATCAGACAAACAACAGGTTAAATCAAATAAAATCGGATAATTTAGGCATCCATATTCTTGGTGGTAATTTCGCCTTCTTCTTCTTTATTTTGTTCTGTTTTGTAGATTCTACTCATCATTTGCCAACAAAAGCCCTTTTCTTTTCGGTTCTTAATCTTAAAAAAACTGTCTCAGGCGGTTTGAGACATGAAAGTGCAAAGTCTTACTAACCTGGTCATCGATAGCGAACAACACGAAGGCGGCTATTCCAGTTATCAGCCACCTCAATGTAGACTTCTAATAACTAAAAACAATCTATTACGTACTTATGATTTCAATTAGTTTTTAAACTAAGCAAAATGAAATAATTAAATCTGCACATTCTTATTGTTATTGAACACACTAAGCGACAAAAGAAGTCCATACACACCTTTTCTCAATGAAAATTATCTGTATTTCTGACACACAAAGTTGGACCAAAAAAATAAAAATAAACTAAATATAGAAAATAAAGTAAAAGTTGAGCAAAAGTTAAGCAAAAACAAAGGAAAACGCCATATATGAAAAGGTGATAAGAGAAAAGAATAACAAAGTTTGTTTAGAGAAATTGAAACAAAAACAAAATGGATAATTTAGATTTACGAACAAATGTTTGAATAGAAAAGCACACAATTACTAAGAGATAATGCGCTGCAGAACTAAAGAAGAGCTTTTTGTCTAACATATTTTATATAACTGATGAAGATAATCTTTCCATGGATCATAAACCCCTTTTTAAATGTTTATCAGCATTTTTATTATATTTGTTTTCGTTGAATCATAAACACCTTTTTAAATGAAAACAATCTGTTTTCCTGACACAGAAAAAAATTTCTTCTTTTTTGTAGTAACAATTTCTCTGTTCAGCTATTTTTGCCATGTTCTGTGCTCAAAAAGGGTTGTCCATCTTCTCCACTATGCTTTGCAATCCTGACTTGTAAGAAGGATATATCAATTTCACTCCTAGTTTCTTCTTCATTTGCTCGTTGCTGACTCGTTTCTCGCCTCTCAACGAACTCTCCTCCCGAGATTCATACAGAAATGGTTTAGTTTCGATACTCCTTTCCCAACGTTTCTCAATCAACTCCAATGCATATTGAAACACCTCTTCTCTTGGTGCTGGATCATCATCAACTACGTTGTACACCTCCCTGCAATAACGGTCGAATCATATTCGATGTCGCAAACCGAGCACAAAGAAGGATAATATACATATACATATACACAATATAGTACCCTGATCTTGGCTTTTCAATGGAAGCTTGAAGAGCTTGGCATATGTCTTCAACATGGACTCTCGACGTGTATTTCCTGGCCGCTCTTTTCCTTTGACCTTGAGACAAATTCTCCTGCTTTAACAAGGTATCAATCGCACTGCATCAAGAAACAGGCCTTTAGAGAATCAGTTTTAAAGCCCTTTTTCTGGCAATAACAGGCACAAGAAGAAGCTGAGAACAACCTTCTCCCAGGTCCATAGATACCTCCAAGTCGAAGGACTTGAGTCGATACCTCAAGATCACGACCCAATCTTAACCATCCTTCCTCTGCAGCTAACCTCAGTTTGGCTGACTGAGTTTTCGGATTTGGAGGGTGACTGCAACATCATGGAACGACCTTAGAGCTTACCATGACAAAAAGGAGCTGAAATTTTGAAAAAATAAAACTTACTCTTCATTGACCCAAGCACCACCAGAATCTCCATAAACACCTACAAGAATCATCTTTTAATTCAATGAAAACCAAGAAAGAGGTTCACTAGTCTAGTGTGAGAGCAAAAGAGAATTGATGTAATGAGGAAAGGAAAAGGGAGAATACTTGTTGATGAGAGATAACAAAGCCAACGAAGATTCCCACTCGAAAGCTTGTCTCTGACAAGTTCTACATTCCGCAACATCTTTTGGAAGTGATCAAAAAGTTAGGCAGAGATTATATCAAACATGAATCATATTAAGCTAACGATGAAGAAAGGAATAATCGTAGCAATTACCGGATCACCAATGTCTGCCAAAGGTGGAATGGAAATGAGAAGGTGTGTGTAATCTTTCACTGTTTCTAGCACATTCCATCTGATTAAAGAATGAAACCGTCAAAGCTTTAAGAATCAGATTGTAGAGATCACCACCATGGAAGTGCTGATAAAAAAAAAGTCTTTACTCAGGTGAATCTGCAGAAAATAGCTGAAGATCAATTCCTCTCATCTCCCATTCTTGTTTCTTCGAATCACTCCTGCAAGTCCCTGAAACCACCCTTTAACCATAGACCCAAAAGTATCATTATCTTCTTCCCCAACTTCTTGTGAAAAGTTATCTAATACGCATATACCAACAACTATTGGGTTTGAGATCACAATATGAACTTATCCAAGACAAAAATCCGCAAACATTAGTACTGATTATGAAGTCGCATACTCATTTCCACAAAAAAAAATTCCTTTTTTTGCAGATTTTGATTTTATATACGCAAAGACTTAGATATGGAGAAAGAGCAAAGAGATAGAGAGAGAGAATGAGAGAAAACGACAACATACCAGTCTGCTTCTTTGAGTTTTTTTGCAAAAAACCCTCCGACGAATCCCATCCCGAGGATGAACATCCGATTCCGGGATTCTGAATTTGGTGCATCGGATCGAGAATCGCTGATTGCTGACAATGGACGGAGAAAGTTGATTCTACTACGATTTGAAAATTTCAATGGTGTCGGATGAAAACTGAAAGGAATCTCCGGCGACAACCTCGGTAACTGCAAAACCTCCATTGAAATCGGAGGACTGATGATAGTGAAGCGCATACTCTTGCTCCTTCGTACTTTGACAGTTGACTCTGTCACAATAAAACTGCGTCGTTTTTGAGTAACACAGTCCCAGTAAAAGAAGACAAGCTTGGGCGCCGTTTTGTTTACAGAACTTGGAACAGCATGCCGTTTCTACATCCCACTGAAATCTTGAAACTTACCACAAAAGACTGAGTTATACTAAAGAAGATTGTTATTCCAAAACATATACAACTTTTTTCTTCCATATATATCAAAATCAAATTTCATTTTCATCTAAAATGAAACGATGTTCACACTTGCAAGTATACCACCGTGAATCTTATACACACACATCGTCGCATTACAAAGTGTACTATACACAAAAGCAACCCTACACATCTACTTTTATATGCCACAGATATGGGTGTATATAATATATGCCTAACTATAAAAATGCCAAAAGCACATTTCTTGCGCTTCAAGAATCATGTCCTCTGTGCCCAAGAACGATAGTAATCAGACGACAAAGTCGTGTAAGTGATGGGAATTGGAGAATCTGCTGTCTTGCTGGCTGTTTCCGCCAATGTAACGGTAATCTTCGAGACCGTAGCCGTGATAGTTCATCAGTGTATCGTAATCCGCTGGCCGGTTCATCTGTTGTTGTTGTTGTTGTTGTTGTGGATGCTCAGCAACATTGCCTGGAACAAGGTCTTGTTTAGTTTCTGATGAGAAGACAGTGTTTGTTGTGTCCGCAGATGAATAATTGAGGTTGTTGTTGTTGTTGTTTTCCTGCTGGTGGTTCTGCTGCGAGGAGGAGTCTTCTTGGTTCGGTTCTTGAGATGACTTGGAGATTAGTAACTCAGGTGCTTCACCAAACTCTTCTGTATACATCTCTTCGATCATCGGTTTCCATAGACGAACTCTCGCGTTTATGAACCAATTCGCAACCTTATTACAGAACATAGCAGAGGAAACAGAGTGACTAAAACAGAACATAGAAAGAAACCACAGTGACTAAAACAGAACACAAAGATTGCAACTTTATGGAGGAAAGGTAACAAGACAAAAGCCTCGCTTAGTTACCTGGTTTTTCGACAGTCCTGTCTGTTTCGCAAGCATCATTTTCTCAGATTCTTTCGGGTATCTACACATAAAAACCAGAGAAGAAAACATAAAGTTCTGTAATATGAAACTGAAAAGGTTGTTACTTGTGAGTGAAGAAAACACATACGGGTGAAGGAAATGTTCAAAGAGCCAAGCGCGAAGAGCAGAGACAGAGTTCTCAGGGAGACCTCTTTGAGGTCTCCAAGCGGGTCGAACCATTCCAAGCTGTTGATGCAAAGCTCTCTGCTGTCTCAACCGTTGGTCTAAATACCTCAGTCTAGGTATCCTCTCTCCTTGCTGCTCATCCAACGACTCTCCTCCTTTCTCCCCAAGTCTGTCCCTGATAATCTGAATTTGTTCCTTTATCGTGTCGCGAAGAGACCGGAAATGGCAAGAGATCCTGTTGAGAGCCACTGATGTGTAAGGCTTAGCTGATCCAAGCCCCGCTACTATCTCAAATGATGATGCTAATGCTTCCATTTGATGGTAATATTGGTTATATCTTTTATCTACCTGCAAAGTATTAACACACCAGCAAAGCATTTTCAAAAACTCACTCAATCCGGTTTTAAACCAATCCAAAATCCAATTGGTAGTTATGAAGAGATGTAAAGTTAGTTAAATAACTACCTCATCAACCATTGTCAAAAGCTTGTTCTTCTTGTTCTGAAGCTCTTGACGTTCAGTTGCAGACAACTCTATTGATTTGCCGTTAGAATCGTTGGATAACTCGCCACTGCCTCCTCCTCCTCCTCCTTCTGTCTCCTTGGAACCGTTGTTAAAGTCTTCACTTTTCTTCTTCTTCCTCATCTGGTTTAGCTCTTTCTTGACGCTAACCACTTCATCGAGCAAACTCTGAGCCGGTTTAAGGTACCGAGAGCGCAAAACGCTGCTTATAAACCCTCCTGACGTTTCGTTAAACCGGAAATTGTTGTAGAATCCGATTCCGCCGTTACCAGCAAAACCAGAGGAATGATCAGATTGAGACAACAACAACATCTCTTTGCTCTTCGCACCGATCTCATCTACATTGAACGGTGGCGTTTCCTTAACCGAGAGTGGGGGATTTTGGGGGAAACCCATTTGGTACTGATGGTAGTGAAACGAAGGAACAGAGATCTGAGTGCCGAGACTTAGTGACAGTCCTTGACCGTCGTGAAAGCTTAGATCGCTGCTCGAAACGGCACCGTTTCCGGTAACGTTTCCGTTGATGTTTTGAAGACCTGTTACGACGTTTCCGGTGGTGGGTGGGATAAATACCATCTCGTTTCGAACATGATCGCCGCCGGCGCCGGAGAAAGATGCGGCGGCGGAGGAAGGAGAAGCTTGTTGTTGTTGTTGATGGTTGAGATAGACTGGTTCTTGCTGGTAACAGCCGACATTACTTTGGTAATAAACCGCCATGTTTTGTCGTTAATTAAAAGCTTGAATTGCAGGATTTTTGGTTACAGTGAGGTATTGTATTGATTCGATGAACTTGGTCGGGAAATGAGATCCTGCAAAAAGGAAGAGGAAGAGTCGTGTAAGGTGGAATTTTTGAAAAGGTTTCTGGAGGAATCTCGGAGAGGTTAAAACATCGTACTCATTTACACCAAACAATCTTTATCATCAGCAGTTTCGAAAAGCAACAAACAGAAGAGAAAAGAAAAATTCAGACCGAATTTTCCGTGGATTAAAGTCAAATTCTGGATAAAGCGAATGTTTTTGGTGAAGAAGTGTAAGAACACAGAAAACCCAATTCAGGAATTGTGAGATCTAAGAAGAATAGCAAGCAACCCAATCTACCCAAGATTAAATTGGAAACCCTAAGTCGAAGAGAAAAAAAAATGCAGAGTAAAAGAAGTTGTGTAGCTCAGCTTAGTGACTCAAAAGCAGAGAAGATCAATTATTATTACATGTACAAGTAAAGTGTTTTTGATGATTTCATCTCTGTAGGAGAATTTTCAAAAAGGAAGGGAGAATATAAAAAAAAAACAGAAAGTGAACAGACAAAAGAAAACAAGAAACGCAGTACAGATCAATCATAGAGAATCAAGAACTTGGATTAAAGAGAAACTACCTGTGGGAGAGAATGAAACTTTAAAAACCCTAGAAAAGAGAGAGATTGATGAGAGTGTGGATGTGGCTGAATCGGGAAACAAAAGAGGAGTTTCGAACAGTCGAGGACAACAAAAAGATTTGAGAGCCAATCCCGAGAGAGAGAGAGAGATAGACGATTAATAATTGAAAGAATTTTAAAATAAACAATTTTTTTCACTCCACAAGAACAAAACCAACTCATCTTATCATTGGGACATTAGACACCAACCCAATTTTTTAAAATAATTTCATTAAATATTATTAGTGCAATATCAACAATAAAATAATGGCACTACCGGAAAATTTTGACAACCGCTACCTGCAATTTTTAATCTTTTTCCGGCAGAAGCTTCTGTATCTTAAGTTCGAGTGTAGATTAAATGATTTTTTTTTGTGTGCCAACCATTCTTAGATAAACACGTGAGAGCATAAAAGTCACCAGTTTTTCTTTTTCTGATTACGGATAATATTTTCTTATGACGACTTTAACGTACAAGTTTAACGATTCCACAAAGAAAAAATAAATATCAATTATCAAATAATTGAATGGTGTTGTGTTGTCATTGACTTGACTCATACTACTACGTTTCCGTATTTTTATGTTAACTAGATACAAAGAAAATAAAAAAGGCTTGAAGCCTAAAGGCAAGGATGGAATGATAATAATATATTGGTGTTAATATATGAGAATGTTCGTATGTACCAAAATAAAAATTGAACCTAACTGTACAAGTAATCGAAATAATATGTAATGCGTACACTATGTACAAAACCATGGTGTATATATACGAAACCAACCCTCGTCGTGCAAAACTTTAACGACTTTTCTCATTTGTGTACGTGAGGCTCCGAAATATTGAAATGATTACCTGCCACATATTCTATAGCCAAATGTTGGATTCCAGATGATCAGATCTAAAATGTTTTTAAGAAAAATAATTGTTCATATTTCCGTCCATACATCATAGATTCAGAATGTTAAAGTTCGATTGGAACATTACACGTTTCTTGATTTATTATATACATGCTTTTTAAGTGCTTTGTAATTCTGTTAAATATTTTGAGGTCTTCTTCAAAAACATATGATATAACAGATACATACACATATTTACATGGTAGTTGAAATTAAACTCCATCAACTAGATCATAGAAATGTCATCTGTACGTAGAAACTTGAAATTACAAAACTCCCCCTGAGAAGCTGGTTTAAGGAAGAAGATAAAACAAAGGTGGGTGTGTGTCTGTTCAATTGCTTAATTGAGGGATTAAATGACTTAACAACCAGTTGGTGAGTCCCCTCCTTACTCTTCTGTTATACCCAATTCTTTTCTAAGTTCTTGTCTTTTTCATTTTTTTAGTTATAAATTCGATCTGTATTATATGTTTGTATTTGCATATTCCGTAATGCATTACACATATTTCCTCTAAATTTTAAAATATTGATTTTCTTTTTCGATAAGAAACCTATTTAATAAAGGGAATTCAAAACAAATAATCTCCCTTTTGCATGGTTTGTTAGAGATTGGATTTCGAGCAGCCGACACAAAATCATTTGGTATGAACCATTGTGCTGGAAAACTATTCCTATGTTTGAGTCTTGAGATGATTATCTTGACTAATTTTTTCTCCACGTGGGTGTTGATTTATCATTTATTGTGATGATAAAAAATAAAGATAGGCAGTTAGCTGGTAAGAGGTGGTTTAAAATCATAAATAATTAAAATGAAATGAAGTTTTGAGATAGTTGTTTTAAAATTTGGTATGATTACGATTTAGGTAAAAACGTATGTACGATGAGTTTGAAAACAGAACAAAATACTAAAAATTTATCATCATGATTTTCTTTATCAAAAAAAAATTTTATCATGACGATGAATCGATGATGCTAATGGTGTGAGTAAGAAACGAAGACCTTTGGTTTGGAATTGGAGGAAATAGCTAAAGCTTTATTCTTGCCAAATGTCAAAACTGTATTAACCACATGCATATCCGAAAACTTTATAGCAATAATAAATAGCCACAAGTTATGGCCGTGTAACAAAAAGTAAACGTATTTATTGCCACATACATTTTTGGACCATACGGTACGGCGATGGATAATATTTCATGTTTGTAAAATCTATATTCCATAGATCGAACTTGTTGGAAATATTGCCTATCAATCAATATGCTCTCAATTCTCAAAGGTTACAAAAAAAAACTAAGCATAACCAAACCAAAAGTGTATCAGCAAAACTAAACCCAAGCCGAGAGTGGGCTCCTTAAGGCCCATTACAATTTTGAACGAAAGAAACCAGTAAAGTGTCTTCTGAGGAACAACGGCAAGCACTCTATTCCAAAGTATCTGAAAAACGGCGTGCATTGCAAAGATCTGTAAAGAGTCCACTGATTAGGTGGGCGATTTCCAAATCAAAACTCGGCTTGACAGTGATCCATCTTCTTCGTATCAATTTTCCCTCTCGATCTCTTTCGTTTCCTACTTCGGAGCAGAGCCGGAGATTGATTGCGACGGTGGGAAACTCTAGGATGTGCGTCTAGCTGGTGAGAACCAATGGCGAAGCCGTCGACGAGTGTGTGGGTAACAATGCAGAAGAAGAGATGGCCTCTGATGATTCTGTTGGTTTTATCTGTATCAACAGTAGGAATGATCCTCGTGAGATCTAGCTTTGATTCGTGTAGTGTTAGTGGAAAGAATTGCGGTCGATTCGCGGCGGAGAAGGAAGAGAGCAGTGACGTGAAGATCAGATCGGTTTCGGGATCGCTGAATCCTCTCGGTTTCATGAAATCGAAGCTCGTTCTGCTCGTCTCTCACGAACTCTCTCTCTCAGGTGAATGAATGTTCGAGCTCGTGTCTTCTCTCTGGATTCTCCGTTGCTTCTCTGCGCAAACTTGAGTGATGATTTCGTGTGATTTTAGGTGGACCTTTGCTGTTAATGGAATTGGCGTTTTTGCTTAGAGGAGTTGATGCTGAAGTTGTTTGGATCACGAATCAGAAACCAATTGAAGAAGATGAAGTGGTCAAGGTTTTGGAAAAGAAGATGTTGGATCGAGGAGTTCAGGTTAAGATAATTTTCCAGTGAACCTCCATAGTCTTCTGTTTGCTCTTGTAGTTGATTGTAGAGAGATCAATCTTTTGAATCCTTCAGGTCATCTCAGCGAAGAGTCATAAAGCCATAGATACAGCTCTCAAGTCTGATTTGGTTGTTTTGAATACTGCTGTTGCTGGGAAATGGCTTGATGCTGTTCTCAAGGACAATGTTCGTGAAGTTCTTCCCAAGATTCTCTGGTGGATTCATGAGATGAGAGGTCATTATTTCAAACCGGATTTAGTCAAGCACCTTCCTTTTGTAGCTGGCGCAATGATTGATTCCCACGCTACAGCTGAATACTGGAAGAACAGGACTCATGATCGCTTAGGGTATATGTTTACTCTCTTTGCACTTCTTCTTATTCGTTTAACAGTCAACACTATAGAGTCTTATATCGGTTTTTGACATTAATGTGTTTCTCTGAAATGTTTGTAACACAGGATTAAAATGCCTAAAACTTATGTAGTGCACCTAGGGAATAGCAAGGAGTTGATGGAAGTAGCTGATGATAGTTTCGCCAAGAGAGTTCTGCGTGAGCAAGTACGAGAATCTCTTGGTGTGAGGAACGATGACATACTATTTGGCATTATTAATAGTAAGCAGCCATCTCTCACATTCTTCTTGTTCTTTTAGTTTCCTCGAGAACATATACTCAAATTGCTTTGGATGGATGCTTCTTTTATGGTAGGTGTCTCTCGAGGAAAGGGCCAAGACCTGTTCCTGCGAGGCTTCCATGAAAGTCTTAGAATAATCAAAGAGACTAAAAAGCTTGAGGTACCAACAATGCATGCAGTGGTAGTAGGAAGCGACATGAGCGCGCAGACGAAATTCGAGACAGAGCTACGCAACTTTGTCCAAGAGAAGAGACTTCAGAAGATCGTCCACTTTGTCAACAAAACGATGAAAGTGGCACCGTATCTAGCAGCCATTGACGTTCTTGTGCAAAACTCACAAGCGAGAGGAGAATGCTTCGGGAGAATAACAATCGAAGCCATGGCCTTTAAGCTTCCTGTTCTTGGTACTGCAGCAGGAGGAACAATGGAGATTGTAGTGAACAGAACAACCGGTCTGTTACACAATACCGGTAAAGACGGTGTGTTACCTCTTGCCAAAAATATTGTGAAGCTGGCGACGGACGTTGAGATGAGGATGAGAATGGGGAAGAAAGGGTATGAGAGAGTAAAAGAGATGTTTTTGGAACATCATATGTCTCATCGAATAGCTTCTGTGCTTAAAGAAGTGTTGCAACACGCAAAAACTCACTCACGAACAACAAATTCGGATATCTAGAACACAAATTTAGCAAGGAAATGCCACTTTATTTAACACTCTCTTGTTGTTTCTCTAGCTTTTCTTATTTATTCTGTTTATAGAGGATACAGTATTATTGACTGGAAAAGAAATTCAATGCGTACAGGCGCATGTTTATTTATTTGAAACTCTTAAATGGATAAAACTGTAAGCGTCGGTCCAACCATACCATGTTAGATGTTTATCAGTAGAGCTTGAAACAAGAAGACCTGTTGAAATGAGGCTTATTGTCGCCAAGCCAATGCTGCATATGAACTCCAATGGCGTCCAAGTAAGAGCTACTTCTTCCATGTAACCCCAACACTTTTCCTTGTGTTGTAGTCGAAGTGAAAAACGTCCCGGTCTCTTCACCGTACGGACCGTACTTGCCACGGCTAGTGTAGAAACTCAGAGACTTGACAACATAAGAATTGTCTGAATTGTTCAGAGGTCCGTAATACCCCGAAATGCAGGTGAGCGTCTCGTTTGGATACTCAAGTTTAATCTGCAAAGAGGGAGATTTGAGTACCAGCATTATAAAATGATTGTGTATTGTGATGCATCTAAAACCAAAAAGTGACGCTATTGATTGTTGTTTACTCTGTGTGTGGCGACTCCATTGTTACCACCACCATGTTTAATGGACCAAACAGACTGTCCATTTCTGTCGTACTCGACTTGTAATGAAGATATAGCATCATTTGATCTTGTTACAAATATCTGCTTGATCCCTGAAAACACTCCATCGTCCCAAGGTTTACCTCCATTGCCTCCCCACGGTCCCGGCCCACTCGGTGTTGGTTCTTTGACGACTCCACGCTCCATCTGTGAAAATGATAAAATCCAACAAGGAAGCTGCTATTAGAGTGCTCAATCCAAATAAACCAAATGTACAAATCCAAAACAAAACGAGTTTACTATGGTGATGGTTTACAAAGTTACCTCTTCGCCATGACCGTTTGCTGCAAGGACCAGCTTATTAGCCCACGGGGAGTTTTCGATTTCTGCCACGCCCGACTTGTTATGAGGAACAATTGCATTGTGATGAGGAGATGGCTTAAGGGAACTTATTTTGCATTCCATAACATGAACACCAATGGAATCAAGGAACAGACCCTCTCTTCCAGTGAACCCAACAACTTTGCCCTCGTCGATTTTATGGGCGAAAGAAGGTCCTTGCTCTTCACCAAAAGGTCCATGCTTTCCTTTGTTTGTGTGGAAAGTCAGTGACTTTACCACACTAGGTCCCATGTAAATCAACGGTCCATATGTTCCCGTTACATGTGTTAAAACCTCTGATGGGTAATCAAATACAACCTGCAAATTTTATTCAAACCAAAAACAGAGAGACTGTGATATATGAAGATGAAGTGTAATTTTAGCTTAAACAAACCAAGAAAAGGTTTCAAATTCACACACCTTATCATGTCTGAATCCTCCCCTGCCACCATGCTTGCTTCCCCACACAGCTTGTCCTCTAAAATCATAACAGACCTTCATCGATACAATCCCGACACTGCGTGACAAATTGATTTGTCTAATGCCGGTATAAATCCCATCGTCAAACATGATACCACCGGTTCCACCCCATGGTCCATATGTTTTGGCACCACCTTCAGCTTTGTGCTGCAGCTTCTCAGTATCTGTCACCAACTGATGAAAACAAATTTCATGTTAAAATCGATAAGACTTCAGTGTTTTTTACATGTATAAGTCTTGGAAATCACCTTATGTCTGGTGATCTCAGCACCTGAGTGATCTCGGGATCCAAAAGTAGGCAAAGGTGACCCTTTCTGTTTGAGTGCAACAACTATATCAAAGTTTTGGCCTACACTTCCGTGCATCACTGAGTACTCGAATTTCTTATCACCATGGTGGGCATTTTGATGCGAGTGCAAAACCATTTTCGACGTGGGATTATTCTCCTTAGGAATTGGTTGAATGTGAACACCAATAGCATCCAAATACCAACCAGCCTTCCCATGGAACCCAACAATCTTCGACTCTGATTTTGGCAATGAGAAGTAAGTACCTGACTCAACTCCAAACGGTCCATAACTTTTTCGGTTACTCTCAAAGGTAAGTGACCGGACGCATAGATTCCCCCAGACGTCAAATCCACTATAGGTTCCTTTAACTGAAATCAGATACTCATGCGGGTAGTCAAGTTTCACCTAAACAACAAGAGAACAGTGATCAGTTTCTGAAAACTAAGAGGGATTACGGAAGGGATAAAGAGTCCCTTTGTCTTACCTTATCAAAGTTGGCGCCTCCCTTTCCTCCACGTTTTTCAGACCAAACCGAGCTACCGTTCCTGTCATACTCAACTTGGATAGAGTCTATACCAGTACCATGAGCTACAATTATTTGCCTTACTGTGGTGTACATTCCATCATCCCAGGTATGACCACTTTGGCCTCCCCATGGACCAACTGATGCAGGCTTGCCTTCAACACTCTGCAACAACGAAATTCAAGTTAACTAATCATATAGAGGAAAATGAAGAATGAGGCTAGACAAAAGATGTTGCAAATACCATCCTCAGATTAAGATTATCTCAAAAGACTCAATGCAAGTGAGGGAAGCTCAAGTAAGAGATAGTTGACTACTGCAATACATAGCTTAGACATTTGATGGGAATTTATGATGGATGAAAAGGCTACGTGTGTGGGTGGGGATTTTCAGAAATATATAAAATCAAGTTGCAGAATACACGTTAATTACACGCAACTCATTCTCGGTTCCACTAACAAGGGAAGTCATGGGAGGAAAAAAAGAATCACATTCTTCAAAGAATCATATCTCCATTGATGACAAAAACACGCACTATTGAACCTTTCCTAAATCGGTAAAGCTCCCTAGCTGGTGCCCATATTAGTAAGAAAAATTAGATTCCAAGGTACCACTAAAGTTTAGGACCTTTCAAAGTCCAACTAAATTTACTCAAGCCATGAGCTAACTCAATAATCTCTTAAACTGCAGTAAAAACTATGAGGATGATGCATTACGTGGTTATGTGGTTAAAAAGACTGCTTAAATCAAGTTAAGTCGTACCTTAGTGGTTGGCTAATCACTTTACCAATAATCTTTACAGGAACAATCTCCATTCTTAAAGTGGTGCAAGCATCTTGTGTCCTCCAACAGTATGTCAAAGCCATATCTCTTAGAGGTGTACTTTGCGGTATCATGGCAATCGCGGCACATCCTGAGATTTTTCAAGATTCTTATCGTCTTAGACCCACCCGATGAGGATATTAGACCAAAAGCCATGGCAAACTTTTCGCTGTGGATTCCACAAGTTGCTTCCCTTCCTTCTTCCTCAATCCAAAGTTCTCCGTTATATTGGTCACTTCTATCATCCAGTCTACACATTTTCTCCACCCAGGGATACAGTACATCAGTGCATAACTTCGACTGATCACCTGTGGTGAATGTGAAAATTGAATTCCTGACTTCAATGCAGCTCTGCCCAAGAGGTTTCTTCAGCAAGTTCTCTTTCCTCGGCTTCTTTCCTTCTAAAGATCTCCCAAGTTTTGCACCTAATGCATAGATCATCGATACCATATTTTCAATGCTCGGGTTGTCAGGTTCCAAGGAGAACAAGTGCTCTGCTGCATGGATTGCCAAGTCAATATCACCATGAATCCTGCAGCCAGTTAAGAAGCTTTCCCAGATGGGAGTCTCTGATTGAACATTCATCTCCTGGATAAACTGCAAAGCTTCTTCAGGTCTGTTTGATCGTCCGTACAAAGTAACCATAGCAGAACAATGTTCCAGAGCAGGAATGATATGGTAAACATCCGCTATGCTGGAGAAGACTTTCTTTCCTTCGTCTACATTTCCCATTAGACCATGTGCAAGGATAATACTCGCAAGTGTTCCCCTATTTGGCTTAATCCCCAGTGTCTTCATCTGTTCAAAAAGATCAAGAGCTGGACCATAGCTACCATGATAAACATAACCTCCAATCAGCGAGTTCCAAGTTATGATGTCTTTCGTTTCCATACCCTTGAAGATGGTTCTTGCGTATTCTATATCCCCTGACTTAGCATAAGTATCTGTCAAAGCGTTTTTAACAGCATGAACAGCATCTAGCTTTCTCCGCAATACACAACCATGTATCTCTCTTACCATTTTGCTCCCAAGAAGATTGGCACAAGCAGGTAAGAGACTTAGAATGGTAACTGAATTTGGAGTGAAGCGAGAAGCCTGCATTTTCCGGAAAAGTTCCAAGGCTTCGTCTTTCTTTCCGTTTTGTATGTAACCCGCAATAATCAGGTTCCACGATGCAGTATTCCTCTGAACTTTCCCATCTTTCTCTATCCTCTGAAACAGATCCATAGCCTCACCTTCGTCTCCATTCCTAATATATCCAGAGATCATCGTGTTCCATGTGATGATATTTGGTTTCACATTTTCCTCTTGCATCCTTATAAACAACTCATAAGCCTTCCCACAATATTCCGCTTGGCAATACCCTGTGATCATCGAGTTCCAAGTATACACATCCTTAATTTTCATCGAATCAAAAACCTTCCTTGCATCTTCAAGTTTCCCACACTTAGAATACATATCAACCAGAGAGTTTCCCACAAGCAAATCCTCCATAAAACACATCTTCACAGCGATAGAGTGAACTTCTGATCCCAAGTTCAAAACTTTCAAACAAGAGCAAGCAGAGACAGCACTCATAATAGTGACTCCATTCGGCGCAACACCAGCTAAAAACATCTTCTTAAACGTATCCAAAGCCTGATATCTCTTCCCGTTATGAATCAACCCCGAGATCATCGCTGTCCATGTAAACACATCAGCAGTTACACCAAAACTCTCCATCTTCTGCATCAAATCCAATGCAGCTTCGCATTTCCCAAGCTGGTTATAACCACCAATCAGTATGTTCCAAGTAACTAACCCTGGAGCAATCCCTTCTTTCTCCATCTCCTCCACCAATCCTACAGCTTCTTCATGTTTACCGTTTTGGCAGTAAGCTAACAGTACAGAGTTCCAAGCAACCACATCTCTCTCCTTCATGCGTCTGAAAAACTTCGTAGCTAAACTCAATTCACCGCATTTCGCATACACAGCTAAAATCGAGTTGCTAACACGAAGACACGACGTCATGCCGAGTTTTATCACCACCGAGTGAATCAACTTCCCAGTCTCAACATCACCGCAATTCGCACATCCCTGCAATATCTTGGGGAACAAGAAATCGTCAGGCAAAACTCCGTCTTCCATCATCAGACGAAAGAGCTTGGAGACTTCTTTCCACCGAAGCTCTCTCGAGTAAGCACCAATCATTGCGGACCACGTGTAGAGGTTTCTCTCACGCATTGAATCGAACACCTTACGGGCGTCAACTAAACCCCCGCATTTCGCATACATGCTCAACAGCTTCGTCTCCAGGAAGACGTCCGGTTCGGGAAACAAACCGAACCGAGCATGGAGGATGCGACCCAAATGGATTGAGCCGGAATCGATGCATGATTCTAGCAAGTTGAGGTAAGTGCTTCGTTTTACCTTGGATCCTTGTTGGAATATCGAGTCTATAGCTTTCTCAGCTTCGAGCAGACTTCCGTTTCTACACAAGTAGTACAGTTCCTCGTCGGGGATGATAATGGGCTCTTTCTTCTTGATGAAAGAGAGGTTTTTCTTTCTGGATTTTGGATGAACCTCAGGCGAATTCTCAACCTTTGCTGGAATTTGGTAATTCAAACAAGTTTTGGGAAATGAAGGTATGAAGAGCTTCGACATTATCTACAAATGCTGTTTATAAACTTGTACGAGGATTCTTCTCCTTTCTTCTTTTTCTCTTTGGTTTTCCAAAATCTCCAACGAGAATTTACAGATTACACAGTATGCACAACAAAGAAGAAGATAAGGAAGAAGGAGAAAGAGCCTCGGTAAGTGAATCCTTTGGCAAAAAAATATGAAAACGTTTGGCGATAAGAATATCAACGTCCACTAATATTTTAACACGTGGCACATGGGTGCTCACATAAAAAAATTCTCTAGTTTCAGCTCAGACAGATATCATAATTTACAGCTTTGCAAGGTCTCTCAACTTATTCGATTTCAGATATCCAAATTATGTATTGTAGCAATCATTCAGAAGAATCCGTTTCGCTGGTTTGAAAATTCTGACAGAAATTTTGGTCTATTGAGGTAGAAACATCAACAGATCACATTAAGCAAAAGCCATTGAACAAATAGCAAAAGCATGGTCTTATGTATATTTTGGTGCAGACTCGAAACAGTCAAGAGAGATCACATCTTCTAGATTATTCATCTACATCTACAATATCCCCAGTACGATAGCAACATTTAAGAAAACAAATTCGACCTTATTATAACCAGTACGCCTTAAAACCGATTTCAAGCAGTGGCAACACCAGTATGCTTCACGATTGCCGCATGGAGATCTTCCTTCTTTGCACCAACGAGCTTATCCACAACATTGCCGTCTTTGATGAACACAAAGGTCGGCATTGCCTCCACAGCAAACTCTTGAGCAACACTCTGTTAAAAAATTACAAGTATATAGAAAGAATGTATCACTCACACTGAGGCAGAGTTCTAGAACCTAAAGGAGTGGCGAGATTTTCAATAAAGAAAGTATATTGTTTTGTGCTTCACCTGAAGTTCATCGACATCCACCTTGAAGAAGATGGCACTTGAAATGAACTTCTTGGCCAATTCCGCGAAAATTGGAGCAATCATCCGGCATGGTGGACACCATGAAGCTGTGAAATCTATCACAATCTGAAAACATATGACAGTATTAGAGGACTCAATAATCTTTCAAAATGAATTAAATTACTGCAAGAGCGAAACGAAGAACACAACAAAAGACACAAAAATGAATCAATGAAAAGACTAGATCGTGTTCATGCTAACGAAAGCATACAACAAAAAATATCATATAGTTTTATTGAAATCAATTACACATCTAACTCAATGTAAAAGAACAGAGAAAGAGATTTCACTCATCAAAACAATGATTATTCACGGATTCAATCGTTTTCCATCGCAGATCGGTCGATCTCTGTCGTGATCTCTCTGAAACAATCCGTTTATTCCACTTTACCGCAACCGAAATCAAAACGACAAAACCTCGTGAAATCTGTATCTATCGAGCGAAACATAAACGCTAATTTTTCAATGACACTACAATCATGAACAGAAACCGTAATCAAACCAATCGCACGCGTGAAATGACGAAAACCTAATTCCCAAATCATTTACAGACGAAAAAAAGGCAGAATTGCATAACAAAGACGGAGAATCCTCACCAGCTTGTTGGATTCCTTGGCTTTTCCGAGCTGCACGGTCCACACATCGTTCGTGTGGCAACCGATCACTTGTCCTTCTTCTGCCGCCATTTCTTCACCTTCTTTCGAATCTGAGATTAGGAAATACCAAAATTTTCCGAATCACTTTTTTCCTCTCTTCAGTTCCTCTCTGTGAAGAAGCTACGTGTACATCATATAAAGGACGAAGAAGATATTTGACAGAATTACCCCTTCATATTTACGGTTACTACGCAAATAGCTTCCACCTGGGCCGTTGGCTCGCTAACGCCATGCATGTATGTACACACGAGTCTTCGGTGTCGAAAGTTCGAATTCGCTCCTCCTCGTGTCGTATTTATTTATTTATTTAGTCGACAAATCAGCAACAAATTTCTGTAGTCACACGAATAAAATAAGATATTTTTTCCTCAGCAGATAAGATTTAATTTAAAATAAGAAAATTTCAATTTCTAATCCCTTCTTCATTTTGTGGCTTACCGCAGCTTCCCCTCTTCCTCTCCTCCCTTCACTCTAATGGCGCTTCCAAGCGCAGTCTCATCTCCTTCCTTAAAATCCACGCCGCCGTGTGTCTCCGCCTTCTACACTAAACCTGTACGTCTCCAGGCTACTTACCGGAGTGGTTATAACCTTCGAAGCTGTAAGCTCAGCTCCTTCCGATGCTCATCGTCGTCGTTCTCCGAGAAGCACCACAACGTGAACCCGTCCAAATCGGATGACCTCGTCGAGCTCCCTCTCTTCCCACTACCTCTCGTCCTCTTCCCCGGCGCAACAATCCCGCTCCAGATCTTCGAGTATCGTTACCGCGTAATGATGCAGACGCTCCTTCAATCCGATCTCCGATTCGGCGTCGTTTACTCCGACGCTGTATCGGGTTCCGCCGCCGGTATCGGATGCGTCGGAGAGATTATAAAGCACGAGCGGCTCGTCGATGATCGGTTCTTCCTAATCTGTAAAGGCCAGGAGCGATTCCGCGTCACGGATCTCGTCCGTACCAAACCTTACCTCGTCGCGAAGGTGACGTGGCTGGAGGATCGACCTTCCGGGGAGGAGAATCTGGACGAATTGGCGAATGAGGTTGAGGTGCTGATGAAGGAAGTGATTCGATTGTCGAACAGATTGAATGGGAAACCGGATAAGGAAGCGCAGGACCTGAGGAAGAATCAGTTCCCGACTCCGTTCTCGTTCTTCGTCGGAAGCACGTTCGAGGGAGCTCCAATGGAGCAGCAAGCACTGCTGGAGCTTGAGGACACGGCGGCTAGGTTAAAGAGAGAGAGGGAGACGCTGAGGAATACACTCAATTACTTGACCGCAGCTTCTGCAGTGAAAGATGTCTTCCCGTCGACATAGTTATATTGGTACCTAAAAACTTTCTGGTCTTTCTTCAGCGTTTTCAGTTATTGGATACACTAAATTTATCAGTGTGTAAAGTTTCAGAAACGTAGGTAGTGAAAATGCTTTATAGAATGTTATAGTTGGATTGATCAGAAAAAGTGTTTCACTTGATTGCCTCTATGATCAAAGAATAGCCTACTGATGCGAGTATGGTTCTTAATATCAAATCCTGGCTTTTCGAGTTTGCAATTTAATCGAAAGCCTGTAGAGATGCGATCTATAGTGATCTGAGTTCTGGTGCCAAATCCTTTATCGCCTCTATGATCATTGGATCATGTTGTTGGATTGATCAAGAAAAGGGTTTTTCTTGATTGTATCTATGATTAAAGAATAGTCTATGGTTCTCAATACCAAATCCTTTCTTCTCAGAGCTGGCATTTTGATTCAAAGCATGTAGAAATGCTATCTGAAGAAGTATGCTTGATCAGAGTTTCAATTCCCTAGAGCGTTGTAATACCAAAATTATTACATTGATGATTTATTGGGGAATGCTAAACACATGCTTGGTATAATGATGAGTGTTTTGTTTTGGTGTTAGAAGATGAAATGCTACTAGTATTAGTTGATTTGACTTTGTGAATCTGCTGACACAGGTTAGATACGCTAACTTAAGCTATGCCTCTATACAACTATGGTTGCCTGAGTTTCTTTGTCAAACCATGTGCTCATAGGTTGAGGAAGAGAGTGGAGTAGAGTGATTGAGAGATATTGCGTTGTGTTATTTGAATTAGGGGTCCACTGTGGTTGAGAGCAGCTTTAATGCCTATGGACCATAGTCTGCTCATCAATGTTGAAAAGATAGAATAGGGTCTAATGGGTGTTAGCGTCGTAGAAACAGTGTGGGGGCGTTTTTTTACCGTCAAACGCGGTGGTTGCTTTCAAGGAGAGGTGTATCGTCAATCAACCTGTGTGTGTCTAGCTTCAGCCACAAGTTGGAATAGTTCCGTTGTCTTTGTTTCTCCATAACGCAAGGGATCATAAATCCAATTCTGAATATCGTTAACAAAAAAAAAAACGAATCCTGAATATCATCAAGCAATCGAGTTTGTCGAAAATTGCTTGAGTTTTGTGAAGTGAGTGGTAACGAAGCAACGCGGAAAAGTTGAAAACGACGACGCGTAGACATGAGATCACTTGATAGTTCTTGATTGACTGACCATTAGGCCGCCAGGGTAGACATCTCTTGTATCATATCATCCACTCAAAACATGACAAGTACAAGTAGATCGAACATTGAAGTCAAAATCACTTAAAATCTCCCACGATCAGAGTTCCAAACAATGGCTCAGAATCAACAACCAATTTCTCAGACCAAGTCCACAGGTACTATATAGTATTTACTAACAATTTTCGCCAGGTGAATCTGTTCTTGATCTCCTCTTGTGCAAACAATTTGATTCAAATTTCTCAACTTTCCACTCTCTTTTGCAGAACATTCTGTGCAGACTCCAGTCAACATCGAGCATGATTCAACCACACTCATAAACCAAACCGGAAACAGGAAACCAACACCAAACCATTGGCCAACGATTATCCTCTCAGTCATCTTCGTCATCGTAGGTCAATCCACAGCTAAACTCCTCGAAAACTTCTACTACGTCCAAATCAATAAACGTATCAACAACGGCGTTTGGACTCAGTCTCTCCTCCAAACCGTCGCATTTCCTCTCCTCCTCCTCCCTTTCATCATCACCACCAAGAACCGACAACAACCTCCGATCACTTCCGATCGATTCCACAGGAAATACCTCGCCGTAACCTACATCTGCATCGGAATTCTCCTGTCCGTTCATGGAAGACTCTCCACAATGGGGAAGCTCAAGCTTTTCGTTGGGGGTTTCACTCAGATCTACACAACGCAGCTCTTCTTCACCCCGATCCTCGCCTGTTTAATCAACAAAATCAAATTCAATCGATGGGTTGTCATCTCCTTGATCTTCGCAATCGCCACCGGAGCTCTCAGTTTCACTTCCTCATTCGGCGGCGAGCCAGGTGACGAGGAGATGAATTACGCAAGAGGCTCAAGAGCGGCGCTGTTCTCCGGCATCTGCTTCTCTCTCCTCCTCTGTAACATCCAAAACGTCTTCGACAATTACATCTTCAAACGCACCGATTCGACAACCAGAAGACCAAGCTTCGCCTCCGTCTTCGAGATCATAATCTTCTCCTCCCTCGTCGCTACAATCATCTCCGCCGTGGGTCTCCAGATCGCCGGTGAGCAACACGAACTGAAGAGAGAAATGAATGGATTCTCCAAGGGGAAAGGCTTGTACGTGATGGCTCTGGTGGGTCAAGCCGTTTCGTGGCAGGTCTACTGGGTCGGTATCGTGGGACTCGTCTTCTCCGTCTCGAGCGTGTTGTCGAACGTGATCAGCGTCATCACGTGGCCGATCGTGTCGGTGCTTATTGTTATCTTTTTCAAGTTCATGGACGATGAGGTCGATGTCTTCAAAGGCGTCGCCTTGGTCACTGCCGCCTTTAGCGCCGCCGCTTATTTCTATAGGCTTCACAAAGAGAATCGTGACAGTGCCAAAGTTTGGGTTCCCCAAATTTATTTTTAAGTTTTTTTTTTTTTTTTTTCATTTTGTGATTTTCACATATTTTAGTTGTTTATCGAAGAAATTTGTAAAAATGTTACCAGAAATCATTCCGTTTATGCTCTCGTCCTGAGAATGATTAGTGTTTGCATTGAAGAAACATTGAATCTGAGTTTTAAAGTTGTGTCAATAATGCATGGCAGTGCGAATAATCATAGATATTGTTTCATAAAACATGACTATCGAAATGGTCGAGATATTCATGATATCTTGATAGGTTCTATACTTATTATTAAGCAGCAATAATACTTCATGATATCGTCCAAGATGTATCAATAATCTGTCCTTGTGTTAATGAATATCCTAGATGTTAAAAGTGTTAGCTGCCAAACTCTATCTATATATTTATGCTCGATAAGTTATTGTTTTGAAGATGATTTCGCAACTCGAGTCATTAAATATCAATAACAATGACCCGTTTTAAGATAATTTATGCCGGGAGCTGCCAAAATGGGCACCGTGTTTTGTCCAACTTCTGTAACGTAGGAAGTTGGAAATGAATAGTCTTTGTTTGTCCATGACGAAAGTAAACAAGTCAACAAATATTCTTTTATGCCATTTCCATTTTCTTAATGATTAACTGAAAACTGAATCATAAATCCAATTCTGATTATCGTTAACATCAAACAAACAAAAAAACAAATCCTGAATAAATATATTATTATATTATCAACCCATCGTTTTCGTCGAAAATTGCTTGAATTTTGTTAAAACAGTGGGTCTTTAATATAATGCAAGTTGATTGCGCCCTTGAATGCTCACTTTAATGGGTCGAATATATTACCAAACCATCTCTTCACTTTCTTTCTTTTTTGGTAACACGAAGCAACGCGGAAAAGCTGAAAACGACGACGCGTAGACATGAGATCGCTTCATTGGCTGACCATTACGCCGCCAAGGTAGACTTTTCTTGTATGTATATAAACAAAACTTCTCCTTCCATTTCCATTATCTCAAAACCATAACATCAATCCACTCAAATATCTCAAAACACAAGCCAATCGGATCTCCGACACTACTTCGACGACAAATTCGTTTAAAATCAAGTCAATCAGAGTTCCAAACCATGGCTCAGAATCAGCAACCAATCTTTCAGACAAAGCCACCAGGTAATAATAAACAACTTTAGCCAAATGATTTTCTTCTTCATCTCCTCCTCCTCTTCTGCAAACAATTCGATTCAAATGTCTCAATTTTCCTCTCTCTTTTGCAGAACATTTTGTGCAGATTCCAATAAATCCCATAAACATCGAGCGTGATTCAACCACACTCATAAACCAAACCGGAAACAGAAAACCAAACCACTGGCCAACGATTATCATCTCAATCATCTTCGTCATCGTCGGTCAATCAATAGCCAGGCTCCTCGAAAACTTCTACTACGACCAAATCAACCGCAGCGGCTACGACGAGAACCGTCAAAACGACGGCGTTTGGACTCAGTCTCTCCTCCAATCCGTCGGATTCCCTCTCCTCATCCTCCCTTTCATCATCCTCACCAAGAAACACAACCGACAACAACCTCCGATCACTTCCGATCAATCCCACTACAAATCCCTCGCCGTAATCTACATCTGCATCGGAATCCTCATCCCGGCTCAAGGAAGACTCTCCGCGATGGGAAGGCTCGAGATTCCATTTGACCGTTTCACTCTCATCTACACGACGCAGCTCATCTTCACTCCGATCTTCGGCCGTTTGTTCAACAAAACCAAATTCAACCGATGGATGGTGATCTCCTTGATTCTCGCGATCGTCACCGGAGCTCTCACTTTATCTTCCGCATTCGGCGGCGAGCCAGACGAAGCGGAGATCAATTACGGACGAGGCTCGTGGGCGGCTCTGTTCTCCGGGATCTGCTTCTCTCTCCTCCTCTGCAACTTCCAAAACGTCTTGGACAATTACATCTACAAACGCACCGAATCGACCACCAGAAAACCAAGCTTCGCCTCCGTCTTCGAGATCATAATCTTCTCCTCCATCGCCGCGTCGATCATCTCCGCCGTGGGTCTGCTGATCGCCGGGGAGCAGCACGAGCTGAGGAGAGAGATGAATGGGTTCTCCAAGGGGAAAGGCTCGTACGTGATGACCATGGTGGGTCAAGCCGTTTCGTGGCAGGTCTACTGGGTCGGGATCGTGGGGCTCGTCTTCTCCGTCTCGAACGTGCTGTCGCACGTGATCAGCGTCATCACGTGGCCGATCGTGTCGGTGCTTGTGGTGATCTTCTTCAATTTCATGGACGATGAGCTCGATGTCTTCAAAGGTGTCGCATTGATCACTGCCGCTTTAAGCGCCGCCGCTTATTTCTTTAGGCTTCACAAAGAGAATCGTGACAGTACGTTTTAAGTTTGGGTCTTTATACATTCTTTTATAAGTTTCTTTTTATAATTTTTCCTTAATTTTGTGATTAATCGTATATTTTTAGTTGTTTATTTGTGTATCTATGTAAGTGTGTGTAAGAGCTTCGGCTGTACTTGTTGATGTAAATTTATTTTTATATGTTATGCTTTTACAATTGGTGGAATAACTCAAGAGTAATGCAAACGATTCTTTACTTAAAATCATTTTTCTGGTCATGAAGCTACACAGAAAGGTTGAAACTTATAAATATGGCCTCACTTCTTTGACTAGTACACTGACAAGTGACAGTGGTGACCTCTCTTTGTATTGAATAAACACCACAAATTAGATTTTCCCAAGCATCGAATCTCTGATTACTGAAGTCAAAATATCTGCAGTCTCCGACATCAGTTCTCCAAGCTCAGTCACAGATATCTGAAACCATGGCCAAGAATCACCAGCTACTAAAAACCAAGCCACAAGCTTGATTTAGCCAAATATGATCTTACTATCAAGTAACAACTACTCTCTCTGTGAATTGTCACGATTCGACCACGCTTATCAACTAATTGTTAATTTACATTCATTTTGTAAGTTTTATAATGAAATGTTTGGAAGTGTGTTTGTATGTTAAAATGAAACAACCTCATGAAAGATGCCTTTTCCCATTATTGATCAAGCTCAAAAGTTCCAACATTTACCTGTTCAGAGAGAAAAATTCCAATTTTTTACAACTTTTTGTTTCTCCTGTTTTCTATACACAGTTTTCTAACGGGGCCTCTTTAGTAGTCTTTAGTGAGCATCTGTTGTGTCTTCTTCGCCAGTATTTTTGTATTCTGGTTTAAGCTCGTAGCTTCTCGCATGGCCATTGTACACACAAAGCTCTCGCAGTATTCCTTCAAGAATCCCTGGAAAAAAAAAAAAAAATAGAGTTTCAATCAAAACGTTGAAGTGTTCTGGATATGAGTCTTAAGAAGAGAGAACATACCTCTGGTTGGTTGGTTTCTTGAAGAAGCTGCTTCCATGTCCGTTTCGGTTGTCAGTATCTTCACTTCCACCTTACCACGACTGCTTCTACTCCTCCATTTAAGCTTCACTGAAGCAGTCTTCTTCTTTACCTGTTTCATGGAGGAACAGTGTAATAAGAGTAAACCATTCACATAACAGAACCGATTCTCTGGAAATCTAAGAGACAGAGAAGCAAAACATTACCATCACAGGATTGGAGATCAAGTGTAATCCACAGCAATTCTCAAGAGCCTTTTCAGGTAATTTCAAAGAAAAGAAGTTTGATCTAATTAGCTTCTTATAATGGTAAAAAGAAAGACTATGGTTTTACGTGGAAATTGAACCAACCTGTGTGTGTCTAGGCGTCTAGCTTCAGCCACATGTTTTCTGTTCCTCTCTTGACAAAGCTTTCCGTATTCTTCAATGCCACAGTGTGGTCTCATCTCGAGTTTATCTGTTAATGTTCCTTCCACAGCAACTTCACCTAATACCAATTTATGAAAGATATGTCATCAAGTGATGATAATTCATGTCTATGAAACTATAAACACATAAACCAAAGCCAAAGACCACACCTTGATTTGCTTCAGAGAAGATACTCATTGGACCACGAAAGTCTTTGGATTTGTTCACAAAATAGAGCTTAGAAACGTTCCATAACTCAGCACCAAGGATCTCCATAGTCAACTAAAACAGACCACCAAAAACCAATAAACCGAACACATCAATATTAGACTAACACAACGATGCAAGCTATGACATTTCAGAAGCTGAAGAGACTACAATCAAACGATGTAAATCCATGAAAAAATTAGGTTTTACATCGACGAATTGTTCAAAATCCAAATCTGATTCCGTGCGATTCCCAAATTTAGTCTGACCTGACATAAAAGGATAAGAAAGAGTGGAGGATGCGTTGAATTACCTCAGGAGACAAATCGGAACGGAGGAGATTGACTGAGTCAGTATACTTCGCCATGGGAACAAAATCTGAAGAAAGGTAGCGCCATGCCTTGACGACTCTTGGTGGACACTGGACACTTCATTAGCCAAACCATTTGGTCGGCGTTTTCCGTCTCTAGTTCGTGAAAGTTCATTTGATCGTCTTCCATCGCTAATTCGATCAATCTTTCAATCGCTTTCACAAAATTCTTCTCATTTTCTTGCGGTTTCTTTCTCTGGATCTTCTGCATTTCGGATTTTCCCATTGTTTGTTTCTCTTCTGCGAAAGCGGGAAAACACAGAGAGAGAGAGAGAGAGAGAGAGGACATAGTAGCTTTATACCCGACCCGTCTGTTGACTGATAGGCCGAGGCCCAATAAGTCCTTATGGGCCCATTTTTATTTAGCATAACAAATAAGTAATTTAGTGAGGAAAATAAAATGTCATTTTTATACTGAGGAAAAGAGGATATCGTTTTTATACTTTTTTTTAATCTCTATATTTTGCGTCCAGAATTTTGATAATTTTATGATTATTCACACACAAGAAAAAAAAAGTAAAAATCCTCAATTCTAAGGGATATCAACCTTTTTCACATGGTTGTTTGATATGTATTGAACATGTTTTTTTGTGTTTTTTAGAAAAAGGATTTGATAAATAAAATGTCATATCAGTCGTAATCGAATTATATTAGGTTTACAGATGTTGTGGGGATGCATGAAAAACCTATGTTTTTTGAATATCTATGGAAATTTTAACTTTGACCATTGACGTTTACTATGTTTCTTGACCCATTTTAACTTTTTTATTTCCAACATGATTAACAAGTTATCCTCCACATATCAATAGTATCTACAAGCTTTCATTTGAACTGATAGAGAAAGTGGTCTGGCAAAAAAAACTGATGACATATTAGCTCAATTTCCAAATGGAAGTTTTGGCTGAATTATACAATTTGGTGACATAAATGTCAAATTGGAGTTAATCTTTTCTTGTTACCAATTAAAGCATATACTAACCAATCGTAAAGAGGCTGCACTAGTGAAAGTTTGAAACAAAAGGTGAAGCAAACTAAGCATTTAACAGATGAGATTTTTTTCTGCTAGCTACTTTAACAAAATGAATCTTAGCTGAAATAATACAACTGAAAGTGAGAGAATGCGAGAAGAAATCACATGTCGCGAGTCAGATACACTACAGTATTTGTGACACTTCAATCTTTTCCTCTGTCACCTTTAGATGTCCTAAATCAAGCAATCTATAACTATAATAATTATTATGATATTGATCGGATGAAAATTCCATCAAAAGCTTTAACAAAGAAAATTCAATCAAATGCATAAAATTCCATTAAGTAAATAGCAAAATAAGTTGGAAATCTTACCTTCAAATAAAACATTCACCTTATAAGGGAGGGTTGCTATACTTCGATCGACCAAACTAACTTGAAATTAATAATAAAACATGTGTGCATATGAATATGATGAGGTTACTCTACAACCAAATGATACATCATACATCCATGCAAGTAATTATGTAGAGCAGTAGAGAAGTAGTTAGTAGACTTGAATGCCCTAAATTATTCTCCATTTACGTTCGTCTACAACAATTAATAATTCACATGTAATGTATTGTCCTCATCAATAATTTTGATGATTTTTTCTTCACAATAATTAACTCTAACGTCCGATTTTCCACAATAAGTCGTCATCTCCATGTGGAACTACAACTTGTAAGTTGTTACTATTGTCGATTATAGATAAGCGAGCCAGCCATCAAAATTTATTCGACGATTAGTATTTATCCGATTTCAGGAAGGATCTTAAATTAACTTGTTTCGGGTAACGGACGAATTTGACACTCAGTCTCATTTTTGGATTTACATGAATTGATTAACACTCAAACTTTTAATATTGCATGAATAAATGTAAAAACATATCAAATGGTTTCTACTGTTTTACTCTGCGGATATTGGATTGGGTAGCATAAAATT